CTCGCATCATACACTGTGGGGGAATCGCGACGTCAATCCGAGAGGCAGGGCATTTCTGGAATTTCTGAGCTCCAGTAATCTGGAGATCCTTAATAGAGGAACAGTGCCAACATATTTCACGCCTATAGCGCGGACAATCGTTGACTTGACGTTATGCTCAACAGAGCTAACAGGTAGGGTCAGTAACTGGCGTGTGTCGACGGAGGAAAGTCTGTCTGATCACCGTCATATATTGTTTTCAGTAACAGGCCATATCCAAGAGGAAAACCGATGGTTCAGAAACCCCAGAGCTACCAAATGGAACCTCTACCGAGAGGAGCTTGAAGGTAGACTCTGGAACATGCCATCACGATATGGCTCTGAAGCAGAAATAGAGACATTCGTAGGATGTCTCAATTCTGCCATAGTCGAAGCATACGAAGCCAGCTGTCCCCTGAAAAGGACAGACTGTCTAGGCAAAACACCATGGTGGAATTCAAAAATTGAACTCCATCGGAAGAAAGTCCGAAAGCTGTTGAATAAAGCCAAAAGAACAGAAAAACGGGCCCACTGGGAAGAGTACAAACTGGCCCAGAGGGAATTCAAAAGAGCGATCCGCGATGCTCGCAGGGACTCGTGGAGAGCGTACTGCCAAGGAATAAATACTGTTCCTGAGGCGGCAAGGCTCAACAAAGTTCTCTCCAAGGACCCGAGGGCTAAGCTGGGGACGGTGACCCTTCCCGATGGGAGCTACACCTCATCGGATGGAGGGACGCTACAGCATATGCTTTCCACGCACTTTCCAGGTTGCACCTTTCTGCAGCCTGATTCTGAGGCTGTCACCTCAGTCGAAGCTCGGATCGACTTCACGATAGCCTCAAAAATTGTAACATATGACAGAGTGAAATGGGCAATCGAATCCTTTTCACCCTTCAAATCACCAGGTGAGGATGGAATCTGTCCGGCCCTTTTACAACAGGGACTGGACATCCTCATTCTACATCTCCTGAAGATCTTCAGAAGCTGTCTGGCACACGGGTATGTCCCCAAGGCCTGGAGAACAGCTATAGTGATCTTCATACCGAAGCCTGGAAAAATTGATTTCACGCAGGCAAAATCGTTTCGGCCCATCAGTCTCACATCGTTTTTATTAAAGGCGTTAGAAAAACTGGTAGATCGTCACATCAGAGAGGGGCCACTGAGCGAATCACCACTCAGTGACCTTCAATTTGCGTACCAAAGTGGTAGGGGTACTGACGCGGCTCTTCATCGACTCGTTCATAGAGTTGAGGGGGTGTTAGATCGCAAGGACTCTGCCCTTGGGATATTCATAGACATTGAGGGAGCATTTGACAATACATCATTTGACTCTATATGTCGTGCAGCGGAGGAGAGGGGTGTTAGTCCAATTTTGATAAAGTGGATACACGCACTCCTCTCGAGAAGGATAGTGAGAGCCACTCTTCAAAACAGCCTCGAGGAGGCCGTTGTATCAAGAGGCTGCCCGCAGGGAGGGGTGCTATCACCCCTTCTATGGTGCCTCGTCGTGGACGACCTCCTATCGAAGATACATAGCATGGGATACTATATCCAGGCTTACGCAGATGACATAGTCATCCTGATCGACAGTAGGGGGTTCACTCCCAGTCGGAGACAGGCACAACGGGCCCTGGACGGGGTGGACCGCTGGTGTCGTAGCACGGGGCTAAGAGCTAACCCTGAAAAGGCGGAAGTAGTACTTTTCACCAGAAAACGCAAGGCAGGGGACCTCCCCGATATACGACTATCGGGCAAGTCCCTGCGGTATAAAGGCTCCACCAAATATCTAGGAGTCATTCTTGACTCTAGGCTCAATTGGAACGAGCATATTGAGAGGAAGGTCCAGAAGGCTACGGCAGCGTTCTGGGCGTGCAGAAGGACGTTTGGGGGAACGTGGGGGCTCAAGCCAAGTATCCTTCACTGGGTGTACACCGCTCTCATACGTCCAATGATAACATATGGGGCCATCGTATGGTGGCCGGGGACGCTGACAGGCAAGTCGAGGAGTCAGCTCGACAGAGTTCAACGACTGGCCAGCATATCCATAACAGGAGCAATGAGGACGGCGCCGACAAGGGCGTTGGAGACTCTGACCGGACTGCCGCCTCTGAACCTGTATATAGAACATGAGGCGATGAAGGCCGCCGTTCGCTTACAAAGCTGTAACCAGTGGAGGAGCGAAGGAACATACGGACATTCTCGCCTCTGGAAGCAAATTACAGACGACTACCCCTCACTCAGTATGAAAGGGGACAGCATAACACCGATCATTCGATTCAGGAAAATGCCCCAAGTCAAGATTCCTACTAGGATAGACTGGGAACAGAATGGGCACTGCATAATACCCACCAAGGGCATCATCTGGTATACAGATGGCTCCAGGATGGAAGAATGCGCAGGTGCTGGGGTCTATGGGCAGTCTCCAAGGGCAAATCACTGCTATACCCTTGGGAAACATGCCACGATTTTTCAGGCTGAAGTATTTGCAATACTTGCATGTGTTCGAGAGAATATCGAGAGGGGCTATCACAGCCAGCAAATCACTATATGCACTGACAGCCAGGCGGCGATCAAGGCGCTCACCTCGTATAGGGTGACCTCCGCCTTGGTGTCAGAGTGCATAGATAGCCTACAAAGGCTGTCAGCAACGAATAAGGTATGTCTTTTGTGGGTCCCTGGGCACTCAGGGGTACCAGGTAACGAAATGGCCGATGGTCTGGCCAGAAAGGGGGCGAAAGGTTCAGTGATTGGCCCAGAGCCAATCTTAGGGGTCACTCGATCCTGGAGCAACTCCAAGATGAAGGAAATCCTGACGGAAAAGGTTCAGGACAGCTGGAGAAAGGCTCCTCGAATGAGGCAGTCCAAACTCCATATAGGAAACCCGTCACGAAGACAGACCAATGCCCTCTTGGCTTTGAACAGGAAGGAGCTGAAACTGGTGGTGGGCCTGCTGACAGGGCACTGCCACCTGAACAAACATCTCAGCATGATCGGGATTGTGGAGGATCCAGAATGCAGATGGTGCCTAGAGGATGAAGAGACTTCTACTCACATCCTCACTGAATGCCCGGCAATAGTGGCAGCAAGGGATATCCATTTTGGGAGCAGTATCCTGGACCCAGAGGATGTTAAGAAGATTTGGCCTAGGAAGTTGGTCTCTTTTGCTCGCGAGATCGGCCTTCTCCATGGCTGACTTGCGATCCCAGGAATGTGGGTGTACAATGGGCCCGAAAAGGGAGGCCTAAGTGCGTCAGGTCCCGGACCGCCCACACACATACATACATTAGCCTATCTGGTACGGCATCACAATTGTAGAATTTTGAAGTGAAGTGTTCCACAAGCAAATAAGGAGTTCTTGCAAATACAGGTTCTGAGATTCTGCGACATCTTCGATGGTTTGCATTGTTCCTGGAATATCCTAAAAAAAAACATGAATTAGTATTATGACTTTCTAATCGCGCCATATGGTTGTAATATACAGATGTGGTAGAAAACATGAGTCCACCCTTCTAAGTGCACTGCTTCATTGAAACAACGACTGTTGCTTTTCTGCAGGGCATGAATAATTTGGAAAATAACTGGTATAAAACCACTGTTTATACCTAACTCTTGAAGGCGACACCCTCCTTTGTAGAGAGGCATTACGAACGCCAAAGTTGATACACTCCCCTCGTAAGGGTACCTGACGTGATTCCATACACTCACATCAATGAGTGTCGACTAAATATTCGACTGAATAAATAAATAATTTAGTGAATCGATAAAAGTCGTTTTTTCATGAAAGAATGTTCGAAGAAGAATATAACTACTTAATGAGATTGAGGAGAGACAATTTTAAAGGTAACTTATCTCAGAAATATCCATATTTTAGCCTATCTGGTACGGCATCACAATTGTAGAGTTTTGAAGTGAAGTGTTCCACAAGCAAATAAGGAGTTCTTGCAAATACAGGTTCTGAGATTCTGCGACATCTTCGATGGTTTGCATTGTTCCTGGAATATCCTAAAAAAAACCATGAATTAGTATTATGACTTTCTAATCGCGCCATATGGTTGTAATATACAGATGTGGTAGAAAACATGAGTCCACCCTTCTAAGACCACTGCTCCATTGAACGACTGTTGCTTTCCTGTAGGGCATGAATAATTTGGAAAAGAACTGGTTTAAAACCACTGTTTATACCTAACTCTTGAAGGCTACACCCTCCTTTGTAGAAAGGCATTACGAACGCCAAAGTTGATACACTCCCCTCGTAAGGGTACCTGACGTGATTCCATACACTCACATTGATGAATGTCGACTAATTATTCGGCTGATGAAGAGAATAATTTAGTGAATTGATAAAAGTCGCACTGCTTCATAAAGACAACGACGTTTGCCTTCTGTAGGGCATAAATTATTTGGAAATGAATTGGTGTAGAACCACCTAACTTGATTCCATACACTCACAGTAATGAATGTCGACTAATTATTCGACTGATGAAATGAATAATTCAGTGAATCGATGAAAGTCGCTTTTCAATGAAAGAATGTTTCGAAGTAGAATAATCTAAATTCTGTTTTCAAGGAATGACAAATTCAACGTTCATGAAAATGAATCTTAAAAATTTCCATATTCCATTAATCTATCAGGTATGGCATTCAAATGTAGAGTTCTGAAGTGATGTGTCCTTCAAACGATAATAAGGAGCCCAAAATGCACTATTCTCTTTGTCAATCCATATTTCCATTTCGTTACTGGTGTTGAAATGAACATTCAATTTTATCACAAGTTATGAAACCTTGCACTTTACGCAACTAGTTCCGTGAAGTAGGACGCTTCAATGCTTCCGTCAGTTTTGAGAAGTGTCAAATCACATGTCGAAATCAAAAAAATATCCATTACGACTTTTTGACGCATGCTTGACATTTTGTCACTACTTTTACTTTCCTGTGCGCGAAAAGAATTTCAAATAAGTCAGGTCATACCCGTTATTTTCCAGACAAATCGGTGCACGATTACCAAAAAACCACCGACAAAGAACAGAGGGCGCTCTTTCAGCAAGAGTGCCTCGACGAGCAGGCGCAACTGAAGATCGACTTCAGTTTCTTCGATCGGCTGTCTCAGTTGCGACTGGGCCAGATGACCGTGTACAGATTGAGGTTAGAGTGTGAGTGTGAGGGTAACTCTTCGAGCGAGAGGTGCGCCAAATTTTTGCCCAGAGAGGGCCAAAGTTGGCCTGGCTATCTGGGCAGATTCGGGGACGGGGTGTTTTTGAATAGGGGTTGAACGAAGGGATCGCCGAATACAATACATAGATTTTTGTTTATATCAGAAAGTAGCGGAAAGTTTCATTGCTAAAAGGAATTTCAATGCGCTTGTTATGTGAATATCATGTGTTGGAGTTTCTTTCGTGTATCGATTGTCAGATAACCTAGTGCAACTGATGAGGTTTGGCAAGCCGAAACAGTCTGCCGTTCCCCCAAAATCTCGTAGTTTTGAGAATTCAATTTTTTTTCAGTATTATTTAATGAATCTCACCCAATTTATTTGAATCAATTCTAACGTTTTGCAAGAAAAACAACAATTGAATTGAGTTAGTTCAGAATTATGTAATCAACTTTCTTTTTCTTCATATATGTATATTTCCAAAAGATCAGTTAATATTGCGAATAATGCTATAACTTTCAACAATAGATTAATTAAATATACAGACGTGACAAAATTCTTAGGTCTCTATATCGACGAAAAATTATTATGGACTAAACATATAGACTATTTGAGAAATAAAATAAATCCGATCATAGGCATTTTATTCAAAATCCGAAATATTATTCCCATAAAATACTTAAAATGTATTTACTTTTGCCTCATTTATTCAAATTTTCAATATTTAATTTCTATTTGGGGGAGTACAAATATTTCACGTCTGAAACCACTAATGAAATTACAAAACAAATCAATTAAGTGCATTTTTCATCTACATTTTCTAGAACCAACGATAAATTTATACAAACCAAGACATTTTCTGAACCTGATTTCGTTATATAAACTTAAAATATGTTGCTTTATTCATTTTGCCAGGAATAAGTTGAAAATATCAAATTTAGCTTTCAATGAAGTCAATACAGTCCATAATTATGGGACTAGACAATTGAATTACTTGATAGCAAATACATTCAAGTCAAACATTGGCAAACAATCTGTTTTTCACAATGGAATAATTTTATACAATTCATTACCGAATGAGTTGAAAAATATACATGATGCAAGAAGGTTTAAAATCAATCTTAAAAAATACTTGCTCAGGACAATTTGAAAGAAAAATATGTGGCATGATTCGATTACTTAGGAATGAAATATAACTTCAATCTTATAAGACACAATATTAATTCGTTTCCACTGAGTGGAATTCATTATAGTTAACCCTTTATTATTATTTTTTTTATATGTATTTATGTATCCCTATCATAAACAGAAATGTTTCTTGGGGTAATAAAGACAATCAATCAATCAATCAATCAAATGGAAAACACGAACCTTGTTAGAAGATACCGAAAAATAAATAAAAAGGAGATTATTATTATTAATAAAACGTCAGGTTTGCAATTCATTCCACATCTCGAATATTTTCTATTATGATTCATAATCTAGTCATTATTTCATAGTAAACGTTTTATAGATACTTGCATTCTTTTTTCATTCTAATTGTGTACCTATACCTACAATACTTTCGGAATAACTTATTAATAAAATTATAATTAATGTTTAGCCAAACTATTCATTTTTGAGGAATCTCTTGAAACAGGTTGATTTTTAATCTCAATTTGCCATATTTATACGGTAAAATTAAATATACAGTGGGATCCACGTTTGAGTAATGACCTCCGCAACAATTTTGTCAAATGGAACACCCTATATATATTATTGAATTTTTTTATTAATGTTCTTCAGCTTTTTTGTAAAAAAACACGAACACTGTTGGATGATACCACAAAATAAGTAAGTTAAAAGGAGATTGTTGTTAAAAACACGACAGTTTTCTAAAGATTGTCTTGTGATTCATATTCTAGTCATTATTTTATAGTAAAAGTTTTATAGATACTTATTTTTTTATTATTATCCCGATTTTGTACCTATGTTTGGAAAATCGACAATAATCATTTGATTTCATTCCCAAAATACAAACTACCCAATTCTTAGGAACATATTAAACAAATATGTCATTGTCATCTAAGTCTATACAGGGATGGTTCATCTAAGCGCCTCATATGAAAATTGAGTTTTTTGTCTGAATTTCGAAAATATTTATCACAATGCAGTTTTCAAACAATTTTCCACATGATTTTTTTGTTATTCAATTTTGTTTGAATTCCCTCTCGTAAGACTAAATTTCATTTTGTAATTTTCTGTAGTTTTTAGAGATGCAGAAACTTCCATTTTCCAAATTTAATAGTAAACAAGTTTTCATGGTAAATATCATCAAAGTTTTGATGACAGATGGACGATCCCTTACAAGTTGTGAGTATTACTAGTTGATATAATCATTAGCGAACATTTATAGGCATTGTATAAATATTCCAAGAATAAACGAGACATACAGAGTGTTCATTAAATTTCAGGAATATCATCTGCGGAACAATATAAGTTGTTGAAATGCCAGAACATTCTGTATATTATTTTTGTACATAAATGTGTATGAATATCCAAACAAGTATTTATCACCAAGAATACATTAGTTTTGCTTCGAAGGTGTAACCTTTACAGGGTGTTTTTTGGTGGGTGCATTTGAATTTGATGAAACCCGCAAAAAACCGACTATATTCTTCTGCAAAAAACAACTCGCTTGCCCGCTGGAAATTTTGGATCAAATCTAATTGGTACAGTAGTGAAAATTTTGGGAATCGGTAAAAGCTTTCTGAGCTATAAAAGAAAAATTCATCCATGTTCATATGATTTTTCTTTTCAATATTTTGCTGGGCGGATTATATCCTAGGCTTTTGTCCCTGCAACTCTAAAACATCCTGTACTGGTTTCAAACTGATGTTTTGTTCAACTGTTGGAACAATAATAAATATTATTACTGACTGAATTGATTTTATATTGAAGGCATCGTTATTTTGCATATTAAAGTACATTTTTAATGGAATCAAATATTATTTGGAACCTGTCAACCTGTCCCCTTGGATATTCAACTTGAAGTACGATTTGTTTACTATTATAAATGTTTAAAATCGCATCACTATAGTAACATTATTCCTGATCGAGCATCATTTTAGCGTCAACTTTTTATCACCTAAAACTTCATAAAGAAAATTCGCCAGTTACAACAATAATACAGGGTGATTCACATAAGAACCGACATAGAGCAGAGGCATATAGGGGGTCCCAAAATATGGCAATTTAACGCAACTTACCTCTTTACCAAGTTACAGGCTTTGAAAGTGAAGTTATAAATTATGAAAAAAATCAATTACTCCGTTATTCTTGAACTTAATGCAACCAAATTTGGTACACTTTGTGGATGTATTTAGGGCGTTACTTGACAGTAAATAGAGTTTAATTGAAATTTGTAAAGGGGGTATACCGGGTGGCGCACCATTAATATTCAACATAATTTTGTTAACACTTGATGGATTTCAAAAATCTTTGCTTTGTTTTGTGGGCAATTCAATTCTAAAACTTTTCTTACTCTAGTAATTTTTCGAAAAACCTCATCATTTTCATCAAAGACTCGAATTACTGAAAACGCGCGCTCTAGGTGTGTTATTTAAAATCATCGAAAATTCAAAAGTTGGCTATGAAAATAAACGTCAAAATTGACAATGAGGCAAGTGAGTTGTTCAATTAAGTAATTGTTGTTTGGGTGTTTCTAAAATGAACGGGAAGTTTTCTTTTAACGAGCAAGCTGACATGCTGTTAGTGCTATGCCTATAACTCCTTAGGAAAGCAACTTGGTAAAGAGGTAAGTTGCGTTAAATTGCCATATTTTGGGACCCCCTACATGTCCCTGCCCTATGTCGGTTGTTATGTGAATCACCCTGTATACTTATGAACATCCCAATCACAAATGAAATGGGAGAGACACCACACCAGCTACTTACAGACATCTTCCTGGTTTCTAAGGAAAATAATGACTGACTGGATTGATCAATCAAAATGGTATCCAAGGGATACCCTCGTCTCGTGTCATATTGACGTTTCCAACCTTTAATTTCATACTGTCGACACAAATTCAAATATTTTGACATAGTTTTAGATTAGATAAAGTTTTTTCTATAAAAATGGCTACGTCGAATTGCTTTCCATATCGGCCTCACGATTACATGTATGGTAGGTGGAACAAAATATATTCAAAGCAACATACTTTATAATTTAGGCACATCGAAATATATTTTTTGTAGATCCCATTTTCACCGTATCGGGCCCTATTGATCATTATAAAGCAGCAATGGTGGCGAAAATGTCTGCAGTGAAATTCGTAAGTAGGTACTTCGGTAGAAACTTTGAATTTTTTTTGTATTCGGTATTGGAAATGGAAAGTACACATGATCAAGATTATGATGAATACCAATTCATATTGCTACCTCAATAGAAGAAAAGGGGTTTATGTATGTACTCTTTCTGAATTTGCAAAAAATTGACTCACTAAAATATGATTTACTCCACTAGTGATGATTTCGCGATAATAATATACTCTCAATTAATTTGTTGATTTATTGTTTCAGGTATTCTCCTGAGTTCGTGATATCTAGGGAATCCTAGTGATGTTTTTTGCAAAAATAAAACAGTTTCGCAAATAAATAGTGATTGGGGTGTGCAAATTAAACCTTTATCAGTTTTTTCACACGATATTTCAAGTAATTTTTACAGCCTCCAAAGAATATGATTTATCATCTCGGTCTCTTGAAATACGGGTACCAAATATTTTTTTTATGTTGATTAAAATATGAATCGAGTTCATTTGTGGTTCATATTGTTTTCAAAATTAGATATTTTCATGAGTTTTTTATTGTGTTCATCACTTAAAATGGGGCTTTGGAATGCCCCACGATACCAGTTAGGTTCGGGAAAATACGATACCAGTAGAGGGTTAAGATAAGAAAGTTGTTGCCGACTTTTGGCACACTCTGTATAGCTGAAGTATTAAAAATATTTCATGTAGATGTTGGGAATGATCGATTATATCAGCATACTTTCCAAATCCAATTTTCAAATTTTTGATTCAATTCCTATGTTTGTGTAAATAGATACCGGGTGTCCCAACTCTATTTATACACGCATTCTCTCGGGATCGGGTGGCATTATCAACGTTCTGAGAAAACTGGCTTAACTGAGAAAGAGTTTTGCACAAAAATTAGTCATTGAAACTACCCCTCGATTATCCACCCCTTAGCACATACCACTAACTTTTTTTTTACATCACACCCCCATATTATTATGGAATGTTTGAGTAGATCATCAGCTTATACAAACACCTTAATGTGTTACACTCTCCATGAATACGACCAAGATATTGTCAAATCAACAACTCACAATAGCATATTTTCATATTAGAAATTTTGTCAACCATCATTATAAATCTAAAGGTAGAATCAGACGACAGATGTAGAATTAGTTATTGAAACAACCCCTCGATAAACCACCCCTTTGCACACACCCCTAATATTTTTTTCAATTCACATCCTCTTATATTTTTGTGGTATGTTTGATTAGCTCGTGAGTTACTTTCGTTTTCTGGTCCAGCGATATTGTGAGGCTTCGTACAGGACCCAAACTTATTGTTGAATGATCCCACTGAAAAAAATCTGAGGGGATGAATCTGGGTATTGTGCTGGCCATCGTATAGGGCCAAAATTTTCAATCCAGTTTTCCCCAAACTAGTTATTCAAGAAATTTGAAAAAAACAGTTAGTGGTAAGTTTCATCGAGGGTTAGTTTCAATGACTTATTTTTGAGCAAGACTTTCTCATTTGAGCCGGTTTTTTCAGAACGTTGATAATATCACCAGTGCGTGTGGAAATAGAGTTGGGACACTCTGTATACACCTACCGTTGATTCTTAACAATACACTCGGCTCTTTTATTTTTTCATCGATTACTTCAATAACTGTCAAATATTATTATCATAGTTGCTGTAAATCATTCCCCGTGTTTTTCCCCAGCAAATATGCCCCATCTTCCCCAACATGTTCTCCGACCTGCCGAACCACCCGCGCGTGCAGCTGGTGCCGCGCCGATCGCCCCCGCCCGCGCCCTACCGGGGTTCCCGCGGGCGGCCCGGGGCGGCCGACCCTGCCCTCAGACGGCCGCCCGACGTGCTGGGCGCCGATCGCCTCAAGTTCTTCTGCCCCGTGCTGAACTTGCCCGCGAAGGAGGAGCTGCCGCTGCAGCATCACGTGACGTTCACCATCGAGAAGGTAGGTGGAGCGATTTTTGGAGCCCTCAGGAAAAATTTGGGTTCGCCCATGGAAACGTGATTTTGTTTATTTTTCGAATTGTGTTGAGACAATTTCTGATTCCAATATACGTACCCCCCTGGAGTCGTGATTTTCTGATTTCTTTCTTATTGTGTTAAACATTTTGAATTTCCAACATAATTAATTTTTGGCGTCAGGAAAAAATGTTTATGATCCTATTGTATAATTTATCACTATTATTGTTCACCCTTCATATACACAGTTAGAGTTGGTGATGAATACTACTACATTTCGTTAAACAAATGAGAAAATTAATAAAGAACCTTCAATGTCAGACTGAAATAACAAAAATATATAATTCCGTTATCAAACTACTACACTAGCTGTATCATGGGGGAACCAGAGCCATATTTCTGTAGGCAAAAACCTACATGATTCGCCTCGAAGGACCATGTAAGATTTTTTTGAACTTTCTTTTTTAATTTTTGGCCTACCATAAATCACTGACACATCACTGAATTGAAGTTTGTGTGTTTTAAAAGGTGGCGAAAAAAGTGAAGAGCAACGTAGAGGCCAAAACGAGGGATGTCAGTACGGAGACCAAATTCAGGGAGTCCTCGGCCCAAACGGAACCCTGGGAACCCCCGTATAAGATCATCGGGAAAGGGGATCCGGAAATACTGAAGCTGGATTTTCTCAAATGGGGTAAATACACTATATTTTCTCATACCTGATGATGTTTCCAATTCTCAATTAACTATTGCTGCATATAACCAATAAATCATAATATCAATGAATTCTTTACTCAACATAAATAAAATCGATTGATTGATTATTTATTTACTAAAAAAACAGAATATATGATTTTTCACCAAAAAAATAAACAAAAAATTTACCTCAACCTTAAAATGAAAAATGAACTCTTAAAACAAACTGACCAGATAAAATATCTTGGAATTTGGTTTGATGACAGGTTGAAGTGGGACAAAAATATTGATGTTCTGACAAAAAAAAATATCTCCAATTATTGGTGCATTGAGAAGATGTCCCAAACTTGATATTAAAATTGCAAACATGATTCTCTACTCTCATGTACTGAGTCGTATCAACTATTTAATAAATGTTTGGGGAACTTGTTCAAAGAACAATTTCAATAAAATATCAACATTTTATAGAAAATCGTTAAAAGTATTGTATGGTCTCCCATTTGATACACCAACCAATCAATTGTTTGAAATAACAAATACGTATTCTTTAGATGAAATATATAGAATTGAAACTCTCAAAATATCATATAATATCATAAATAAAAGATTGAAGTCGAATTTTATGTTGATACGGAATTCTGAAATTCATAATCCTGAAACGAGACAATATAACTTGTTTCATCTTGACGCCGCTAGCTCCATTATCGGACAAAAAAGATTCACTCATTCAGCCTTAAGTGAATTCAATAAACTACCTGACAATGTAAAAAATTGCAGAAATATAGGTTCATTCAAAAATAAAGTGAAAAAATTGATTATTTCTGAGCGAACTGGATAAAATTGAACATGCCTTTTTTTTTCTTTTTTTTTTACAAATATTATTCTTTGTTTGTCAATTTACAGTTGTTGATATATTTTGTATAATGATATGTTTACCTATAGGTATATAATTATGTACTTCCTTATACCAGAGCCTATTCTGTCTGGAAGTTATTTGTTCAATAAATAAATAAATAAATAAATAAATAATTATCTATTTATTGAAAATGTGACTTCCAGTCAGAATGAAGTTCTGGTATAAGGAAGTATAGTTAACAATAATACCTAAAACTATACCTCAAGAAACATTTCTGTTTATAATAGGGATACATGAATACATATAAAACAATTATGATAACTGGTTAACTAATTAATTCCACTCAGTGGAAACTAATCTTTATTTTTCTTAAGATGAAAGTTATAACAGTTCATTTCTGAGTAATCATATCATGCCACATATTTTTCAATCAAATTGTCCCGAGCAGACTATGAATAGATATGAAACAAACACCGTATTGATAGTTTGAAAGTTGAATATCATGTCATGATGAAATCAATTCAGCAGACACGGAATTTTCTCATTTGGCCAATTTCATTGGGTAAGTTTAAATGAACAAACTTTCGGTCCTTTTATCAGTTTATATACTGGTGAAACATGTACATTGGACAGGCTATAATATATATATATAATAATTTGTTTTCTTCTTGTGGAATGATGGCAAAGTTATTACTTCTCAGTCCACGTTCGAATCAGAAAGTCAATATAGGTGCCTGTATCTCAGTAAGGACTACATAGTAACAGAGTAAGTTTAATCGACCGTATTTACTGTTTGCCACCATTTGACCTACTTATAAAATACTAGGTTGATATTGCATGATTATTTCCATTTTTTTTTACTTGTTATATCTTATTATAATTTCATAATTGTATGTATAACACTATGTATATTGTTTATGTATCCCTATTATAAACAACTATGTTTCTTGGGGTAATAAAGACAATCAATCAATCAATTTAAATTTTTCTTGTGCTTATTTTGAATAATTTCATATATAGGTTCGGATTATATTTTTTCTCAAGAAGGAACAAGATTAGAGAAAAACTTTGGAGACCGAAAAGTTGCTGAATTTTCTTGATCCGGCTCAAAGGACCAATATGTTCGATGTTTGAGTGCAGTGGGACTGTATTTCAATTCGATTTCATTTGCTATTTTGTTTTTGCAAAAATTCACTGTGCTTTCAGGCCATGCACGAAGTGCGACTAATAGAAAGAGCCAGGATCCGGCTCGAAGGACCAATATTTTCGATGCTTGTGTGCAGTGGACTGTATTTCGACTCGATTTCATTTGGTATTCCGTTTATCAAAAAATTCAATGTGCTTTCAGGCAGCGGGTTACCGGCCGGCATGCACGAAGTAAGACTGATAGAAAGAGCGAGAATGAAATCGGCGTGGGAGAAGGCCATCCAGCCCTCGATCGAGGATGCCCACTCTCTGGTGCAGTTCCGCGACTATCAGGAGGCCCTCGAGAGGGACGAGTGGGCGTTCAGGGAGGAGGAGATCAAGGAGGTGCAGGAGTTGAGGTTGAAGCTGCTGGAGGAGATGCTCAACGAGGTAGGTACACGGTGTCTCCTTTATTACAGCTTCAACTATACGAGATGGAGAAAACTTCAAATTAGAAAGTTTTAGGGTTTCAATTTCACTCTTTAAACAAACAGATGCGAATCTCAAAATTGAATCCCTCCGATTTTGAGAAACAAATTATGCTGCTTGGCCTAAAACCAACATTATTTTTTCAAATAAGAGTCGGGATTTTCGATAATCATCAATGAAACGAGTTGTATTTGTTGAGATTATTTCATGAATGGCGTTTTCAAATTAGAAATCCGACGTTTCCTTTTCCAGAAAACATATCAACTCACTTTTTTTAGAACACTGATCTTAAGTGGCCTGTTTTGGGTTTAAGGTCGTATTTAATGATTCTATCCACCTCACTTTCAGTTACTGGATATAGAAATAACGAGTGACAACTTACAGTTTTCTTTTCTTTATAGTTGCACGAGAAGGCGAGGACGCGGACCGAATTGAAGATGAAGAGTTTTATTGAGAAAAAGGAGAAGGAAAAAAAGGAGCAGATGGAGAAAATCAGACAGAAAACGGCGAGAGGTGAGTTGAAGAATACAATACCCACTGAGAAAAAAATAATGTGTGTCCCCTTAAAGTCGCGAGTTCTGTTGTCTTACAAAGTATGTCAAAGAATTTCGAAAATCTGATCTTTTTACTGCAGGCCCCCTTAGAAAAAAATAGGTACGCCCCTGATGTTGCGATTTCTATTGTTTATCAAAGTCTGTAGAAGAATTTCGAAAATCTGACCTATTTTTATTTCATGCCTCCTTAGAAAAGAATTGTCATCCTTCTGAAGTCTTTATTTCTATTGTTAATCAAAGTATGTGTGAAAAATTTTTCAAAATTGGACTTCTTTATTTCAGGCCCGCTCATAAAAAATGTGTACGCCCTTGAAGTGGCGATTTCTATTGTCTATCAAAGTATGTGGAAACATTTGAAAAATCTGACCTTTTTGCGATTGCAGCCCCCCTTAGAAAAAAACTGGTACGACCCTGAAGTCGCAGTTTTTATTGTTTATCAAAGTATGTGGAAGAATTTCGGAAATTTGCCTTTTTTTATTTTGAGCCCCCTTAAAAAAATTGGTACGCCTCTGAAGCTGCAGGTTTTATTTTATTTCGTAGAATGTATGAGAAATTTTGTAATTCAGGCTTTTTTTTTATTTCAGAAAAAAATTGGTACGACCGTACGCTCCTGAAGTCGTAATTCTTGTTTTATTTCATAGGATATATGAGAAATTTCGAATTTTCGAAATTTTTCTATTAGAAAAAAATAGTACACATCTGAATTCATGATTTTGATTTTTGAACAACATTTGCCTGTTATACAAGATGTTTCAGATTGTAATCGGGAAAATTTAATAGGTGATAGAACTCGTAAAAATGAGAAGACAAATTTGTGCAACTTGTATGTTTTGGAACTTGAAAGGTGTTTTTTTATTCACAGCTTGAATACTCTTTGGCTGATTTTCGATAAACTCAGCAGGTTTGTTCGTGAATATTTTAGCGTAAATAGACTAGATTCACCCCAATAATATCAATGGCGTCCGAGAGGGATACCAGATTGATATTTACAGTAGAAAAAATGAAGGTCTGGTATATAAATCAAAATTCTAATGTAGGTTCATTCAAAACATCCCTTGAAATAGCCATAATTGGTATAATTTTGATATTTACAGACTTTATCAGTCATCGACTATCTGAATTTTGGTAATATGGAAGCTTATACAGGGTGAATATGAAAAAAAGGGCAAATCATATTTCTGGAGTCAATACCTTGTGTTTCGAGAACTGAGCTTCAAAAGATACAAGCTCAAATGGAACTTCTTTTAATTTTTGCTAGTATCGCCTATCGAATGTTCCTGATTGAAATTTTAAACACTGTATTTCAAGTTTATTACGTATCCTCGACGCCCTATAATTTTTCCACAGTTTTTCAATATTTTCTACCCGTTTAGATAAAAATTGGTGCGTCACTGAAGTCGTAATTTCTATTATTATATGGTACTTTCAACATATTTCCAAATTCCGATTTTGTGATAAATGCCAGGTTAATCTGAATAGAATCAAAATAATTTCGACATTACTCATTTTTGGCATCCTCAGAAAAAAAATTGTACGCCCTGAAGTTGCAATTCCGATCCTCCATCAAAATTCGTCAACGATATTTCGATTTTCCAACATATTGTAACTATAATTCCGCTGGGAATATTTTTGACCCCTCTAAATAAATATGAGTACGCCCCTGACATCGCAATTTCATCCTAGATATATCAAATGTCTAACTTCTCCTTCTCAAATAACATGAACATATTTCTGAAGTCACAATCTCATTTGTTTTATCATATCATTTGGATCACCCTGTATAGCTTCATATCGGGTTTTTAGAGCTGAGGAAGCTGGAGGCTCAAAGGAAAGGCGCTCAAACCAGATACAAAGAGCCGAACATCGTCGACGAACATGTCGACAAAAAATCCGAAATCTACGGCCCTCTGAGGAGGCACGGCGAACATCCGAAACGTTGGCATCAAGTAATCGACGAAAAGATGAAGAAATACAAGGCGCAATTCATCGGTGAGATGGTATTTCAATTTCAATCAGAATTTATTGCGATTTTTCATGGAAATATTAATACCCTGTTAATCGCCCTTTGAATTTTTCCAGCGTTATTTGAATACACCCTGTATACAGGGTGTCTATAAATGATCGTAGAATCATAGTGAACTTTGAAATAGTGCCGCTCTCGGGTTATGTTGTTTACAAACATTTGAGCGACCGAATGAATATGTTATAGTTCGATCTCTTTGAGTGTAAAGCGGCAAATCAATTGAATATTTCAATGGTCACTACGATGCTACCATCATTTATAAACACCCTGTACTACAAAAACTTTAGAAAAAGGTTTGCTGGGACTCACCTCTTTCAGAAACAACTGATTGAAGCAGCATCGTTCTTCTAAAAATCCAAAATTCTGCCAAATATTGTCACTTCACTGTTCACTTAACTTCACTTGTCCAAAACACTTCACGAACACTGATACAAAACCCCGTATATTGAGAGGAAAAGTAAATTCACTGTCAAATCACGATAATTATTACTGTAGTCTGCACTGAAACTCACACAACACCCGGTATACAAAACGAAAAAGTATATACACTAACAAATTTTGATAATTATTAATGCGTCCGTACCCTCCGAAAGCCGTTCGCAAACTGATTCATATTTCTTTATCATCCCGAATAAAGTACTTAGTGAGTAATGTCATACGTCATTCATTACATAATCTATCAGTAGTTTGAGGAAGCAAACAAGAATACAGGGTCGTTTTTTCATTTGGCATTCATAAACGGCACCTTTATTTAAATTGAACTAAACGTATACCGTGTGACCACGAAATTATTGGCCAGGACGACATTCAGTTGTTTTTATGTTATAGACTTTTGACATTTGAATCGGAGATATTCAGGGTGTTTCATTTCTAATTGGAAATATCTCAACCATAGAATCCCGAACTCAAAATATGAAGATTTAACGCAAATCACCTGAATAAAATATGTCTCCTGTCTGAGTTACAGGGTGTTTTATTCAAAAATTTTGTAATGTTTTTTGCCCAGTTCTTCAAAACTATTTGACGTGCCACTTTCATATTTGGAGGGAAGTGCATGTAGGTATTATACATCCACAATTATGTGAAATGAACCTCACTAGCTATTACCAGAGGCGTACGACCGGGGCAAGTGACTGGTTGATCCTTTCCAAATTCTACGCCACTGGCGGAATTAGAATTTCATCAGAATTTTCCGATTCTTCAATACCTTCTTCGTAAATATTGTCTTTCGTCATAGCGATAAAGTCATTGTTTTTCGAGATATTTCGAGTTAAACATGAAGCAGCAATGGACTGCATTCATCAATCAAATGAAACTTCAATCCATATTAACATAAAAACATAACAGACAAAAGCTGTTACAGGGCGTTTTAAATTTTTTAATATATTACATAATAAAACACCCTGTAACAGCTCCTGTCTGTTATGGTAATTATGTTTTCATCGTTATTATGGATTGAAGTTCCATTTTATTGATGAGTACAATCTATTGATCCAAAATATTGACAAAAGCAATGCACATTGAAATCAAAATGATTGTGCAGATTTATGTTTAACTTGAAATATCTCGAAAAATAATGACTTTATCGCCATGGAAAAAGAGTACATCTACATCGAAATTGTTGGATAATCGAAAATAATTGATAGAATTGCAATTCCGCCAGTGGCGTAGAATTTGGGTGGGATCAACCAGTTAATTGTCCCTGTCGCACGCCTCTGGTAATAGCTAGAAAAGTTCATTTCACATAATTCATTTGGGTGAATAATAACAACACTTCCCTCCAAATATGAAAGTGATACGTCAAATAGTTTTGAAGAACTGGGCAGAAAACATTACAAAATTTTTTAAAACACCCTGTAACTCAGACAGAAGACATATTTTATCTAGGTGATTTGGGTTAAATCTTCATATTTTGAGTTCGGGATTCTATGGTTGAAATATTTCCAATTAGTAATGAAACACCCTGTATTTCTATAGTTCCTCAAAACCCATATATTCCTTGAAAAATCAATTGAAAATTACTTCCCGTTTTACCGGAAATAGACCCAGGTCAAGAATTTATTTCATTTCTATGACATCTCACAAGTGGACATTTGTTTTTAGGTGCAAGAGCCCCTTTTTCATCAATATTACGACACTGTGTTGTCATTTAATGGAAAACGCACGGCACTGTCCAAAATGAGAATGAGTTGCAAAGGAATTTATGAAAATGTGCATGCTGGTATTTGAAATTACGCTCTCTACGTTTAAAATATTTTCGACAATGCAGTGTTGCAGCTTCTATCGAAAAGTATCACAACTTTGTTATTTCAAAAAGAATTCCCTGTATTTTATTGCATTTTGATTTACTATCTACTGACATTTAATTGGAACAGACCCCAGAATTCTGATTCTTGAACCACCCTGTATCTGTTCCAATTAAACGTCAGTAGATAGTAAATCAAAAGTTGAAATAGGGACATGAAAGCCGTTTCGACCGATAAGGAATAGTTTCTACACCCTATATATCTCTGTAATCATTCCCGCTAGACCCCAAGTGTGATATCTCGATGAATTCAGCTCTTCAGGGAGAATCTTAAAATGCAATAAAATACAGGGAATCTTATTCAAAATAACATAGTTGTTGCTACTTTTCGAAAAAAAAAAATTAAAATATAAACACACACAGTTTCAAAAGATGTCTTATGACCGATTCTCGATATAGAGATAGTGTAATGCTCGTCGTGACATACCCCGTATACTACAAAAACCATAGAGAAATGTTTTCTACAAAATCTTGGTACTCACATGTTGTATGTACTATTTCAGAACCAACTAATAAATGCAGCGTCAACCTTCGAAAAATTCAAAATTCTGATGTAGAATATTCTCCACAGAAATCAGTCGATTGATTCACTTTTCACTTAACTTCACTTTTCACCTAATTTCACTTTCACAACATCATAAAAATACTCCGCAAAAGCTCAGTAGTATTATATTATACACAATAGAACTGACACAAAACCCGGTATATAAAACAGAAAAGTAAATTCACTGTCCAATCACGATAATTATTACTGCAGTCTGCACTAAACTCGCACAACACCCGGTATACAAAACGAAAAAGTATGGTCCGCATCATGTCCGCACGCACCGAAAGCCGTTCGCAAACTGATTCATATTTCTTTATCATCCCTTAATCATCCCGAATAAATTCGTTGATGACTAATGTGATAGGTCATAGGTTATATAAGTATAGTATGAGAAAGCAAACATGAATACAGGGTCGTTTCTTCATTTGACATTTAAAAACGGTGCCTTTATTCAGATCGAATTATACAGGGTGTATACAGGGTATCCCATGTTATCGTATACAGGCAATATCTCTCTTTTTTTTTTCAATTTACTCGGTGGAAATTCATAGTAAATATAAAAACTTCACCAAATATAAGATTTCCAAAAAATTACACGACATACAGGGTGAGATTTTGAAAAGTTCTCACCCTCAATATCTCCATTCCAGTAAATAATATGAAAAATCTAGAAAACAGGTCAATTTCATATATAAGGTAGGTGTTTTGATGCCATCCAAAGCAGTTTTTTTCAATTTTCTTTATTATCTTGTCTTGAGGGGCACCGTGGCCGAGTTTGTCTATGTACTGAAATTAGCTAAATAACCGTTTACGATGCGAAGTTACGGTCGATTCGAATCCGGCGTGGCTGAGCATTTTTCATAAAAATGTGTGATACTTGGTTGTAATCCTGCCAATACCTCGGCGTCCTAGAAGTGGTTCAGATTCTACTATAAGCTGTAGGTTCGGTCGAACGGTATACAAATCTTACAAAAATAAGCGAATTATTGCCGGTATATGATAAATATGACATTAGAGTAAAATTGAACTTGAATTCTGAATTTCGTATCAGGTGTTGAAAAGTTCAGTACTCTGCCAATATGGTTGGACCAAGCAACCAAAATCGACAAACGGCGACTTTACAGCAACAGTCCCGGTAGAAGATTGTGCATCAGAGAGACCAAATGGTCTGCCCCGGTACTCAAACAGTTGCACGAAGAACTAAAAGGTACAAAAAAAAGTGTCTCGAGGAGCGCCAGTGTTATTGTTGACTTTTCATTCACACAGATTTGAGGAAAGAAACTAAAAAACGTCCACTCTCGTTGAGGACCAAAATAGAAACTGCTGTCGAAGAAGCTAACACTCCAGAAGTTGAAGGAGTACCGCAATTGGAGGAGGACAAATATCAAGCTGCGGTTTTGTTACAAAAAGTGATACGAGGACGAGCCGCTCAAATGATGGTATAATACCCACTCCACACAAACATACATTTCACATCATTCGCTTACAGACACCAATAAACACTCGTTAAAACCCATAGACACATGTAGATACCTACAAATACTTGTAAACACTCATAAATTCTCGTAAACACTCATAAACACAATTTTTTTTTAACAAATGCGAAAATTGTATGGTATCTTTCTATTGGTGATGAAACATATTTGTATTCAGATATATGAAGGAAGAAACACTTGTAAAGAGTTGATACACGAGTTGAAGTACTCTGTGGGGTTGCTAAAGAAGCAAAAAGAAGTGAAGTCTAAACAGAAGCAGAAGGTGAAGGTGCAGCAAAGGGAGGAATGTAAACAGTTGAACATGGTGAGTCCCATAATCATAGAACATTATAAATTGTGAACGGTACCTATTGGAAATTGAAAATTAATTTGTTCTATTTCGCCAGATTTTTGAAAAATAAAAATATTGAAATAATACGCACACCTTGAAAATGTGGAGAAAAGTATGTCCTACCTCCCCGACTAACCTATAGACTATTTTTGGAATGAGATTCCCAAATATATTTTGAAATCAGCACTTAGGTCCTTAAGATTTCTATTACAATTATGATCGAAGTTAATAGTTGCTCATCACAACATGAAACACGAGTGTTTAATATATATTTTTTAATTCAGTGACATAATTGTTTTTTTGGGGAACACCCTATATATCAATGAATATATTGATCATACATCATTTCGGGATTATTGACCAGAATGACAAGAACACACAGTTAGAAACGAGTACATCAAATTAGGTATGCATTATCTTATAAAATTACTCATATTTCAGTAATAATATGTGTGTGACAATTAAAAAAATTCCAAAACGTTTTCGAGAAAACAGATGGTGCGATATATTTTTCAGTTCAGTGGCTTTACCTTTCAACGTGTGATCCCAAACACGTTCTGAGGTCATCAGAAAATTTTCTGCAGTCGTTGGATTCGAACCCACGAAGAACAACTTGAATAGAATACTGAGGCTTTTGATTTTTTTTAAAGTGCACAGCTTTGATTGTCATCCTGTAGATCATTTCCATATGTTCGATAGTCAATGAAACAAACATTCATAAACTGAAAATTAATTAATTTATTTCAAGAATAACATACAAATGAAACTGAAAATCGGTCGAAACAGTCGAAAGTTATGATAAATCAAAATTGATGGAACATTTTTTTCTTTTCTGCCTTGTCCGAGAAGCACGCACTTCTTGGACTAGGCCAGAAAAGTGCTTCACTTTCTCAAAGAATTAACTACCGAAAAATGTTGTTTAATGAGCGTGTCAATTATTTTCGAAAATATTTTGGCACGGTCGTGAAAAAATACCCTCGAAGATGAATTCTCCAGGTGCACAGGCTGCAAGGCTCTCTAGGCAAACTGCAAGGCTCCGTGGTGGGCACGCTGCTCGATTTCTTGAACAAGGAGCTTCGCAGGCTGTTGGAGGAGCGCAAGGCTCACGCTATGTGTCTGATGAACGAACGTGAACGGTACGTAAGGTTTTTAACAGAAGTTCGAAACCCTGTATATGAACTTTTCGTCTTAGAAACCACCGAAAATTCATCGCTTATTCACACCCTGTATATGATTTTGAGGAGTTTTTTTTAATCCTGCGTTATAACTCTTTTCATTTTTGAAATAATAATTGGGTTCTAGCGGGAATGATTACAGAGATATATTGGGTGGTACCTAATAATACAGCGTGTCTCACGTTAAACGCCCCCCCCCTCTACAGTGTCATTCATAAAGTCGGCATCATATGGGAAAAACTTTTATTAATGTCTTATTTTGGAATTCGAGTTGTACGTTGAGTTTTGCTTCAAAAAAGATGAGAAATGGCCTACTCAATCGGGGTCACGTGACTTTCGCTACATGTCAAAAGTGACATTTTTTCAAATTAATCGCTGAAAGTAGGCTTATTTGTTCGAATATCGAAAAAGTTTACTTGAAAAAGTTGTTTCTATTTCAATTTTACACATGCTTCTCGAATTTGATCTTTCTATTGCAACTTTTAGATTCTCATTTTTTTTTTTTTAATTTTCAAAATGTCTGTAATATTTGAAGAATTGTTTATTTCACGAAACCACTTCATACCAGTAGCTTTTTCATGCTACTCACTTTCAATTACTTATTATGACTGATTATAGACAAAAATATGATTATTTTCAGAAAATGATAATACCCGCTCCAAATTCTGTCATGTTTGATGCAAAGTTGATATATCGTCAAGCATTTAGAAACGAAATTCATTCAAACTGATCTTTTCAGTACTGAAAAAATAAATTCAAATGAACTTCGTTTCTAAATGCTTAACTCAAACATAACATCATTTCAATGTTATGTTTGCATCAAACATAACAGAATTTTGAAGCGGAGATTATCATTTTCTGAAGAAAATCATATTTTTGTCGATAATTAGTGATAATTAGTGATTGAAAGTTAGTAGCATGATGAAGCTACTGGTATGAAGTAGCTATATCGAATTTACAATTTTTTTAATATTACAGAAATTTCGAAAATTTTAAAAAAATATCGAAATCTAAAAAATGTAATAGAAAGATAAAATCCGAGTCACATATGTGAAATTGAAATAGAAACAACTTTTTCAAGTGATTTTTTTCGATATTCGAAGAAATAAGCCTACTTTCAGCGATTAATTTGAAAAAATGTCACTTTTGACATGTAGCGAAAGTCACGTGACCCCGATTAGTAGGTCATTTTTCATCTTTTTTGAAGCAAAACCTGACGTCCAACTCGAATTTCAAAATAAGTCATTAATAAAAGTTTTTTCTATATGATGCTGACTTTATGAATGACACTGTATATCTCAGTTATTAGTCATGCGATTCCAACCAAATTTGGTGTGGTATGAATAACCATCAATATGATCAGTTTTACAGAGATACACATTATTTTGGACAGTGCCGTGCGCTTTTATTGAACTAAAAAGGGGTCGATTTTTCATAAAATCATATTAGGCATTTTTTTACAGGAAATCTAACCTCATATTATTGTTCCTCATGCTTTCGAACCACCATATGCAAAAAATCATCTAATTCCGAATTAACAGGATTGGCTTCATTTTGTTCATTTTCAGTCTGGAATAAGAAGTGACTTCAAATCAACTACGAATTTTGGAACGTTCAATGGCTCCGGTAGGTGAAAAATCATGATTTGGAAGGAAAAACGAGTTATATTTTTTTATGTTGGAACTCACCGTTCCCGAGTAAATAATCATTACGTTCGCAAAAATGCTGTTTAGATATGTGCCTGTTTTTCTGAAACCCTTCATAGGCATCTAATGAAAATCCACATATGTGGTTTTGAAACCATGAAGAATAATATTATGAGGTCAGTTTTCCTGTGAAAAAATGCCTTATATGATTTAATAAAAAACTGACCACTATTCATTTCAATAAAAATGCACGGCACTGTCTAAAATGATGTTTGTCTTTGAAGAACTGTTCATATTGATGATTATTCATACCGATACAAATTTGGTGAAGATCGCACGACTGATAGCTGAGATATTTCATGACGATTATTTTTCGGAAGAAAAACAAACATTATCAAAAAAATGCAAGTTAATACTTTGATGAAATTCAATGACTCTGATGTTAATGGATATCAGATATTCCAGGGACACGAATAGGATAACCTCTAGGGATGTACCGGGCGGGATGTCTACTGGACAACCACTGCGCGACATCCCCTGGATGCCCCAAAATCATGTCCTTGTACCGCGGGACAAAAAAGGGACGTACCTAGGACATCCCTGTGTTGTTAGGGGAGGGTGGGCCGTTTGAAATGAGACACGCTGTATATACAGCTATAAAATTTCGAAATTTGAATGAAATACCTCACGGTACCTAATAATGTACTAGAAATCCGTGGGCAAAAATCGTGGTATCATTATGGAGTTTTGTTCCATATTTAAACCTACGGGGTGTTGCAGGTATATACGGGAAGCAGCAGAGGCTGGCAGAAGACAGAAAGAACTGCGAAGAAGAAGGGAACATGACGAGATGTTCAAACAGGTCTGAATTGAAATTTCTAAATTTCCAAGGTTTTTCAGGAAATTTCACTCTTGTAAATTTGTACCTCGCTATTTTCGCTATTATCTGAGTAAATCTAAGACAATGAAATTTTTCATGAGGAATAACTATCACTTCAGTCTTAAGCAAGAAGTGTTGGTTCCTATATAATGAGAACAACGATGGATCCGTATATTTTTTGTCTAATGTGTATTTTCCAGAAATGCAGAAGCTTTTAACAATGATTAAATTTGCTGAAAAACAACTATTTCAAATGCTTTCTGCATGTGTTTATTCCAAAGGTTAATGCCATAATTTTGAATTTGATTTTTTTTTTTCAGGTAGTAAAAGTAACGCAGGAAAGCGTTGATGTTTACCTACAGGAAATCATCACTGATGGCATTGAGTTTGCTTCATCAGAAGAAGCCAAGGAGTACATTGACAAGCTAGCTAAAAAGATCGAGCTTGAAACCGAAATGGATTATAATAAGTTAGTATATTAATCATCATAGACTACACTGTTTTACCACTAACCAAACCGATTTTTTAACGCCTCGACACGTGTTTCGCTAACTATGTTAGCATCTTCAGGAGAAGATTAAAACTCAGTTCTAATCTTCTCCTGAAGATGCTAACATAGTTAGCGAAACACGTGTCGAGGCGTTAAAAAATCGGTTAGGTTAGTGGTAAAACAGTGTAGTGTATTATCATGCCAAAGGTTCCAGTCTTCGATATAATCATCATAGGTATATTCTCATGCGGCACTTATTCAAAATTAAGAATTTTTTTTTTCATGCACATTTCAGCTGGGTTAATTTTTGATTACATTATTTTCTTTCATTAGTATGCATATGTGGCTTCCATAAAAAAAAACTGACTCTTTTCCGTAAGAAATTATCGAGAAAATGATGCAAGATGGCGCCTCCAAAATGGCGGGGCGGTTTTCAAGGTCGCTGATTACGAATTTTTTAGTAGGGAAGGAAATTAGTTCTTATTTAGATTAGGTACATATTCTTAATTCATTTTCACTGCATTTTTGCAATTCTCATTCTAGGCATTTGGATGCTCCAATGCATGTACAAGATGAAACTATAGCTGATATGGTGTTGCACTTCATGTTGCCAGATGTAGAAAAACAATTAATTCGGGAGAAAATCACCATGAAACAAAAGCAAAATTTGAAAACTATTCATGACAGCATTTATTCTGAATTTGAGAATCTTCCGAAAATTGGTAAAAAAGGGTGTTGAAAAGTAATTTTCCTACAAGTTTCTCAATTTTCTTTTCTTTTAGAACGCCCACCTGAAATAGTCTCTCATATTTTGGAAGACATTCAAGAAAAAGCTCTCACTGATACAGAAAGTGGGAAAATAGCCTATGATATCCTGGAAGATATCCTTATTAAAGTTGAGACTGGTATATCAGCTTCAGAAACACTGAATGATATTGAAGAAGCTGAAACATTATCCCCAATCCATTATCAAGACCCTTATGAGGAATATTTGAGACAACTAATGGCTGATGAACAAATTGATGAACATGAATATACTAGTGTTGAGGAGTTCAGTGACAATTCCACTGAATTTCAATTCAGGCATGACATTTTAGACACCATAACAGAAGTTGACACAGAAAACACTGAAAGCAGTTCAAATAAAGAGCAATAAAATTGTATAAATATAATCTTACATAGTGTGCTTACAATTAAAAGAAACCATACAGATGCATTACATAATATTTCCTAGCCTTTTATAGTCTATTTTTTCTAACTGCACCAAAGGTCTCAGTTGTTCTGCAAAAATTCGCATGTCCTCTGCAATGGCATCTTGCCCTGAGGGTGCCAGCACTGACAATTCCACCAAATAACTCTGAGAAATAGGTTCCACCGTTTCTCCAGGCTTATTCCCTCCCATTTTGAAAATCTTTGACACAGTTATCTTCATCCTGCCCTTTCTAAACATATACCCTCTGGCTATATATTCAAAGTCCACTCTACATCCTAGCTCAGTCAAAAAATCCACTATAGTTGAGCTGCACGCCATATCAATACTGGACCTCACAACTGTGGGCCTGTTTTTGTCCCCCAATTCTTGTTGTCCTATATACCGAAGTTGATATGGGGTATCGCTCACATCTAGGGCTCTTCTCACCCTCAAGGAAAACACCGACATGGGCGTGGTGGCTCCCGTGTTGGCTATCCGCAGAGAAAAACACAATTCGTGATCGTGGAAAGACTCGGGTCCGCTGTCTACGTTGTCGCATAAGCCCCTCAAACGGTGTAAAAGAACCTCGACGTATTGGTCGAGGACTGAACCTTGAAGTAGGTATTCTTGGTTGGGGATTATGTTGCATTTCAGAGCAGCGCTCAGGGAGTCCATAGCGTTCCCCGGGGCCGACATTTCCCACTTTGTTTATCAACAAAATCAAGCAGAAATTATAGGTTATAATCTTCCCAAATGGTCTTCTCAGTTCAGTTCTTTCAGTTAGCCATTGAAGTCAAGGTACATTTATAGCCGATAGCTGGAAAAAGTAAAGAGCAGATACCCATTGTTTGTATGTCCGATACCGAATGAGTGAGAAGAAGAAACCTGAGGCTTTATGAGTTATGTCCAAATACGACGCGATGCTGAAAAATTGGGAAGAGGAAGAAGAAATAGAAACGTCAAACGTCTCGAGTATTTTGCTGGTCATCTCTTCGGTCTTCAGTCTTCAGCTTCACTCTTGTCAAAAGATCGTTTTCATTTTGTGTTCCAGAAATAATTCCACTTCATTTTCTGTTAGTTCATTGAGATATCTTTAACATGGAAACAGAACAACGTGAAAAAGGTCTCCAAGATTACCGGAAAAAGTTGTTAGAACACAAGGAAGTCGAATCCCGATTGAAAGAAAGTAAGGAAACATATTCTGTTGTGTTCCTCTATTGTTACCATAAATACCATTTCAGTGAGGGAGCAGCTTAAGGACCTGACGAAACAGTACGACAAATCCGAAAATGATCTGAAGGCTTTGCAAAGCATGGGTCAAATAGTCGGTGAAGTTTTGAAACAGCTCACAGAAGAGAAATGTAAGTGGTTTCTTTCTCAGCATTCCCTCGCTAATTCCTTGACTTCCAGTCATCGTCAAAGCCACTAATGGCCCCCGATATGTCGTCGGATGCCGCCGGCAGTTAGACAAGTTGAAGTTGAAGGCAGGCACAAGAGTAGCTCTAGACATGACCACATTGACCATCATGCGCTATTTACCACGTGAAGTTGATCCACTAGTTTACAATATGAGTCATGAAGATCCAGGAGATGTCACTTATTCTGCTATTGGAGGTCTCTCTGAGCAAATCCGGGAGCTCAGAGAAGTAATTGAGTTGCCTCTGATGAACCCTGAGCTGTTCATGAGAGTAGGCATCACACCTCCCAAGGGTTGTTTATTGTATGGCCCCCCTGGTACAGGTAAGACTCTTCTTGCCAGGGCAGTGGCTTCTCAGCTAGATGCCAACTTCTTGAAGGTTGTGTCTAGTGCTATTGTGGACAAATACATTGGTGAGTCTGCCAGGCTGATCAGGGAAATGTTCAACTATGCCAAAGACCATCAGCCTTGCATTATTTTCATGGATGAGATTGATGCTATTGGGGGTAGGAGGTTTTCTGAGGGTACCTCAGCAGACAGGGAGATCCAGAGGACTCTTATGGAGCTTCTGAACCAGATGGATGGTTTTGACTCTTTGGGACAGGTCAAGATGATCATGGCTACCAATAGACCTGATACTTTGGATCCTGCTTTGTTGAGACCTGGTCGTTTGGATAGAAAAATTGAGATTCCTTTACCTAATGAGCAGGCTAGGTTAGAGATCCTGAAAATTCATGCTTTACCTATTGCTAAGCATGGAGAGATTGATTATGAGGCAATTGTTAAGCTTTCTGACTCTTTCAATGGTGCTGATCTCAGGTAGAAATGATGTGGGATGGATTTGTTTGCTAACTTTGATATGATTTGTTTTTTTTTAAGGAATGTTTGCACTGAGGCAGGTCTTTTTGCTATCAGATCTGAAAGAGAGTATGTGGTCCAGGAGGATTTCATGAAAGCAGTGAGGAAAGTAGCTGATAATAAGAAACTTGAAAGTAAATTAGACTATAAGCCTGTATAATCACTCATAAAACATATTATTATTGATTTTTCCTTATTCAGTACATTTTTTGTGTATTTTCTATAGTTTTACTATCCAATTTTCACATTGACATTCAATGTCAATAGATATCTCAAGGTTTTTAGTTCAGATATAATGGAGAAATCATAACTAGGCAAAGGAAGCTCATTTACAATGAACATATTATTAGGAACCCACAACATAGAAAATACAAGGTGGTTCAAAATTTGATGTAAATATTTCAAGTACATTTTGTTGGGATCAAAATAAAACTGTTTCTTCTGTTCTACAGTGTGACCCATTTAAGATGGAAGCACCCTTATAAAACTTACATTTTTGAACCGATTGGAATGATTTTTTTTTTGTTAGGTAGATATTCAAAAAGTCTATTAGGACACCAAATATCATGAATAAATCTCCATTTCCAGGGCCAACTAATCTGATTTTTCAAGGTCAAAAATCTAAAAAAATTACTAGCGATTTTTTTAGAAAAAATCTGACTACACCACTGGATTTGTGACATTTTCAAATGGGTAACATGTGAATTACGTTGAAATGCGTCAATCAATAAAAAAGTTATAAAGGAATGAAATTTGAAAAATATGCCGTTTAATCAACCCATCAATTTTTATTACTGAACAGATTTCGATGAAACTGTGATCAGTAATATTTCAAGACATCCTGAATCCAGTGGAGTATACAGAATTTTCATAAAATTCCTGAACATGAATTGGTGGGTTGATTAAACGGCATATTTTTCAAATTTCATTCCTTTATAACTTTTTTATTGATTGACGCATTTCAACGTAATTTACATGTTACCCATTTGAAAATGTCACAAATCCAGTGGTGTAGTCAGATTTTTTCTAAAAAAATCGCTAGTAATTTTTTTAGATTTTTGACCTTGAAAAATCAGATTAGTTGGCCCTGGAAATGGAGATTTATTCATGATATTTGGTGTCCTAATAGACTTTCTGAATATCTACCTAACAAAAAAAAAATCAATCCAATCGGTTGAAAAATGTAAGTTTTATAAGGGTGCTTCCATCTTAAATGGGTCACACTGTATATAAATATGATTCCTAAAATTCATCCCTTCTGGCCTACAGCCACTGTGAGCTTTGTAAAGAATGAAGATTATCTGAAATTGTGACTGAAATAACAGATCAAATATTCTGAAAATTTGCATGCCCCTGTCCTTATAGACACTTTATATCCTTGCTTCAAAAATTATGTAAACCCAGGTTTGGGGTAATTAGAGGGGGTGGGTCCTCACTTTTATTGGCCAAAATTGGGAACATTTTAGGGCATTTGTTTATATGAAGAAAAAGTATTTTTTTTACCAATGAGTCCTTAAAATATTTACATCGAATTTTGAATCACCCTGTATATACATTTTGTTATCTACCTGAAAATTAACTAGTTTTGATATGGTTCCCGAGTTTATTGATATAAGAATAGACTGAAATGCTGACACCAAGATTTTTGCTCGGCAGTCCGGTTTTTATCTTTCACCCCTATTTTTTATTTTTTTAAAGACATTACAATTTGTGTGCTCACTGTATACTCACACTATCTTCAGTATTTTTTGTGTTACATATCAAAAATTTCAACCCAATCGGTCAAGCCGTTTATTATTGACGTAAATTAGGCCTTTCCATTCAAATGACAATGATAATAAATGACTATCTGTGTTTACATCTCGCATCCAACGACAGAGTGACGGCCATTTTCACTGAAATACTTTGCACCACACTCCTTTGTACGTTTTATCAATTTAAATTATTAACACCAGTATACCGGGTGTCAACGATTCTGAGACAATTCTGGATCAGAATGTGACATTTTCGAAAGTTTTTATGCCTACTATTGCCTAGGGCGTTTTTTTTATTCCATCGAAGAAAGTGCGCACTGATAGATGCGGTTTTTTGTCGTGACGTCACCAATTGTTCTGTTGGAATTTATGCTGGAAGGATTGAACAATGGTTTATACAACACATTGATGGAAACACGGATTTTGTTGTGTGTCAGTCATCATGTATCTTGAGAATCAGAAAAGGCTATCGACTTTATTGATTAACACTGACTCTTTCTTCTAAAATCTCTCAAGAATCTCAAAAATCCTCAATATTAATTATTTTCTATCAAATCAAAACAAAAAACAACACTAAAATGTGTCAACTGTCATGTCAATCTCCTCCAAACTGCTGGATTCTCGAAATGCGATTTAAAAGTGCGCATTTTATGACAACAGTTTGATGGATGTCCATCAACATTCCAGCGGAATTTTGCAACAGTTTGATGGTTTCTTCGATTCATGCGCATGATAAAATGTTGGAATGAAAAACGCACATAAATTAGTATCGTTAGATTCGTCAAAATATCCTTTTTTCGGAAAGTGCTTGTCAAAAAATGGTCGCCATTCGAAAAATAATAGACACGAAAAGGTAATTTTGCCAACTTGTCTTATTCATATCTATCATACTTGTCACTTATTAAACTTCGCGATTGTAATTTTCTGATATCACCTGAGGTCCTTAGATGAGTTTACTTCCGATCCGCAAAAATTAAGTAGGCATAAAAACTTTCGAAAATATCACATTCTGATCCAGAATTGTCTCAGAAATCAAAAAATGTTACAATATACAGGGTGTTCCATTTAAAAATCTAGAACCGGAGCCATTTCCGGTGAAACCGGAAGTGACCGGAAAGTGAAAAATATGTGAAAACTCTCCTCTTCACATACCATCTACCTATACCAAATCTCATTTTGATACACCTAATGGTCTAGAAGTTATGACTTGTCTAATAGATTCGTTGACACCCGGTATAGAGACTATATTGTTATTGTTGTTTCTCAATGACGAATGCCTATGGTGGTTAACACTGTTGACATTTGACAGACAGCCAATGAGACTTTACCTTCGCATCAACCCAATCAAATTCTGGATCTAAAAGCGAGCGCATGCGTCTTAAAAATATATCTATATGAAAAGGCCTATTGTATTTTCAAATCATCCTGGAAACCATCGAAATACCCATTCGTTGTCCAATTACCCGTTCTCCTGTAGGAATGAAGCATCACCTATGTTCATCAAGGATAATGTCGGCTTCTAATGGTAAAAGAATTTTTCAAATCGGTCCATACTAGTTTTGGAGCGTATTCAATACAAACAAACATTCAAATCTTTCCTCTTTATTATATAAATATAGACTAGGTATACAAAAACGGACATAAAACTAATATCACTGAATCGATTTTACAGCATCTTCAAGTTTCTCATACTGTAATCTCAAATTTTTATCAAACCCCACACCTCTTAGCCTCTCAACATTAATAACCTGCTGTTTGACATTGCCCAATAAATCTTTCACATCATTTGGAACAAACTTAGCCAAAACTATCATCAATTGAAAGTAGTTCACCGTATTGAACGCCATGTTATTATGTTTTTCTGTAACAGCCAACATGACACTGCTAAACTCTCCTTTGATTTGGGGGTATAAAGGAGAACTAGTTATTATTTTTATCAAACTTATCGCCGCGTTTCTTTGTGAATGGAAAATCACCACCTCAAAAAGCCCATAAACTGTTTTGTTGACGATCAGTTTCAGAAGTGGGATTGAAGTGGTGCTTCTAATCACATCCCCAAGAATTTTCATGATCTTCAATGTATTTGCCTCTTCTTCTTTGAAGGGATGCTTGAAATAAGAGCTGCAAATCTTCTCCAGTACAACAGGAGCAACAGCTTCGTTCTCCAGAGATTTTATAATAGGGGAATCGCCCGTGGAAAAATACAGCATGTACTTTGTTATCATATCCTTCAAAGTCCGTTCTAAGAACATATCCGAATCTGTCCGCATTTTAACTAATGCCTCGTAGAAATAGTGCCAAGTTTTCTTCACGGCATTCAAAACGAACTCATGAGGAACAGTCTTTCTTGTCAAAAACTCCATAGACAACAGCATACACTGTATAAGCTTGGTCAAAGGGCAGGAATTCCTCGACCGGTGGTACAACAAAGGACCACAATGAGAAAATGCCAAGTACACACAAGTGTAAATTCGTAAAACAGCCGTTTCGTTTTCTGGTCGTTGCAAATACTGAGTCAACCATTTGTCCAAATGCCCAAAAGACAACTCACAGAGTTTGTTGATACTAGGAGAGTGTTGGTGGTGTTTGATGTCACTTCCCAGGTATTCAATAAGAGCATGAATTGGGTCTGGAGATGTTTCTATGTGAGATTTCAGCATTTGCGGGAATATATCCAGTTTTATAATGTTTTTTGTGAGGTCCCCACAGGGTCCTGAGGTCAACAAGCAAATTTTCACCCAAGATTGTACTACTAGAGCTTCCTGTTGAGCTGTTAAAATGAATTGGGAAGGATAGTTATCCAAGACAACTGTTAAAAACTGAGAAGATATTTTTGGTGAAATATTTTCACCTGTGAAAAATTGGAAAATGTCTGTGGAACTCTGTGCAATGATTAAATATAGTTTACCAGCTAGTTTTCCTATGATTGCTGGGGCATTGTAACAGCTAGAAGTTTGTTTTAATATAGGCAAAACATGGTCTTTGAAAGGATCCATCCAATAACTCCAGGAATCTGCGTTTTCTACCTTTTCTAGTGTGGTTGACAAAACATCTAGAGTAGAATTCATGTCTGCATAATAGCAGGAGGGTAAGTAATTTGATAGCCAAGAGTCTAAAAAGATCCACTGATGTAATTGCATTTTATCACTAAAATTCAATATATTTTCAAAGTTTGTCACAAACTCTTTTATCAAATGGAAATCCTTGTGATCCATGGATGCTTCTTGTATCAATTTTAGTAAAAGTGGGGCTGTTTTCTCCAAATCATGACCTTGTCTCACTTGTAGAAACATCTAAAAATAAGGATAATAATAAAAAAAAAAACACATTTTTTTGCTACAACTCACAAATGCTGTATAAATATTCCACACCAATTTTGTATTTTTCTTCTCTGTGGGCAAGCTTTCAAAGAATGAAACAATTTTCTTCAAAAGTTCTTCATAGTTGATAGTTCCCAAGGCAATGAAAAGTAACATAACATGTACTATACCAGTCTCCCCTAGTTCTTTCAACTTATTTGGCCCAAGTTGAGAGTAAATCCTTCCTTTCATTTTGCCCCAATGTGCTGGATATTCTTTGAGATGGCATATCATCATCCCAACAAATTTTTCAAAATCTTCATTGCACTTGGTCCATGACCAAAGTATATTTTCAATTGCTTCATTGAGTTCCAAGGCACTATGACTGGAATAATTTTTTTTAGAAACATTCAACCTTTTACTGAAGTAGTCCCATATGGTTTGGTACACTTCTATTTTTGCATTCTTCAACCAGATGTTGCATAACAGGGGTTCAATTATTTCTAAAAGTTTCAGGGTCATGTCTGAGTCTGCACTGTGAAGAAAGGGTTTCAGTTTGTTCAGCAGTAATTCATAATTAGGTCTGATATGTTCACAGGTATTCCCCTCAATTTGAAAATTACTATTGACCATCTGCAGTTCTGCCACATGCCTCAATAACCACAAAGAAAATAAGGGAACTTCATCCTCTAAAACCCTGTTGAACACTCTCCAAAAAGTAAAATCATCATCTACTGTCTTCTGAAGCAATAGTTGAATAACTAACAAGAAGTCTTTCATACAAGAACAACCTACATTTTTCTGAATTTGAGAAACCTGTCTCTGATAATGTTTTTTACTTAGTACTATTAAACTAGTCAATATTTTTTCAACAGCTTTCTCCATTTCTGCTGCAGATGCCTTACATAAGTACTGCAAAGTAAATAGGTAATATTGCAATTCTAGGAATGTATGCAGATATTGATAAACTGGATTCTTTGTATCATTTTCTTTCAATGCAGATACTTTCAACACAAATTCCTCACTGATTTGATCTAAAGGTACAACCAGATTTGAGAATGAGTTGATCTTTTTCAAAGTATCATTCATATATCTCTCTTTTTGTGGCTGGTGTGTACATAGCTGTATACAATCTTTGATTGCCATAAAGGACTTGTTAATAAATTCCCTGGAATATACAATTTCTTCATATGGAACAATATCATCGTACAATGCGATATTTTGCATGATACACCATTCTGACTGCACCAATCTCATTAGGATATCAATTTCTTCAATGATAATATTTTTGTTGTAAAAGTGTTCACCAATGAATATTTTTGGGTTTGCATCTTCCAATTCTTTACATTTAGGGATAAACACAGTCTGTAAATTGTTGAATACTTCATTCTCACAATTTTTTTCACAAATGAGTAAATAATTACTCATTTTGTTAATAAAGTTTTTTATGTTGTAGGTTATATTTCTTGTTCAAGATTTCGCGGGTAAACGTAGAGGTTAAAGTGGCATCTGATTCTTCTTTTTTTTTTCAAGTTATTAATACCAACAAAAAAATGTTACGAACGTCTTATAGGACTATGAGTAGGTCTAAGATGGCTACAAGGACTGGTGCGTCAAGTCCCTATCCTAGAGCGTGTCCAAGACATGACGACCAAATCGGCAACCAGCCACCTTGATATCACAAAATTACAATTAAATGAGAATGCTTTCCAAAACTGTCACGGGGCGGCGGGTGCGCCACTATCGATGATGATTTGAATGCAAATCACACAGTTGCCGGTTCGAGAAAATAATCCGATATAGTGAGAATTTTATAGAACTTTGCAATATACAAAACATGTCATCGGTAACAATTTGAAACTGTCTTTTTATGCCTGTGGAATCATTGGCGTGTTGTAATTTTTATGTATATGTTACCGCGAAAACCTGATTTCAGTCTGAACTAGATTTACTGCAAAAGCTAGTTTAGACAATTATAGTCTTGGTTTGTTGAAATCAGAAATTGACTTGAAACTAGGGAGAATTCTGACTCAGGCCATCTGTCATCATTGCTTCCACTGAACTATGCATGAGGGATGGTTTCACGCACCATATCGAATCAACCGTAGTTTTCACTACGAAAATCTACCTTTGACGAAAAACGAGCTCTAAAGGCAACTCATGTAATCTTTTCACACGTTTATCATGTTTTATCGGTTCGCCATTTCACATTGAAACGAAGATCATTTCATTGAACTCAATTGGCAAGGTGATCGACCGTTGAGGGCCATCATAGGTCCAAGGTACATATTTCTTTTGGGACCATGCAACCACCTAGAAAACAGATGATTTCGCAGTTTCTGGAGAGGTTTTTTGATTTATAGTTTATAAATTAATAGAAAATTTAGTCGGTAGTTAAAACATGAAGTTCAAGTTCTGTAGTCAAGAGAGGCAAGAAGAGAAAATTAACATAATTTGTAGAATGGATATACATAAAATATGAATATATTGAATATTATGAAACAAATAACAAAAATGACCTTGAATTTCGTCTCAAACTGGTTCAAATATGCCCACCAGATGTCGTATCGGAATCGTCTCCTTGCCAATTTAGTAACCCAACGTCGTGAGACGTGTCGTTCAAATACCTTTCATAGTGGAGGTAGTTTATTGGATTCATGAGTAGTTTGCAATGCAATTATTTCCACTACAGATTTACGAAGGCACGGCACAGGTTACATTCTAGTTGAAACATGAGTCGAATAATAAGAGAATACATAAAATTTTTATATTTTATTTAACATTTTATAAACTTGAATACAGCAGATCATTCCATTTAGATATATGTGCACATATATATTCTATTCCAATAATGAATGCTAGTCAAATCGTTCATCTAGCCTAGGGTTCCTTGATGCAAACTGACGTATTTGTCATCTAACAAGATTACAAATACGTCAATTCACATTAAGGGACCCTATTCTTGCAGTACGCATTCTAACCTACCTGAAGCGTGCCACCGTGTTATTTATAAGGATGCAATGCTACAAATAATCCGTATGTTCGAATTCTGTTCTCCACCGTGCATTCTTGCAAGTTACGAAAAATTGAGGACAAAATGCAATAAAGAAGAGAAAAAAACAAGTATAGGTGCGTTTTTTATTCCAACATTTTGTCATGCTTATGAATCGAAGAAACCATGGACATGCATAAAACTGTTGTAATAAAATGCATGCATACTTTCAAATCTCTTTGCGCTACCCCAGCGGTTTGGGAGAGACTGACATGACAATTGACACATTGTAAGTATTGTTCTTCGTTTCAATTTGATAGAAAACAAAAAATATTGAGGATTTTTCAGATTTCAGAAGATGTAGTTATTGCTAATGAATAAAATCTATATAAAATCGTATCAGCCTCTTCTGATTCTGAAAATACATGACAGACCAACACACAACAAAATCTGTTTTTCCATCAAAGCGTTGTATATTTCAATGTTCCATCGCTCCAGCATAGATTCCATCAACAATTGGTGACGTCACGACAAAAAAGCGCATCTATCAGTGCGCACTTTTTTCGATGGTATGAAAAACACGATCAATGAAACTTTCCCAAATGTCGAAGTGGCAACGCTGGCGTACGTCAATTAAAATGGCGGATTGGCACTAGTGGCAGATCACGGCCGCGATTTTACAAATGTTTCCAAGATTGTTATGATTGTATATATTATTTATTTACTTGGTATTATAATCATATTTCAACAAGAAGACATTTTTTATGAGATGAATGACCTTTTTTATCGATTTTGGACAACACGAAGCAGTTCAACAGCAACAATAATAGGTGCTGGAAAAAAATTTGATGAAAAATTTCAATGTTTCACGATTAACAAGTAAGTACATATACTTCGAAGATTTATCACATAGATGGTTATCTTCCCTCCATAATTTTTTTACATAATATATAAATGTTGAGGTGTTGTTCATGTTTCAACCTTGAATGTTATAATTCTATCTGAGAATCAATTATTAGTTGATCAAATACATATTAGGTTTTATAGGTGTTATTTCACATTCATAGTGAATGTTTCAGATACAGCTGGTAGAAATCTTCAGACTAAGGAAACTAACCATTTAATAGTACCTTACATACAATATGAAGTGGATTATCAACTTTATACTGCAAGATTGAGGGAAATATATTATGGAAGAATCAAGATTGAAGTTCAAGTGAACAAAGTAAGTTTAATTTTATTGATCTGTTCTCCTTTAAACTTTTTCCAGTCTCACTAGTCATGATTGTCTCCATGCAAAGTGATCAGAGAATGAAAGTATTGATAATCATATTGTGCATTACCATTACGCTAATCTTAGTGCAGAGCTTGGTGTCATGTTAGGCCTGGGGACTTGGATATTTACAATTTAATTTGAAGAATAGCATATTTTTATGATTTTCCATAAGATTTTTGAAGTTTCAATTTATTTTCAGTTATTTCCTCCCTACTAAGGTGCATAATAATATATTGATATTGAGAATTTGCACAGACTTTAGATTGGATTTTTCATAAACTCTCACAAGATTCTTGAACATATTGGTCATGTTAGTCTATTAGAAGCATAATTTTTAAGCTTTACATGCAGTCATGATTTAGAAGTTTCACAGTTTTAAACTCAATTTATCTGGTAAATGGTGATTGCAAATGAAACAAATGGAGAGTTCAAGTCTAAATGTTGAAACTTTTATATTCCCTGGTCAAACTGCTGAAAATTGCATAAATGAAAATGTGTGAAAAAGTGCACCAAAATATTCTCAACATTTTCAATTTAAAAAGGTAGGTATACAGCATCTCCCAATGTGATTCTCATCAAATTTGGACCAGTTTGAATAATCGATATGATCAGTTCTTCTGAAACAAACATAATTTTGGACAATGCCCTGGGTTTTTATTATAATGAAAATGGGTCAGTTTCTCATGAATTCATATTAGGAATTTTTTCCTCATAATATTCTTCATGGTTTCAAATCCCTATATGCAAATTTCCATATGACATCTATGGAGGGTTTCCAAAAAAACAGGCACATGTAAATAGCATGTTTTTGAGGGTGAATAATTATTTACTGGGAAACGGCGAGTTTAACAAAAAAAAGTTTAACTTGTTTCTTTTTCCAAACCACAATTTTCTACTTACCAAAACTAGTGAAAAATTTTCTGTTAATTCGAATTCATCATATTTTCGTGGCAGAAAATGAAAGAAAATTAGGACAATCCTGTTAATTCAGGATGAGGAGATTCTTCACATGTGGAAATTCAAAAGCATGAGGAACGATGATATGAAGTGAGTTTTCCTGATAAAAAATTCCTTACATAATTTCATATAGAATCTACCCATTTATTTGTTCAATGAAAACACACTACACTGTCAAAAATTATGCTCATCTCTGAAAAACTGATCATATAAGTATACAGGGTGGGCCACCAGTAACGCCTTGGTCTCTAGAAGGCTAACCACTTATCTTCTTGGAATTCTTCCTCTCTAGGAAGTTGCATGTCAACATAGGCTACCATTCGAAATTATTTTGAAACATACAGGATGTCCCCAAAAATCACAAAACACTGAAGTTGAACTTTTTTCTATCGAACACCCTATATATTATTTCATTTTGAGATTCTTCCTGATGAGCTGATTTCAACGACCCATCATACTTGGGGTCTAGCAGTTATGATTACTGAAATGTAGGGTGTGAAAAATCGAGATTTTCCAAGTTCAAGAATTTTTTGTGTCGAAACTATTCATAATTGGTCAAAACTGCTTACATGTCCCTATCTCAACTTTTGATTAACTATCTACTGATATTTAATTGGGACATATAAGTACCGGGTGATCAAGATTCTGAATTCTGCACCACCCTGTATTTGTTTAAATTAAATGTCAGTAGATAGTTGATCAAAAGTTGAGATAGGGATATGTGAACCGTTTTGACCAATTATGAATGGTTTAGACACAAAAAATTCTTGAACTTGGAAAATCTCGATTTCTCACACCCTATATCTCAGTAATTATAACTGCTAGACCCCAAGTATGATGGGTCGTTGAAATCAGCTCATCAGGGAGAATCTCAAAATGAAATAATATATAGGGTGTTCGATAGAAAAAAGTTCAACTTCAGTGTTTTGTGATTTTTGGGGACATCCTGTATGTTTCAAAATAATTTCAAATGGTAGCCTATGTTGACATGCAACTTCCTAGAGAGGAAGAATTCCAAGAAGATAAGTGGTTATCCTTCTAGAGACCGAGGCGTTACTGGTGGCCCACCCTGTATATGTAATTTCGGGACACCCTGTATAATCAGTTTTCTATAAAAAGTTTTGATGAAAGTTGTTAACAAAGAAACATATTGAATATGAAATGTCAATAAAACTGGCTCAAATGGAATTAGAAGTGAAAATAATATGAATCTCATGATTTAATTTTCTATAATAAATGTGGAACACTTCACTGAACAATATCAGATAGTTGTCTGATTTTGTAGCATCTATTTCAACCCTATGTTACCCTATTATCAAAATATTAGAAAAATTCATTCCTGAGCTCAAAGTTTTAATTTTGATTATTTTTAGAGGGTGGGAAAGGGATTCTACAAAAACAGACAACTATCTGATCTTGTTCAGTGAAGTGTTTTCGATTTATTATAGAAGGTTGATTCATGAAATTTATATTATTTCCATTTCTAATTCGATTTGAGGGAGTTTTATCTTCAAGCGTGTCTCTACGGCCTGCCGGTGTTGATCTCATTCCTTGCTGGATGATGTCGCATTGTTGTTTTCATACTGGTACTGTTGATGCATGCTGTCAAGAATTACTTATTTGATGAAATGTTACAGAATTCTTCAGGTGTTTATGTCGGTTGATGTACTTCCAAGGACTTTAGTAATATTTGACTTTGTGAAAATGATATATCAATGTAATTTTGCCATTTTACCAGAATATCTTGAACTATTTTCACTTTTCCTTTTTTTTTTTTGTTCTCTTGAGCAACATAATATGCTGAATCGACATAAAACATATGTTTTGATTATATCCCTGGTGAAAATATTTTTATGCATTTGACAGCCTAATAATTTTGTTGGAGAAAAATTCGATAATTTATGGAGGATTGTTGATAATGCATTTCTAGTGAGTTTGTCTTCAAATACACTAGAAATAGCTTTTTCAACTTCCTCGAGAATGCTAATAATGCTTTCTGAAGAAAAAGTTGAGAATCCCTCTTGTTTTTGATGTAGCTATTGAATATTTCATTTCCCTGTCCAGTTATACTCTGTTTGCAGAGTATACTATCTGTGGTGCTTTTAATTTTTTTTGTGACATAGCCACAAAAATATGCAAAGGCCTCCTCAACTTCCACAAACTCTTCTTCCATTTCTGAAATCCCTTCATTCAATTGTACATCAAATACATATCTTTTTTTTGTGGTTTCAGCTCTCCAACTTGAGGCAGTGACTTTATCATTTCACCACCAGTGACATTACTTCCATGAGGTGGTTTGATTAGTGAATGAAGAGACATCAGTCTGAATATATACCCAACTTGAACAGATTCTGGATCAGAATTACTACCACCTGCTGTTCCCATCATACCAAAAAAAAATTTGAACTTGAAAATTATGTTATGATTTCATGAAACCCTCAAACATACTACACTAGAAACCAATATTTGATCAGTACACTGGATTCCTCTTTCAACCAGCAGGGTACATTGGGAAGTGGAAGCTTCTTGAAAATACTGATTAGTGTATATTTTCTCTTCAATATCAATGTGACAATGACTGGAAAATAAAATTGGGATTAATGAAATAAATCAGACAATATTTATCAACTGTTTTTTATTTAAGTATTGTATGCAGTGTTACAGAACATATGAAAATGTACAAAGGAATAATTAAATTGCCATATTTTTGATTTCACTCATTGCAGTCAATAATAATTGTGACACTTGGCAATAACAAAGCACTTTCAGAATATTACTATAATATTTACATTATTTTGAATCCTTTTCTATTTTTTCTTCTTATATCAATTTCTCCTAAGCCATAATTTATCAAGTTCATGGGTATAAGTTTGTATTCTGATAACAAATTTTACTACTTTGAGATGTCATCACTAAAATAAAATATTTGTTAATACAGTTCAGATATGTTGGACTCAGTCATTTTATATTTAAAATAGGTTCAAAACAGTTTCAAAGTAATGAAAGATTGAATTATCTGAAAAGTGCTACATTGAACATCATACAGAAGATAGAATAATTTATCCAGAAATATATGCAATTGACACCTTAAGTAGGTATATTCTAATGCAACTAATTAACTCAGTACAAAAAATCCTGTAGATATGAAATAAAACATTGAACCTAATTAATGTGAAGAAATATAACATAATTATGTTATTAAAAAACCTATTTCATGAATAAAAAATATAGTACTCAATGAAAGTATAGGTACTCACTATGGAAGATGGAAGAGATTGGCGTCTCAGTCGTAGGGCACCAATGGACTCTTGAGGGAAATGATCTGAACATACCCATCCACAATAAGGTGGCAAAAGTTTCCCAATTGGGGATATCCACTGAGCAGGAATAAATATTTTCGTCCTAAGGGAAGATTTCCGTTCATATATAATTCATTAAGTATAACCAGTATATGATTCCAATTGAAATGATGAACATCATCAAAGGGATTGATTAATGCTTGTGAAATTCTTATATGTCCCAAGTAGATTTCAATCATCTTCATCCAAATCAGTTGGATTCGCTAACTACTGATAACATAAAAACGATACCTTAGGGATTCCGAAGAGCGACGTGAAACTATGTGATTCCGAAGAGCGACGTGAAACTATGTATGATTGTCAACAAACTATCCAAAATTCCATTTTTTTCTGGTCTTCAACACTATGAATTCAAAACACAACTGGAATACACTGGTAACAAACAACCAGGAATCGAACAACGAGAAACGGAAAGAAAACACAACAAATAATAACACGAATAAATTACTAGAGAACACTGGATAACTCGAACAATGAAATACACAACAAATAGCACTAAATGAGAAAATAATTGGTCAACGACAATATAATTATTCAAAATCTGAAAGATTTTTCTTTCAAAGTTGTCACCTATCAAAGTTGAATCCTGCCATGTTGACAACGGAATCCTTCTTTCCGACCACCAAAATAATCATCCGTTCTACCAACCTTGACTCTTAACGCCATCTATAAATAAATAGAGAACTACTCTTATCCCCTCCAAAACGGGTCGTCACCTTTGCTCCAGAAACAATTGAAGAGTCGACCCACCAGTCCTTGTAGCCATCTTAAGTAGGTCAAATGAACAAACTTGTTATGTTCTTGAAACGAAAAAGAAGACGAAGAAAACATTTTGACGTGAAACAGATTTTTTCATAACAAACATGTGAGAGTGGGGCAATCGAAAACAAAACAATTTTGGCGTTTTAAGAAGTTTGTCTAAATCAGACAGTGTCACAATCAGAATAATAATTTAACTGTATATTTCACTCCATCTTCAAATGTTGGAATACTAGCAACAATAATATGGACGATGACAACATTTACGAAGACTCTGGCAATGAAACTAGTGGAGATGACGTTGACTTTGTCATAGATGCAGACAATGCTTCCCACAGCAAAGAGTTGCAATGTTTCGACGAAGAGTACCAATACGAGGTACTCTCCACAGACGAAATCGTTCAGCACATGGTGGACTGTATCAAGGAAGTGAATGTAGTTGTTCAAATCCCGTCGACAATAACTCGTATTCTCTTGAACTACTTTCATTGGGACAAAGAGAAGCTGATGGAGAAGTTCTTTGATGGCAACCAAGAGGAGCTCTTCCGTGAAGCCCACGTTGTCAATCCTTTCAAGAAAGTTGTTGTTGCTAAGCCTAAGATTGTGAACAAACTTTTGGGTACTGAAGAGTGTGATATTTGCTTTATGGTGTTTCCCCTGCTACAGATGACTGGCTTAGAATGTGGACACAGGTTCTGTTATCAGTGCTGGAATGAATACCTGACAACAAAAGTCATGGAGGAAGGAGTAGGCCAGACTATTGCATGTGCAGCTCATAAGTGTTCAATATTGATGGATGATCAGACAGCTATGAGGCTGCTGAAAGATCCTAGAGTGAAGCTCAAGTATCAGCACCTCATCACAAATAGTTTTGTGGAATGCAATAGGTTGCTGAGGTGGTGCCCCAGTCCAGATTGCAGCTATGCTATAAAGGTAACTGCTTTTCAAGGGGGAACTTCAATTTTTATAGTTTCCATTTTAGGTTACCTATGTGGAGGCCAAACCTGTAGCATGTAGATGTGGGCACATTTTTTGCTTTGCCTGTGGTGAGAATTGGCATGACCCTGTCAAGTGCCCCCTTCTGAGAAAGTGGCAGAAGAAATGTGATGATGATTCTGAAACATCCAATTGGATAGCTGCCAACACTAAAGAGTGCCCCAAGTGTAATGCCACCATAGAAAAAGATGGTGGCTGCAATCACATGGTCTGCAAAAATCAAAATTGCAAGGCAGACTTTTGCTGGGTATGCTTGGGCCCTTGGGAGCCTCATGGTAGCTCTTGGTACAACTGTAATAGGTATGTTGTAATGCATAGGTAGGTATTTGTGCAGAGTGAAGCTTGAGGTGTAACTGGTTAGTTTTCAAATTACAAATTTTACGTTTTTTGGAGACTTTAGAGATAACATAGAAGAAATATCAACATTTTTTTTTAGTGGACATTCTTGGAAATAAGGAGTAAGTACAATACAAGAAATTCTGGGTTTTAATTTTTTTTTTACTCAAACCCCTGGGAAAAAAACTGGTTTAAATTTTGGTTCTTTATCAATGTTGAAGATATTTTGATGTTAATACTTTTGAACTATTTTGAAAAATGAATAGGATGATCCTATTTTTATTATTTGAAAAATCAAATTTATTTAGGACCTCAGAAAAAAACTGGGATCCACAATGTATTTTTTGCACTTCTGGAAATCATAACATCAGTGGTGATTACATAAATTGTTCTTTCTATCAAATATTGACTAGTTTATTATAATAATTGACTACCTAATGGATTACATGAAAATCAAGTTTCTTAGCGTTTTGCCTAAAAACTGCATTAATTCATTTTCATATTTTGGCGGAAGAACCAATGCTCTTTCAAATTTTGGTGAAACAGCTCTCCTTCGCCAAAATATTAAAATGGATGAGCCTACTAGTGAAATTACCACTGGAAAGTTTGTAACCTTTGAATGTCTTAATTTAATTTTATAGTTGTAGTAGGTGGGGAGGCTGTAGCCAATGAAAAAAAAACTATGTTAAAGATATTTTGTTATGTATACTTTTGAGGTATTCAGGAAAAATGGATAGGAAATTTCTTCTTGTTTTCAGACATTGATTAGTTTATTATAATAATTGACTACCTAATGGATTACATGAAATTTATTTTGTTACCGTTTTGCCTAAAAACTGCATTAGTTTATTTTCATATTTTGGCGAAAGAACCAATCCTCTTTCACATTTTGGTGAAAGATCTCTCCTTCGCCAAAATATCAAAATGAATGAGCCTTCTAGTGAAATTACCCCTGGAAATTTTGAAAACTTTCAATGTCGTAATTAGTGATCGACCGATATGACTTTTTTAGCCGATACCGATAATCGGCCGATACATATAAAGTCTTGGCCGATAACGATATATATCGGCATATCGGCCTTTTTCAATTGATAACATTCATTATTAATTATTATTGTCTAAAATCTCTAAAATCTGAATATTCTGTAATATAATTTATAATTCTTCAACGTTCAATTTAAAATCATAAAAATAAAAACAAAAATTGCACTGAATGAACCGTAAATTCGGTGAAAAGGAATCGGCTGAATCCAGAAACAACCGAGACACTTATTTTTTTACATGATGATTTGCCAAAACTACAGTATTCATATTAAATGCCTATTTCATGTTATATCTACCATAATTTCTTAAGATCACCTTATTTCAAATATTACTTTGAATTTAAATATAAAAAAAATGTTTTAAGCTGCTATGGTTGTCTTTATTTATACATCGGCCGATATAGCCGATATATACTCACATCTATCGGCCGATACCGATAAACGGCCATCGGCCTATATAGCCGATATATCAGCATCGGTATCGGTCGATCACTAGTCGTAATTTAATTTGATAGTTGTAGTAGGTGGGGAGGCTGTAGCCAGTGGGAAAAAACTGATTTCAATTTCGATTTTTTTTTCTATGTTGAAGATATTTTAATATGTATAGTTTTGAACTATTCAGGAAAAATGGGTAGGACGATGCAATTTTTATTATTTGACTAATCAAATTTGTTTCTGACCTTAGAAAATAAACTGTGATCCACACTGTATTTTGTGCACTTCTGGAAATCATAACATCAGTGGTGATTACATAAAATGCTTCTCTCTTTCAAACATTGATTAGTTTATTATAATAATTGACTACCTAATGGATTACATGAACATTTTGCTTGGCAGCTTTTTGCCTAAAAACTGCTTTATTTTATTTTCATAATTTGGCGGAAGAACCAATCCTCTTTCATATTTTGGTGAGAGATCTCTCCTTCGCCAAAATATCAAAATGAATGAGTACTAGTGGAATTACCCCTGGAAATTTTGTAACCTTTCAATGTCTTAATTTAATTTGATAGTAGTAGTAGGTGGTGAGGCTGTAGCCAATGAGGAAAGACTGGTATTTGACAAATCAAATTTGTTTCTGACCTCAGAAAAAAACTGGGATCCACACTGTATTTTTTGTACTTCTGGAAATTATACCATCAGTGGTGGTTACATGAATTGCTTCTTTGTTTCAAACTTTGATTAGTTTATTTTAATAATTGACTTCCTAAATGGACTACATGAGAATTTTGCTTGGTAGCGTTTTGCCTAAAAACTGCTTTATTTTATTTTCATATTTTGGCGAAAGAACCAATGCTCTTTTATAATTTGGTGGAAGAGCTCTCCTTCGCCAAAATATCAAAATGAATGAGTTCTAGTGGAATTACCCTGGAAATTTTGTAACTTTTCAATGCCTTAATTTAATTTGATAGTTGTAGTAGGTGGGGAGAATGTAGCTAATGGAAAAAAACTGGTATTTGACAAATCAAATTTGTTACTGACCCTAGAAAAAAAACTGGGATCCACACTGTATTTTTTGTACTTCTGGAAATCATACCATCAGTGCTTTCTTTCAAACATTGATTAGTTTATTATAGTAATTGACTGCCTAATGGATTACATGAAAATTTTGCTTGTTAGCGTTTTGCCTAAAAACTGCTTTATTTTTTTTGAGTGTAGTATATCTTATCTTTATTATTATTCCCAAGAAACATACATGTTTATAGCAGGGAAAATTATGAAAGAGCAACTAAAAAAAAAAACAAAAATTAGATAATCAGATAATCATTTTTAAATCATATACATAATACATATAATGTTGTTTCTTCTAGAGACTGTTGAATATAATTTCTTGAATTGATTCAAAATGAATGAGCCTACTAGTAAAATTGGAAATTTTGTAACCTTTCAATGTCATAATTTAATTTGATACTAATAGTATTAGTAGGTGGGGAGGCTGTAGCCAATGAAAAAAAAACTGGTTTCAATTTTATCAATGTTGATGATATTTTGATATTTATTCTTCCGAACTTTTCAGGAAAAATGGATAGGACGATTCTATTTTTCACTATTTGACAAATCAAATTTGTTTCTGACCTCAGAAGGAAATTGGGATCCACACTGTGTTTTTTATATTTCTGGATATTATACCATCAGTGGTGATTACATAAATTGCTTCTTTCTTTCAAACATCGATTAGTTCATAATAATAATTGACTACTTAATGGATTACATGAAAATTTTGCTCGTTAGCGTTTTGCATAAAAACTGCATTAGTTTATTTTCATATTTTGGCGAAGGAGCCAATTCTGTTACATACATAGAAGTGCACAAAAACGACCAGGACTGTAGCTTTTGAATTATTAGAGATAGGGTATTGAAAATTGGTGGGCAGCTAGTATACCAAATTGCTCATTAATTGACGAAACAATTTTTGTTTTATCACTTCTGGTTTTACTGGAAACGACCCCAACTTTTGATTTTTAAATGGGACACCCTGTATTGTACTCCATAATCGGTTAGGGATTGTCATAACAAATTCATCGATACCGGGTTCGATAGGATTATTTCAAACGATTACACAGATATTCGCGTTTTAAGTTTCAATATGCTCAATGAGTGTGACAGAGAAAGAAGTTTTAATATTGCGAAGTCACACCCATTGAGCATATGGAAACTTCGAACGCATATATCTTTGTAATTGTTTGAGATAACCCTATCAAACCATGTATCGCTGAATTCGTCATGATAATCCCCAACCGATTATGGAATACAATACAGGGTGTCCCATTTAAAAATCAAAGGTTGGAGTTGTTTCCGGTGAAACTGACAGTGATAAAAGAAAAATTGTTTCATCAATTAATAAGCAATTTGGTATACTTGCTACTCACCAATTTTCAAACCCCTATCTCGAATAATTCATAATTCATAAGGAGAAGTATACTTATCGTGTGCGTTCAATAGATGTAATTCAATGTTCGTCGTGGCATATAGCCAGGAAAGTAGTTGTTTTCTGTTGAATAAACCGAGAAAGAATTAATATCTTCATCACACGGAGAATGTGAATTCTCAATTTATTTCTTCATATATATACAGGGTGATTCAGGTTTTAAGGCACAAACTAAAATGGGAGATACATCGCATTATTTTGATCAAAAATGTTTATATAAACATAAGTCCGATCTCGTTTATTAGCGGAGCTACAGGGGGTCAAAGTTTAATTATTTTTTTCTATTAATTGAAATATCTCGCTTACTTTTCAAGATATCGTTTTGAAATTTGCGGTGGTCAATACTTTCTAGAAGATCATCATTTAAAGCCATTCAAAGATACGGGCCATGCATTACAGAGGAGAAACGGTCTGATATTTTTGCAAGAACATGTTTCAATTGTGTTTTCTCACGCACAATTCTCGACTACTGAGAGCGAGGAAAATATGGACGCATCCAGAATGAATTGTTTTTCCGAGAACAAGTTGATTTTCATTCAATTCTCCTCCCAACCGAGATTCTGAGGGCGTTCCAGATTTGGGTCACTTTCAAGAAAACTCTAGATCTCTGATAGCCATCTTGAGTCAATTCTGATATTCAGATCTCTTCATCTGAAGTTTCATCTTCAAAATGAGCCTAAGATTTTTAAAATCGGTTGACGTGGAAAAAAGTTATGGCTGCAAAACCAAAAAGTTGATTTTTTGAGATCACTCTGTGAATAAGAGAGATAGGAAGTTGATTCGCGAAACATCTCGAGGTAATGAGATCATCTTCATGCCTCTGTTGTCGAAGTTGAGAAAAAAAATGTTTTCACCATTCGAGAACCTTTTGAATATTCCGAAATTTTGCACAGTGTCGGAAAACACCATGTAGAGATTTCATGTGAATACCCTTATGTTTCAATGAAGTACGAGATTATAGCTGAAGGACTGGACTATCGAACAGTGTGAACCAAATTCAAATTGTTCTATACTGAAAAAAGTTATTCACATTATAACAGGGGCGACATTTTGGTGTGCGACGAAATTAGTGTTGAGTAGTTTAGATACGTACAAACATAACTATTTCATCCCGAAATCTCTAGGTACGACGAGGATGAAGCCAAAGCAGCCCGCGACGCCCAAGAAAAGTCTCGCGCTGCTCTACAGCGCTACCTCTTCTACTGCAACCGCTACATGAACCACATGCAATCCCTCAAGTTCGAGCACAAACTCTACGCCTCTGTCAAGGACAAGATGGAGGAGATGCAGCAGCACAACATGAGCTGGATCGAGGTGCAATTTCTGAGGAAAGCGGTGGACATTCTGTGCCAGTGCAGGCAAACGCTCATGTACACTTATGTGTTCGCGTACTATCTGAAGAAGAACAACCAGTCTGTGATATTCGAGGATAATCAGAAGGATCTCGAGAGAGCTACGGAGCTGCTTAGGTGAGGAACATTTGGGTTTCGTTACTAAAACGGTACGGTAGGCGTCTTCTAGACACGAATAGATCCTATGAAAGCGCGCCAGCCACGTATATTAATGATCATTAAGGGGTTGTTAGGTGAGGTTAATGATAGGAATGTACTTGAATTCACATGAGCTAGATCGAGGTGCAGTTTTTGAGGCAGGCGGTGGACATTATGTGCCAGTGCAGGCAAACGCTCATGTACAATTACGTATTTTCACGTACTATTTGAAGAAGAACAACCAGTCTGTGATATTCGAGGATAATCAGAAGGATCTCGAGAGGGCTACGGAGCTGCTTAGGTGAGGAACATTTGGGTTTCGTTACTCAAACGGTACGGTAGGCGTCTTCTAGACACGAATAGGTCCGATGAAAGCGCGCCAGCGACGTATCTTAATGATCATTAAGGGGTTGTTAGGTGAGGTTAATGATAGGAATGTAGTTGAATTCACATGAGCTGGTTCGAGGTGCAGTTTTTGAGGGGGGCGGTGGATATTCTGTGCCAGTACAGGCAGACGCTTATGTACAATTCAGAAGGATCTCGAGAGAGCTACGGAGCTGCTTAGGTGAGGGCAATTTGGGTTTCGTTACCTATACGGTACAGTAAGCGTCTTCTAGACATCAATAAATCCGATGAAGGCGCGCCAGCGACGTATCTTAATCTTCATGAAGGGGTTATTAGGTAGGTTAATGATGACGGTGGATATTCTGTGCCCGTGCAGGCAGACACTCATGTACAATTACGTATGTTCACGTACTAATAGAATATAGAGAGATAAAAAAAACAATTTATACAGATAATCACAAAATATCAGTGTTCATGTTGCAATTGTTGCAGCTGACTTTATCTTTGGTAAATGGTGATTTCTGGATATTCATGTTTTCTTCGGAAGTTTACTGTAATCAAAAATATCTCGAGAGGGCTATGAAGCTGCTTAGGTGAGAATCATTTGGGTTTCGTTACCTAGACGGTACGGTAAGCGTCTTCTAGACACGAAGAGATCCGATGAAGGCGCGCCAGCAACGTATTTTAATGATCATGAAGGGGTTGTTAGGTAAGGTTAATGCTAGGCATGTTGTTGAATCCACATGAGCTGGATCGAGGTGCAGTTTTTGAGGAACGCGGTGGATATTCTAATATAATAACCAAGAAGATAGGCTCCAATAAGATGTCAACTTTGCTGACTGATGGAAAAATATCGCAGATTGAGATTATGTTCCATATCACAGATCAATTATGATGGACCTTTTTAAAAAAAGTTATCAACAAAGACAGTAGAAAAAATATTTGAACAAATGAAAATGAAAGATTTCAGTAATGATGAAACATTTAATAATTTCTTTGTCCTTTTTCGAAAAGTGTAGTTACATCTACGCATTATTCCTGATTCACCCACGTAACAAGAGAAAAATCTGATGCAGTTCAACCACACTTATCATTAACCTCATCTGACACCTCCTTCATGAACATTATGATACGTGTCTGGCGCGCTTTCATCGGATCTTCTCTGTCTATAAGACGTTTTCTCCCTCTCACAGCGGTGCCTACCTATTTTTTTCATGAGGAGACAATTTCAAAATCAAAAAAACTTGAAATTGTGAGTCCAGAGGCGCACCCAACATTTTTCTCTAAAGTGGAAATAACTAATAGATATTTTTTTTTATCTAGTGAGTACTTGGAGCGAGATATAACACAGGAGAATCTCATCGATATCAAGCAGAAGGTGCAAGACAAATACCGATATTGCGATGGTAGGCGGATGGCGCTACTAGACCACGTCCACGAGGGATACGAAAAGGAGTGGTGGGTGTACAGCGAATGAACGACGATTTGGCATTTCCAGCGCCGATTCTAATTTATAATTATGATTTTTTAAATTGTCAGAGTTTTATTTATTATTAAACGATTATTATTCATTTGGATGTTTTTTTCTTGCCCAAAACAGCTTAAATCTTCCTTCATCCGTCTCTATTTTCAGTTTTAAAAAAATGTACGATTTGTTTTTCAACATAGTATAAACGTATAAAAACACCGACTTCATATTCTTGTTCAGCAGACCGGGAACATGCTGTATACAAATTTTCGACTGATTCTGAAACCTTGAAGATATCGAGGAAAGTTCACACCCAAAAATCTGGGCCTTCAAATTTGATAGACAGGGTCCTCTAGGGAAGCTCTAGTGCGGAGAGAAGCACTGCTTATAGCTTTGATAGAAAAAAAAAAAAATTTTGACACACTTTTCTTTTCATGTGGTACCTTTCATATAAAAATGGATTGATCCAGTACCTCAAAATTCGAATCCGATTTTCTAGGAAACAAAGATGAATAGGGATGAACTGATTTTAGAATCTGGTTCACCACATCAAGAACACTGTGTGTACAACGTTTCAACCAATTCTGATGCTTCCAAATATATGGAAAAAGTTCAAAGGGGTTAACCTTGTTTCTTTTTCAGACCCAAAAATCAACTTTGTCGTAGAGCCTTCTAATTTGGTATACAGGGTCCTCTAGGGTTGCCCTAGTGCGGAGTAGAAGCACAGCTCTTCAGCTTCAATAGAAAAAAAAATCGCAATTTTTGACCCACTTTTCTTTCCATGTGGTACCTTCTATATAAAAATGGATTGATCCAGTACCTCAAAATTCGAATGCGATTTTCTAGGAAACAAAGATGAATAGGGATGAACTGATTTCAGATTCTGGTTCAGCACATCAAGAACACCCTGTGTACAACGTTTCAACCAATTCTGATGCTTCTAAATATATGGAAAAAGTTCAAAGGGGTTAACCTTGTTTCATTTCCAGACCCAAAAATCAACTTTGTCGTAGAGCCTTCAAATTTGATATACAGGGTCCTCTAGGGTTGCCCTAGTGCGGAGTAGAAGCACAGCTCTTTAGCTTCAATAGAAAAAAAAAACGCGATTTTTGAACCACTTTTCTTTCCATATGTGGTACCTTCCATATAAAAATGGATTGATCCAGTATCTCAAAATTCAAATGCGATTTTCTAGGAAACAATGATGAATAGCGATGAACTGATTTCAGATTCTGGTTCAGCACATCAAGAACACCCTGTGTACAACGTTTCAACCAATTCTGAGGCTTCTAAATATATGGAAAAAGTTCTTTTTCAGACCCAAAAATCAACTTTGTCGTAGAGCCTCCCAATTTGATATACAGGGTCCTCTAGGGTTGCCCTAGTGCGGAGTAGAAGTACCCCAGCAAACATCTTGATATGGGGCATCAATGGCCTAGTATATTTTTCCCATACCTGACATCAGCGGCCCAGTAAATGGTCCCATATGCGGGACTCTATATATCAGTACACTGCGGCCGGCAGCTGGTCCCAGTGCTGGGTACCCAGCAATCATATTCAGTTCCCCGGCAAAAGGCCAGTACAACATAATCGACACATTGAGTTTCCCATAGCAAGCCCAGCATATACATAAATGATGGGACTGTAATGGCCAATTAACGACATTGGTTACATACTATCGAGGTAGGGGAGGGGTAGGGGTTTTAGGGGTCCAATGGATCTGAAAGTTCTAGTACCTCTTTATTTCACAACATAACTCTCTCATAATTCAGACACATACCAGATTTCAAGAAAACAATTTTATGAATGACACAATGATATCTTCTTAACCTCTCTGTTCTTCAACGATGAAACTTCTCGGAGTGACTGCTTACTGGTTGGTGTGTGGTATCTACATCTTATTGGGTAGCATGTAGCATTCCTTCGAAGTTGATTCTTCGTTGTGAGGTACTTCTGAAATATAAAATGCATCATTTGTTTAATATTAGTGGCCTATGAGTTGCATGAGTTTATAACTTCATGATATAGTCAAATGACGTGATAGCATGGAGCTTTTCAATTCTCATTATGGTGTTGGCACAGGTAATTCTGTAGCTGAAATCTTATTGTTATTCAGTTATCCAATATAGAGATAGGTTCACATAACCTGAGATTGCTTTTGATAGCAACAAACGAGTTAAAAATGATGGTTGCTTTTAGAGAAGTATAGTTAACTCTAATTATCATAATCATTAGGTATATGAGGTTACGAGATACCAAACACATGCATCAAATAATGACATTCAAAACACTATGTAGGTACATTTATACTTACTCAATATTATCATAATTGAAGAATCGGTCTTCTATTATTATCAATTGAGAATACTCCTGCCATCATAAATAACCACCACGGAAAGAGAGGACCACATTAATTCGACATAAACAAACTAGTACGCGATCACCACTCACGAGAGTCAGCCATCTTAGTCACATATGATATTGATCAGCTGATTGTTGATGTAGATGTTCCCAAAACATCCGCCAGGGGGACGGGTAGTGAATATGAAATTGGCCAGCAAAGGGCCAGATCTCGTTAGTATTCAATTAGTTCCAGACATCTTACCATCACAAGGCCATCATCGTATTTTTACCTGATGGTTACTTGGCATGGGAAAATCATCGGCCCATTACCTATACCCCGGCATCGTCACTTTCCCAGACTAACCTGCACTAGGCCGGACTTCTCCCGCTAGTTCAATGTTTGCTGGGACAGCTCTTTAGCTTCAATAGAAAAAAATACGCGATTTTTTACCTACTTTTCTGTCCATGTGGTACCTTCCATATAAAAATTGATTGATCCAGTGCCTCAAAATTCGAATGCGATTTTCTAGGAAACGAAGATGAATAGGGATGAACTGATTTCAGAATCTGGTTCAGCACATCAAGAACACCCTGTGTACAACGTTTCAACCAATTCTGATGCTTCTAAATATATGATAAAAGTTCAAAGGGGTTAACCTTGTTTCATTTTAAGACCCAAAAATCAACTTTGTCGTATGGCCTCCAAATTTGGTATACAGGGTCCTCTTGGGCTGTCCTAGTGCGGAATAGAACCACAGCTCTTTAGCTTCAATAGAAAAAAAAAACACGATTTTTGACCCACTTTTCTTTCCATGTGGTACCTTCCATATAAAAATGGATTGATCCAGTATCTCAAAATTCGAATGCAATTTTCTAGGAAACAAAGATGAATATAGGGATGAACTGATTTCAGAATCTGGTTCACCACATCAAGAACACCGTGTGTACAACTTTTCAACCAATTCTGATGCTTCTAAATATATGGAAAAAGTTCAAAGGGGTTAACCTTGTTTCTTTTTCAGACCCAAAAATCAACTTTGTCGTATGGCCTTCAAATTTGGTATACAGGGTCCTCTAGGGCTGCCCTAGTGCGGAGTAGAAGCACAGCTCTTTAGCTTCAATAGAAAAAAAAACGCGATTTTCTACCCACTTTTCTTTCCATGTGGTACCTTCCATATAAAAATGGATTGATCCAGTACCTCAAAATTCGAATGCGATTTTCTAGGAAACAATGATGAATAGGGATGAACTAGAGAAATTCGTCTCACTACTCAGTAGAAAAAAGTTATGAATTCATTTCTAGTATAGGAGTTTTAGAGACCTCAAAAATATTCATGAAAGTTCAGACCCAAAAAACAACTTTGTCCTAGAGCCTTCAAATTCGGTATTTAGCGCCCTTTAGGCATCATTTAGTTCGGACTAAAAGCACAGCTGTCTAGTACCGAAATTAAAAAAAAAACATGTAATTTTTGACCCAACTTCGGACGAAAAATTGTCTAACTCAGAAACTATTGAAATCAATGGAAATTCCACTTGATCAGCGGTATTGGGATGAGTTAGGCTTCCAGTGTAGCATAAAAACACAGTATTTTTCAATTAAATATCAATTTTATTCTAAAACAAATAAATCAATAAATACATCCTCAATATTCCCCACAACAAAAAATCACTCATTCTTCGCCTTCTTGGCATCCGGCCCCCCTTCCTCCTTCTCCTCCTCCTCCACAAACTTGCTGGTACAAGCCTTCGGCTGCGTACTCTTGTACGCCGGCGTAATCCAGTACGGATTCTCCTCCGCCTCTTTAGCGTACTTCAAGATCGCCTCTCTCGGATCCTGGTCGTCCTCCACCCGCTTGCTCAGCCCCAAATTCCTGATGACGAAGCTGCTCAACGTGCCCCCGCTAGAGGCCACCCTACCCCCCTGGCCCGAGGTGATGGGCAGGTCCGGTCGGCGAGACTTGACGGGGTCTAATCTGCAATTGAATCAATGGATGAGTTCCAAGCCGTTCGCTTATAGATTCATTCATTCATTAATTCATTTAATCATCCATTTATTCATTCATTTATTCATTCATTTATTCATTCATTTATTCATTCATTTATTCATTCATTTATTCATTCATTTATTCATTCATTTATTCATTCATTTATTCATTCATTTATTCATTCATTTATTCATTCATTTATTCATTCATTTATTCATTCATTTATTCATTCATTTATTCATTCATTTATTCGTTCATTTATTCGTTCATTCATTCGTTCATTTATTCATTCATTCATTTATTCATTCATTTATTCATTCATTTATTCATTCATTTATTCATTCATTTATTCATTCATTTATTCATTCATTTATTCATTCATTTATTCATTCATTTATTCATTCATTTATTCATTCATTTATTCATTCATTTATTCATTCATTTATTCATTCATTTATTCATTCATTTATTCATTCATTTATTCATTCATTTATTCATTCATTTATTCATTCATTTATTCATTCATTTATTCATTCATTTATTCATTCAATTATTCATTCATTTATTCATTCATTTATTCATTCATTTATTCATTCAATTATTCATTCATTTATTCATTCATTTATTCATTCATTTATTCATTCATTCATTCATTTATTCACTCATTCATTCATTTATTCATTCATTTATTCATCCATTTATTCATCCATTTATTCATCCATTTATTCATTCATTTATTCATTCATTTATTCATTCATTTATTCATTCATTTGTTCATTCATTTATTCATTCATTTATTCATCCATTTATTCATCCATTTATTCATCCATTTATTCATTCATTTATTCATTCGTTTATTCATTCGTTTATTCATTCGTTTATTCATTTATTTATTCATTCATTTATTCATTCATTTATTCATTCATTTATTCATTCATTTATTCATTCATTTATTCATTTACTTATTCATTCATTTATTTATTCATTCATTTATTCATTCATTTATTCATTCATTTATTCATTCATTTATTCATTCATTTATTCATTCATTTATTCATTTATTTATTCATTCATTTATTCATTCATTTATTCATTCATTTATTCATTCATTTATTCATTCATTTATTCATTCATTTATTCATACAGTTATTCATTCATTTATTCATTCATTTATTCATTCATTTATTCATTCATTTATTCATTCATTTATTCATTCATTTATTCATTCATTTATTCATTCATTTATTCATTCATTTATTCATTCATTTATTCATTTATTCATTGATTTATTCATTTATTTATTCATTGATTTATACATTCATTTATTCATCCATTTATTTACACACTACTTATTCAATCAATCACTCCCTCACTCAATAACTATTCTACTAATTGACTATAACTCACTGATTAACTCCCTCACTCGAAAATGAGATAACTAATTGGTACGGAACAAGATCACCTTTTTACTGTGAAAAGGTGTGGATTTTTTTTATGTTCTGGTTCCCACGTAAAGGGTATTCTATAATGTTCAGAGAACATCGTGAGAACAAAGGGAAATAAGGTAGGAATTGGTGTTCTTCTTAAATTTCTGGAGGTTATATGCCTCGGGGAACACCTCCCTTGGCAATGTGTTCCAAAGCCTCGCTGTTCGTTGGCTGAACGAGTCTTTGGAAAGAGATGTTCTGCAGGGCTCCAAAGTGACCACGATGGGGTGCGAAGCTCCAACCCGACGGGTTAATCTCGCGGGGACTGTCAAAGGAGGTACAATTGTTGATATTTCAAGAGCATCGTCCATGAAAATATCTATAAAATAGAGCCAGATCGCCAACTTTTCTACGGTGTTCCAGAGAAGTGAGCGAGTTTGTGAGCGAGGCATCACCCACAAGACGAATTGCCCTTTTTTGGACAGAATCCAAGAGTTTCAGGGTATGTTTGGGCGATGCACTCCAAATATGGGAACAGTATTCCAGGACAGGTCGAAACTGGGCCTTATTGATCATAAGCAGCTGAATGGAAGTAAAATAGCTCCTGGCCCGAAACAAAAATCCAAGTTTTTGAGATGCACTTTTAGCGATTGATCTCACGTGATTTTCCCAAGAAAGGTTATTGCTGATAGTAATACCGAGCATCGAAATGGATGTCCTCAAAGGATGTTCATAATCAGTGAATAAATTGTCGAAAAATATGCATACAAAAAAGTTTGGCCAATATTTAATGTAGTCCCACCCTGTATTATACACTCCAGAAAAATGGAGAAGAGTACCTGTCCTTCTCCATCCATCTGTTTTTTGATGGTCTTCCTTCGTTCCTGCCGGCACAGCGGCAGCGCCTGCGGCGTCATCACATCGAACATATTGGTCCTTCGAGCCGGATTTACTCAATCCGGCTCGAAGAACGAATGAATGGAAGAAAGTAAGAAATATGATGACGTGACAAAAACATTGGAGAGGCAAATAAAAAAAAAGTGAGAAAGGTAGAAAAAAGAGAGAGAGCTAGAAGAGTACCTGTCCTTCTCCATCTGTTTCCTGCTGGTCTTCCTTCGTTCCTGCCGGAACAGCGGCAGAGCGTGCGGCGTAATCACTTGCGTAGTGCTCACGATCTCCGAGTGCTGCGCCTTGCGGTGCGTTTTAACGGCGCACAAAGTGGCGCCGCGCATGCTCCGTCTGTCGTCGTAGAAGCACTTGACCAATCCGGAGCCGGTGCCGACAAAGATTTGGTTGAGTTTCGGGTGCCAGCACAGTTTGATGGTGTGAGTGGCTTCGGGGATTGTGAGGCGGCGCACTAGCGAGAACGAGCTGGTGTCGTAGAAAAGGATGGTGCCGGTCTTCTCGCCTGAGGAATGGTTAGGAATTTCAGGACAATGTACCGGAGAACTTGACTGAAAAAACTGGCAAATGAAGAAACATTGTCGCTCTAAATGAAAACCTGATAGTAAGTTAAGTGGGCGAGAAGGTATAAAATGGGGAAGTTTTCTATATTGATGTTCTTATCTCACTGTGAAGTTTGTAAAAAATTACTATATACGTATTTTTTCTTTTTTTCGTGAGATCAAATTTCATTTCATAAAAAAATAAATGAAAGAGGATCATGGCTCCTCCACCATTCCTATGACGTACTTTCTGAAAATCCACATTCACACAGAGTTAAAATACGATTCCCTGTGCCTGTTGCCGACATCATCAATATGTCTAGATTTCCGGAAATTGTTCTTGGAATGCATAATAACTATATTATAACAGCAATGGGATATAATAGGTTTTTCAATCCTATACTTGGTCAAGTATTATGAATAATTCCCATGAATCTCTCATTGGTTGAATGAAGTTGATTACTAATAAAGATAAATTATGATATTTTGCGATAGTATTCATAATTTTTCACTATCGTCATATTACAATATGTTATTCATAACTTGTCATTTCATTTTTTTGCTAATGTATTCGTTCCTTAATAAAACGGATCTATTTTCTAGGAATGTTGCAGATTATATCTTGCAACAGCACATGATACTTCAAGTATTAAGTCAAAGTGAAAGTCTCGAAAATATATTGGACAACACTTACTTTATCGAAACAATCATTTCTGGAGGGAGCAATATGTTCTTTGAATCATGCACCCATGGTTCGACATGACTGCCCAATATATTTCAAGTCACAATCATTAAAATTTATTTCATAATTGCCTGTCTTATGGTGATCGAAACGATGAAATACTCACGATTTGTCAGACATTTATGGAACACATTGTACTTCTTCAAATTGGAAAAAATGTAATGTTACTTACAGGGTAAATCAATTTTTTCTAGAGAAATTAAGCAGGTCAGAGATATTCGGGAAATATCAGGGTTATCCTTGATTGAAGATTTACAGAAAGTTATAATCTTAAGTGGATGTCTGTTTCCGATTTGGACTTCATCTTCCATCAAAAATTTCAAGAGAGAATCTGTTGCTTGAACTGTTTGTTGCTACCTATGAAAGCTCCAGCTGCTTGGCATTCAATGCTACTCCAGGTAGTTTTGAGTGCTACTCTGTTTCCTTCGTGAAAAACTTGGCAGTCTTGAGGTTTGATTTGAATAGATTCGGCTCGAAGGACCAATATGATTGCGATCATTCTTCATTTATTGTTTTTATTGATAAATCTCATATTTCAACAATACCGTTATGTTAAAAACAGATGAAAATCTCTAATACTATATAGGGTAATACAAGTACCAAACTAGGGTCATAAAAGTACTGAAGAAAATAACGCAAACAATGCGGTCACAGTATAATGGGAACAAAAATATCTCCCACCTCTCCTGCTGTTTTCAAAAACAGCTATACCGACCTTTTTTCAAAGATACTCCGGTAGCGACGAGCGCGTCGTTTGGACTGAAAATGGCGTCGGTGGTGTCGTAGCGCGTGAACAGGTCCCCCACCTGGTGCACAGCCTCTTTGAACTTCCTCAAATCCCACAACTTCATCGTTTCGTCACAGCTGCGCGTCAGCAAATGGTCTCCGACATGCGAGAAACAGATGCTGCTGATCTCTGCTGGCTGATAAAATACGTTAAAAAAGTGTACTTTTTTGATGGTTGTAGAAAAGTATTGGTATAGCTGAAATATAATATTTTTTCCGTGTGTATTTTTTTCTCTGACGGTAATACACATGCGTGATTGCTTTCATATGGTACATCAAAAAGGTTTGGCCAAACAGTCTGAATTAGAAATGTTGACAGTTATGTCATCCGTTATTGACGGCGATTACGCGAACATGACATACCTAGAGATGTATAGAAATTTAACTGGTGGGCTCACTCTTCAATTGTTTCGTCAGACTAACTCTCGATATGGAACAATTGCAAGCGAGTTTGGACGTGGGGTTCAGGTATTTGCGATAGAGGCGCCGTAATCGGAAAATCGTTCAAAACCTTGGTTCTGTGAGGGATGAATCTATTTCCATCATTGTTCTGTGGTCGAATAAATACTGTGCTCAACATTTTCATTCAAATTTCAATTTGAAATAGAAGCAAGAAATCTTTTTTGTAGCCGATTTTAATAAGCATCACTTCTTTCATGACATGAACCTATTTAAGCATGAAATCTGATGAATTTCCTCTTTGAAGAACCAGAACAAAGAATGTATCAACTATTGAAATAGACCAATATCGAAAATCATAATAGGCAGATATGGTAACTGCATGGTATACTCACCTTAGAATTTATTCACACCAGTTCACGCTAATATTTCAAATCACTGAAATAATACTGTTGTAGAACAGAAATTTTCTTTTTTCTATGGTGGATTAGGTATTATACACAACATTTAGAAACTACGGAACACGTCCCTAACGAACACTCGACCCCAATCTCAAAAATAACCATTTTTTCAGCTCAAGAATATTTTTTGGCATATTGACGTTTCGATCCTTTGATCAGGAATCAGTTCACTGCTCTGATCCAAATCATATACGTATCCAAATATTTATCGGTCGGTAATATGTTTCCTGTAAATATGGATTGTAACCAGGATGAGCTTAGCGAGATTTACCCACGTCAAGTATGTTTATCAAAGGTTTATCAGAGTAGGCGCCATCGAGAAACTTGCAAAAGACCTTCAATAGGGAGCAAGCGCACCAGTTAAATTTCTATACATCTCTACATACCTATACTAGGCGAGTTCGGAATAGTAAAAAGAGTCACTCCGGGTAGCGATTTTACTAAATATAAACTATTGCAGCACAAGACACGCCCCCTACTACGGCATTGCAAAATATAATCGAGCCCAGCACAATCCTGCAAAATCTAATCTTTGACAGCACAACGTAGCTGATTCATATAAATAAATCGATTGAAAAAGTAGCACATACCACGTTATATCTCATCTTCAAAGTACTTTACTTAGGCAAAACTCAGAGACTATTTATCCTCAACGAACTAACCTATCCCTGATTGCGATATTTTTGAGGAGGGAAAACCGAATGGAGTGTAGAAACACATTGATTAATAATATATTTCAAAAGTTGAGTTCTTCAACAAAATTGAATAAAATGAGACTGTTTATCCTAAACGCACTAACCTATTTGAATTCAAATATTTTATGAAAAAGGAAAACCAGAATGAAGTAAAAAACATTGGTGAAAAAAAAAAGTTGCAAAAAAAAGTTCGAGTTCACAGCGATTCGAACCATGAACCTTCAGACTGAGAGTCGACAGCGCTAACCAGTAGACCATTTGGGTGTATGAATTTACTGCGTACAAGAGATTGACAACGAGAAAGCTTCAGTTCTTGCGTTGGAGCACAGTATGAGATATGACATATTATGGTGGGCGTGGTTTGTGCTGCAATAGTTTATATTTAGGAAAATCGCCTCCGGGTAACTCCTATACGATCGGTGTATTGACAAAACAGTTCACTCTGTGTTCATGTAGAGTCGATTTTCGATCGTTCGGAATCTAAAAACTGGACAAATAGAACTCACTCTGATGACTATTTCATAAATCAGGAGTTTCAAGAACTCCTCCTTTCTTACGTCAAAATAAACGTCAGACGTCGCCGATTTTGACGCTCATCCTGTCTGGCCTTCCGCCTTTTTTTCAAATTCGAATTTCATTCATAGTTAATCGAGTTGAAAATTGTGTTCATATGGTAACTAAAGCACTTTTCTCAACAGTAATTTCTGGATGACCCTCGTTGGAAAGAAATCAAAATGAAACAAGAGGGCTAAAAATATTCATGTCAAGTGCCCCCCTTGAAAATAATATTGACCTGTTTTCTAGATTTCTCATATTATTTACTGGAAGGAAGATATTGAGGGTAAAAAATTGGTAATTTTACACTTATCATGCGATGGGTTTTTTTTCGAAAATTTTTTTTGGTAGGTACTTACGTATTTTTGTCTGAAAACACGAATTTGATAATGAAAATGTGAACAAACCACTATTTATCGAGATATTTCAAGAAAAAGTTCGAAATTTTGCATTCTTTTCCCCCTTGTGTTAGATGCATTTACAGGTACTTGCTCTTATTATTTTGTCATTGGACACTTTATATACTCATGATGTACTTCACTGAAAAATTTTAAGATAGAAAATTCAACAGGAAATATGATTTTTATGTCGAGTTTTTCCGATTTAGTGAGCAAGCATACCAGATGACGGCCATTTAATCCATATTATGCAATCCAAATACCAGATGTCAAATGTCAATAGATTGCTTTGGAATGACATTACACACGCCATTATTTCAAATGATATTCTTCCTTCTTTTCACTAAACATGGATAAATCACAAGAAAATCATATTCATAGTTGACTCATATAATGAAAAAAATGTGTCCAACATTGTGTGATATATACAGGGTGATTCAAAAGTAAGCGGCATCCTTTCAGAGGCGTATTCCTTGCTTGAAAATAAGGCAAAAAGTTCCTATTGATAAGGATCCGAAAATGCTTCCTAAGGGAGCTACGGCCCTTTGAATAGGACACCTCAAAGACGGTTTTTTCTCTATAACTTTAAAATCCTTCACAACAAATTTTTAAAAATTGGTGTACGGCATAAACATTCGATGGTAAATAGGACTCCGTATTCGAAATTTCAGAATTTCATTCAGGGGCGTCACATGCGGGAGAGGGTAAGTGTAAAAATATCCCTTCTTCTCCGGATATTCAGGTTACTGTGATTTCGTTTGGAAATTATTTCGAATACGGAGTCCTATTTACCATCGAATGTTTATGCCGTACACCAATTTTTAAAAATTTGTTGTGAAGGATTTTAAAGTTATAGAGAAAAAACCGTCTTTGAGGTGTCCTATTCAAAGGGCCGTAGCTCCCTTAGGAAGCATTTTCGGATCCTTATCAATAGGAACTTTTTGCCTTATTTTCATGCAAGGAATACGCCTCTGAAAGGATGCCGCTTACTTTTGAATCACCCTGTATAAATTCTCCAATGATGGAAAAAGAAGGGCAGATTGTTCTAAATGTGATCCAGAAGACAGGCGGAAAAGATGGTGAAATTTTTAACTTTATTGTGAAATATCTTAATAAATGGTAGTTTGTTCACATTTTCATTATCAAATTCGTGTTTTTCAGACAAAAATACGTAAGTACCAAAAAAAAATTTCGAGAAAAAACATCGCATGATAAGTGCAAAATTACCAAAAACTTTTCAAAATCTCACCCTGTATGTCGTGTAATTTTTTGGCAATCTTATCGTTCGTGAAGTTTTTATATTTACTATGGATTTCCATCAAATAACGACCGAGTAAATTGAAAAAAAAAGAGAGATATTGCCTGTATACGATAACATGGGATACCCTGTATACGATAACATGGACCCTGTATACACCCTGAATAATTCGATCTGAATAAAGGCACCGTTTTTAAATGTCAAATGAAAAAACGACCCTGTATTCATGTTTGCTTCCTCATACTATACTTATATAACCTATGACTTTAGTCATCAACGAATTTATTCGGGATGATTAAGGGATGATAAAAGAATATGAATCAGTTTGCGAACGGCTTTCGGTGCGTGCGGACATGATGCGGACCATACTTTTTCGTTTTGTATACCGGGTGTTGTGCGAGTTTAGTGCAGACTGCAGTAATAATTATCGTGATTGGACAGTGAATTTACTTTTCTGTTTCATATACCGGGTTTTGTGTCAGTTCTATTGTGTATAATATAATACTACTGAGTTTTTGCGGAGTATTTTTATGATGTTGTGAAGTGAAATTAGGTGAAAAGTGAAGTTAAGTGAAAAGTGAATCAATCGACTGATTTCTGTGGAGAATATTCTACAGAATTTTGGATTTTTCGAAGGATGACGCTGCATCTATTAGTTGGTTCTGAAATAGTACATACAACATGTAAGTACCAAGATTTTGTAGAAAACATTTCTCTATGGTTTTTGTAGTATACGGGGTATGTCACGACGAGCATTACACTATCTCTATATCGAGAATCGGTCATAAGACATCTTTTGAAACTGTGTGTGTTTATATTTTAAAACATTTTTCGAAAAGTAGCAACAACTTTGTTATTTCAAATAGTAATTCCCTGTATTTTATTGCATTATTAGATTCTCCCTGAAGAGCCGAATTCATCGAGATATCACACTTGGGGTTTAGCGGGAATGATTACAGAGATATATAGGGTGTTCATAATCGGGATATTTCAACTTTAGGATGTAGATAAACTATTCCTTATAGGTCGAAACGGCTTTCATGTCCCTATTTCAACTTTTGATTTACTATCTACTGACGTTTAATTGGAACAGATACAGGATGGTTCAAGACTCAGAATTCTGAGGTCTGTTCCAATTAAAAAATGTCATTATATAGATAGTAAATCGCAAGTTGAGATAGGGGCATGTAAGCCGTTTTGACCGATAATGGATAGTTTCGACAAAAAAAATCCTAAAGTTGGAAATTCTTGATTTTGGATACCCTATATCTCTGTAATCATTCCCTCTAGACCCCAAGTGTGATGTATCGATGAAATCTGCTCTTCAGGGAGAATCCAAAATTTGAATTTGAATCTAACATTCACATTTTCCCTGATCCTCGATATAAACATAGTCTAAGCTCGTTGTGACATACCCTGTATAGATAGGTAGGCGTTTATAAAACAAGTCGCATGGATAACAATATACAAGCAAAACGTTTTTTGAGATGAAAATCTTGAAGATATATTTGTCGGAGCTTCGTTTTATATATCTTTTTTATAAATTTTGCCTCTCAGTTTCATCTGCATACCTTATATCTGCAAGCTTTCGATCACACCAGTCTTTCTAGACAATTATTAATAATTGTCAAATTATTGTGTTCGAGAGATATAATGTTTTATTACAACTTTCCTCGCAAGTTACAAATTATTTATGGCAATCATCTTGAAATCCATACAGTTTTTTGAAAAATATGAAAAAGAGCGAAAAGTATTATGATTGAAGATAGAATCAGAATTGATGTTTCATTGAAAACAGAGGCGCTACGCAGATAAGTTAACTCGGTTAGGTAAGACCCATAAAACTGTATCATACTGTGATTAACTATCTACTGGAATTTTATTGGAAGAAATGCAGGGTGCTTCAAGATTCAGAATTCTGATCACCCTGTATCTGTTCCAATTAAATTTCAGTAGATAGTGAATCAAAAGTTAAGATAGGGACATGTAAGCCGTTTCGATCGATAATCGACAAAAAAAATCCTAAAATTGAAAAATCTCGATTTTGAACACCCTATATCTCTGTAATTATTCCTGCTAGACCCCAACTGTGATACATTAATGAAATCAGCTCTTCAGGAAAAATCTGAAAATGCAATAAAATACAGGGTGCTCCATTTAAAATAAAGAAGTTGCTAGTTGTTTCTCAAAGAAGTGGCAACACTGTATCGATGAAAATATTTTAGACGGACGAAGAATGTTCAATTATCAAAGTATCCCAATTTTCAGAATGTTCGGTCTTTTCGTTCTCCAGATACTTCTAATACACCATCCACCGTGGATCACCCTGTATAGGTGCACTGTTGGTTTCTGTTGTGCTATAATTCCAAAAAATAAGCCCTCCGAGAAAGAACTGATAGTCATTTATCTCCCACTCCACTCCGCGGTTACGTAAATCACGAAATTAGCAACTAAGTTCGCATTTTTTTTTAAATCAAAACACAGCATTAAACAGATATTTGATTACTACAAAAGAATGATAAAGATGCCTGCAACGCAGGTGTAATTCCTGTTTTTTTTTTATTTCAATACAGTGTGTCCCACTTACCATGCTCACCATGGGTATCTTTTTAACGGTGAGAGATACGAGGTCGGTTAAATGACACCAAATGTGGAGTTTGTCAAGGCCAACTATAATGTGAAAAAATATTTTGATAAAATCTATTCGTTTTTGTTTTATACGCAAAAAACAGATTTTGATCATTTTCATGTCTCCTCCGTAACTTCTTTATTTATGAAAATATCCGAATAGGAATTTCACATTCTCATGGCAGTTTTTCAAAGTGATTTCGAAAAAAATATGAAATTTATACCAACTCTTCTAGAATTTGAGATATCAGCACCAACTTTAGTTTTTCAAATGTAGGTCATAGCTCACTATGACTTAGTTACAAATAACTTTTTTTTCTCTTACAGATGATATGTCACAGTAATAGTTTGTGTTGATATCAACGGAGTTATCGTCATTTATTCAAAAACAAGAAATTATTTGGAAGCCGCCATCTTGAATTTATGAATTTTAACAAAAAAAATCATGATCTCCGACCTCAAGAACCACCACTTACCAATTTTTAATGGAATCGGACCAAATCTTGTCCGCCATCTTGGAGCAGCCATTTTTTTTTATTTCAACAAAAATTCCATAACTCCGATTAACTTGAAATATGGCAGGTGTTTATAATTTTGGTGACAATACATTATGGAATTTTTATTGAAATTAAAAAAAATGGCTGCTCCAAGATGGCGGACAAGATTTGGTCCGATTCCGTTCAAAATTGGTAAGTGGTGGTTCTTGAGGTCGGAGATCATGATTTTTTTTGTTAAAATTCATAAATTCAAGATGGCGGCTTCCAAATAATTTCTTGTTTTTGAATAAATGACGATAACTCCGTTGATATCAACACAAACTATTACTGCGACATATCATCTGTAAGAGAAAAAAAAGTTATTTGTAACTAAGTCATAGTGAGCTATGACCTACATTTGAAAAACTAAAGTTGGTGCTGATATCTCAAATTCTAGAAGGGTTGGTATAAATTTCAAATCTTTTTCGAAATCACTTTGAAAACCTGCCATGAGAATGTGAAATTCCTATTCGGATATTTTCATAAATAAAGAAGTTACAGAGGAGACATGAAAATGATCAAAATCTGTTTTTTGCGTATATAAAACAAAAACGAATAGATTTTATCGAAATATTTTTTCACATTATAGTTGGCCTTGACAAACTCCACATTTGGTGTCATTTAACCGACCTCGTATCTCTCACCGTTAAAAAGATACCCATGGTGAGCATGGTAAGTGGGACACACTGTATAATGTAATATCTTCTCAATATTGATTCGTTGTTATTTCTGTCACAGAAATGGATAGTGTATTATACACGGGAAAAATATTAGATTTTAGCTCACGGTTTTTTATCTCCCTCCGCTGGAGCTGAAATCTACTACTTTTTTTCCTTGTATTATAAATAAGTATTTATAAAAAGTTGCATTTTGTTATCTGTCGACATAAATGAAATATCAAACTATTTTCTCCTCACAGAAAAAACATTATTTTTCCCCGTATTACCTGGTGTGCTTTCCGAATTTGCATGGCTGGCGCCACTGTGCTCTTCCTAAAGTCCCACAGCTGCAGCGACCCGTCTGCGCAGCCGCACGCTATCACTTTGCCCTCCCTGTTGAAATTCACCGCGGTGGGGGCGACTTTCAGACCGTTCTGCGCCCTGCACTTTATGATCCGCTTGTGGTGCTTGCCTCCCTCGTAAAAGTCCCAGCTTCTCACTGTTCCGTCGAAGCTGGTCGTCAGGAATTCCTCCTTGAAATTGATAAGGGAGGGTTGCTAATCAATGCCTAATCAACCTAGACAAGAAATACCGGAAGAAGGACATCGCGATTTTATCCGATAGCCAAGCAGCCATCAAAGCGTTGAGCTCTCCCTACATCAACTCGAAGATGGTATGGGAATGCCTAAGCAAATTGAATGAGCTAGGCAGCAACAATAAAGTTATCCTCCTCTGGGTGCCAGGGCATATCGGAGTGGAGGGGAATGAACAGGCAGACGCTCTGGCACGACAAGGGGCTTCAACGCCACTGATCGGACCAGAGCCATTCTGCGGCCTTGGAAATTCCTATTTCCAAGGAGAACTTGAGAAGGCGAAAGGAGCCTGGAGAGCCAGATAATGGAGAAGACTTCCAGGACTACGGCAGGCTAAAGATCTTCTTGGAAATTTCAACCGAGAAAGATCTAAGACACTGACAAACCTCAGCAAAGGAAGTCTCAAAGCAATAACGGGATTTCTAACGGGGCATTGCAGACTCAAAGAACACCTAAGGAAGCTAGGCTTACAGGAGGACGGCACCTGCAGATTCTGTGAGGAAGAACCAGAAACACTCCATCACACTCCGCTGTACATCACAAAAGATTGAACATACTGGGAACACACCAGCTGACTGTGGAAGAAATACCACAGCTAGACTCCCTCAAAATCCTCAAATTCCTGAAGGAATTGAATCTCGAGGGGCTGCTATGAACAAGAAATCCTTGATATAGCAGGAGCAGATGGGGCACAATAGATCTAATTGGGTCGCAGCGCATCTGTCACCATCCAACCTACCAATACCAATACCAATAATCAATGCCGAAGTCGCGATTTTTAACTGCCTTGGAAAAACACGCCCATAAAATTATAATCTCGGATCAAATTTGGAAATTCTGAATTAGGAGGCCTCAGGTTAGAAATATTTCCAAAGATTTGGTGATTTCGTACCCTTAATAAATAATCAGGCACGCCCCAGAGGTCGTGGCAATTTTAGTTCCTAAATGTACTTGACACTGCTGTTTTGACGTTTTATGTATATCAGAGTACGGACACTATGACAAGCACTGACAATCAGACATAACTACAAATAAATTTATGGAAAAAGCGGGAAATTATAGTACATGGACGTACATGACATAAATAAACATTTTTCAACGCATTTTTATCATGTAAACTTCAGAACGGAAGATTTGATGTTGAAGAATAGGATCGTACTGAGAGAAAGAGCCGAACCCACAACCCCAGTTTATAAATTGTGGGTTCGGCTCTTTCTCTCAATACGTTCCTATTCTTCAACATCAAATCTTCCGTTCTGAAGTGTACCTGAAAAAAATTGCGTTGAAAAATGTTTTATGTCCTACCAAGAGATTTGAATACCTCGCAAATTTTGTGGCCTGAAACTATATTCCATGCCGGCCGCATCATATTCTGTTTCCGTTTTTGTAGAATTACGTTATCCGATGGAAATTCGAATTGATTTCCCGTGTTCTCACAGTTGGAAACTGCACAAACTTGCATCTTTCTCCTAATTCTCTCAATTTGTTAAACCTTTGAAATTTATGTCATGTATGTACGTCCGCGTACTGTCGGTTCCCGCTTTTTCCATTAATTCATTTATGGTTATGTCTGATTGTCAGTGCTTGTCATAGTGTCCGTACTAATTCATTGAAACACAACCTCACTTTTTTATTTGTTTACAGAATAATCAAAGGATTGAAATAGTTTTTCACAATATTTTGGCATACAAATCGTGTTTTTTGCTCTATTCATTGATTCAAGCATGCCTTCGCATTGTGCTGTTGTACAATGCACAAAAAATGCAGCGAGAGACGAAGGAATATGACTTTTCAGGTAAATAGTAATCTCACATAGTTTTCATTATGAAATGTTGTCATTCCTTATTCCTTCTGCCACTTCTGCAATACAAGCTAATACTGCTAATAGATTGAAAATGTCTACACATACGAACGATCATATTTCGTCAGCATGTCAGACAAGTTCTCCCGTTTGATTGCATGAATCCAATCTTCTTGCATTATTTTAGAAATTTCACGAGAATTTCTATTAGGTCCTATTGCAGGAGGAATTCCGATGGGAAATCAGAGAAATTTACAAATTTCAAAAATGAAAACTATTGTATGTGAGTGACTATTATAGTAGGTAACTACTTTTAAATCGGATTCCTTCGTCTTCCACTGCAGTTTCTGTGCATTGTACAACAGCACAATGTGATGGCATGACCGAATTAATAAATAGCCGAAAAATACGATTCCTATGCCAAAATAATTGCGAAAAATTATTTCAATCACTTGTAAACAAATAAGAAAAGTGAGGTTGTGTTTCAATGTTGTGCCTCCAGGGTCGGTCATCTGACAGTTCTTGCACGCAACCCATACAATAAACGTCAAAACAGCAGTGTCAAGTACCTGGTGAATAACTATAAGAACGGCTGTCGACCATATCTCAGCTAGGGTCTCTTGATGGAAATTGACGTTAAAGTCATCTCAACAGGGTACGGACAGATCCTCGTCTCATCTCACTCTGAAGTGTTTGTGAAACAGTTATATAGTTCCATCCTTATTCAATTCTGGGGATAAACACTAGATTTTTGACATTTGTTGTTTTTTAGGTTATATTGAGGTCACTGGCGTATCATACGTAATTTCCATATGGAATTCCTGATTCAACTATACCAAGATATAGATGAACAATCCTCTAGTTTTAGAGTTTATTACTCCAGCATAATCTTTGCAAGGTAGGGAACATAATTATAAATTGTATTGAAAGCTTAATATATTTCATCAAAAGAGACTCTTCTCAGACTGTATAGCAAGGTTGACTGAATTGACTGAATGAATTCTGATTTCAAGCTGAGCAGAAGTTTATCTATGAGCTGAATGAGGTGAGCGTTATGATTGAGAAATGGTGGAAACCTCGATATGGGGGTATCTGAACTACTGTACTCATATCATGTGTGCTAAATATATTTTGGGAAATCCAACTCGAAGAATTTATGGGGTGACTAATATCACACTATCTATAAAACTTCGTCTAGGACGAAAAGTTGGCTGATAAAAAGTAATACGTGAAATGTGCAGGAAAATAAAGAAAATAATGAATACTTTACCCCCATGTATACATATGATTTTTCCGTCTCCCTAAAATAAAAAGTAATTTTCAAATAATTTATTGATGAAAGTAACAAAGAAGTAAGTATATGCAGTATAACTTATAGGAGCGTTATTTTCACTCTTGCATCCTACATTTTCTATTTATGGTAGAGTAATAATAATATAAACTAATGTATTTCGCCATATTGGATCCGTCATCTTGAATTTTCCAATTTTGACGAAACAATCATTATCTCCTACCCCGAAAACCCCCAGTTACCAATATTGAATAGAATCGGATCTCAATTGCAAAACTCGTCCACCATATTGGATTTGCCATCTTGAATATCCCAATTTTGATGAAATAATTATAATCTTCGACCCCGGAAATCCTCTGATACCAATTTTGATTATTGAATAGATTCGGGTCATAATTACAAAATTCATTCGCCATATTGGATCCGCTATCTTAAATTACCCAATTTTGACAAAAAATCATAAAGTTCTACCCCGAAAACCCTCAGATACCAATCTCAAATAGAATTAGATCATAATTAAAAATTTCTTTCGCTATATATTGGATCCGTCATCTTGAATTTTCCAAGTTTCACGAAACAATCATTATCTCCAACCCCGGAAAACCCCAGATAGATACCTTCCAATTTTGAATAGAATCGGATCATAATTACAAAACTCGTTCACCATATGATCTTCCTCAACAAGTAAATACCCTGTACATACCTATTATTAAAATTGAATGATTTTCTGTAGCGCCCATGGATGTGGCGTGACAGCAATGTCAGGAATGCCAGTAGACAAAACTCAAGTCTCTAGATCATTGAAAAAGAATGCAGCTATGATCTGTCCGTAGCCTGTTAAGATGACCACAGAATTACCCTCCAAGGAGCCCTCAGAGGCAGCCGATGCAGGCCTTGCCGATGCTTTTTGTCTAACAACCCTGATGGCAGTCATGAGGGAGCTGACTCCTAGGAGTAAACCTTTAATCCAGCTCATGTCAGTGAGTTGCCCAGGGCAAAAAAGATTGATCGTCGATTGCTACCTTGTTCTCTCTAATTTAGCATTTTTTGTGTTGGAAAATAAAAATAAAAAACCAACTTTTGAAAATTCTCTGTGAAAGACACTATGAGGGATGAGGGGTGGGATAGGTGTGGGAGAGTGATTGAGATTTAATAGACTGAGTACACCCGGCACATTTAGGAACTCTAGTTTCCATGAGGTGTATCAGCCCCTAATACCTTGGTGACAGGATTCCAAATCCCGGCCAGCAACCCCGCCGTGTGCCCCTTGGTTCTCGCCTGATCCGTGATATACATGTCCCCCTTGACGGTCTCCAGCTTCTCGAAGCCGTCCCTGTCCACCACCTTGGCCTGGCTGGCCCCCGACACGACCAGCAGCAGGTCCCCCGTGCCGGAGTAGTGCAGCCCCCTGATGGGGTGGTTGTCGCAGGGCTGCAACGTGCGGAAGGTGCGCATGCCCGAGTCCATGCCGGCGAAGTCCCAGAAGCTGACGTCGTAGTCCACGGAGCCCGAGGCCAGGCGGGCGCCGCTCGGGTCCACGCTGATCGCCGTCACTGCTTTGGTACCTGCGAGTTTCATGTGGGGAATCATGAAATTTAACTGTATTAACCAAGGTATTAATTGAAATGGGAAATACAGTTCTCAACACACTAAATGGACCACTCTAATTTGACTCTATTTCGAAGACCTGTATTTTTTTTTAAATTGACCGATCTTCATCGTTACCACCGATACAACAAGGCCAGCAGACTCTGACGTAAACAGCTCGTGACGTCGCCAAGTGAGGCCAGTGTTTTATTTTATCGCTTGTCGACTAACGCGTCAGTTCGTGTTAATTCATCGGTGATTCACGTATGTTTTTGAAACGGTCCCGAATTCTTTTGTTGTTTATTCATCAAAATAATTGGCGGAAAAATTACTGTTTTGTGAAATATTTTGTGTTGTGATCGGCGAAATAACAATGCCTTTCAAGTTTTGTGTTCCCTTTTGTCGGGGGAATTATGTGGGTGGTTCAAAAGTTCATGCTTTTAGTTTCCCGTTGGACGAGGAGCTATCGAAAATGTGGGTAAGGTTAAGTATATGCAATTCACCGCGAGGATTTTACACCATCTAAGTATCTAAGTTCAGTAGTAAACAGAGCTTAATTTATAATGATAAATTAATAATAGAAGACAATTACTCTCTCATAAAAAGTATAAGTAGAGGAAAAATAGAAAAGGTTTGATTGTGCAGTTAGTTTTGTATTCGTATATTATAGTCAACAAAATCATCTCTGAATTCGAGGAAGTATTCTTGAATTTTCATAATAAACGGGCATTTTTAATTCTCATTCTCAAATTTCTTTCTGAAAACAGTCATTTGCCTCGTGGCAATGGATGCAGAATTCATTCCAATGATCAAATTGCAACTATCATATTAACATGAACTACAAACACTCTACTCAAAAAAGGTAAAACTGCATTTATCATGATATTTATCATCAAGATATTTGACTGAAAAGTTCCAAATTTCACCTTCTTTTTCACCTGTCTTCTGGATGGCATTTAGAACAAAATTCCCTTCTTTTTTCATCATATTGGACAATTTATATATAATTCAACTATAAATATGATTTTCTTGAGATTAATCCATATTTAGTGAGAAGAAGGAAGAATATCATTCAAAATAATGGCGTGTGTAATGTCATTCGAAAGCAATCTATTGACATTTGACATCTCGTATTTTGATTGACTATTGATTAAATGATCGTCATCTGGAATGCTTGTTCACTAAATATGAAAAACTCGCCATAAAAATCATATTTCCTGTTGAATTTTTTATTTAAAAATGTGCCATCGAAGTACATCATGAGTATATAAAGTGTCCAATGACAAAATAAGAGCAAGTAGCTTCAAATGCCCAAAACACAAGGGGAGAAAGAAGGCGAAATTTCGAACTTTTTCTTGAAATATCTCAATGAATAGTGGTTTGTTCACATTTTCATTATAAAATTCGGTTTATCAGACAAAAATACGTGACCGAAAAAAATTTTCAAAAAAAAAAACCATCGCATGATAAATGCAGTTTTACCCTTAAAAATTACGGTTTCAAGTGTAACGATCTATTTGGGTGAAAAATCCAACAACAGAAAATTGAAAACACTCACTGGTTAATTTTTCAGGTAATAGGAATTCTCCAAGATAAATATAGGTAATTGTAACAAACGGCATGTCAATTAAAATGAAATACATTTTCCACAATTTTCTTACGATCAATCTACGATAAGTTTATGTTCTGCGGGCCCTGTATAAGTAGGTGTGAAGTTTACCTTCACCACAATTTTTGCCAATATATTTAATTCGAATGGGTTGCTGTAGGTGGATATTTGTGTTTTATCCTGGTTTTTGCTTTAAAACTTCCGTTTTTCCATAATAAAATCGAATGGGGTGCGAAGAAGGGCTCATTTGACGACTGGCATCCTTTTTTAACCGGAATGGCATCCTTTTTTAACCGGAAGCCATTCAAAAAACAGCAAAATCGGCTCAATGATGATCTAAAACTAAAATTGAAATACGCGGTCGCCTTATAGCGCTATAAGCGCTTGTCGTTTCGAGCCGCTGGTTAGGCCTCACTAAGTGACGTCAACCACGGAGCATGCAGGCCTTGTTGTATCGGTGGTTTCAAAGAGAGCTAGGGTGTAAAGTGGAACCATTACACTATGGTCTACATTCTCAATGCTGCCAGAACTCGAGAAATTTTTTTCTGATCAAAAGTCAATCATATTATTATACACTGGGACCTCATCTCGGGACGTTTTCGTGATTTCTCCTTAATTGACCATTGAAACAAAAATTCGATTTTTTTTCGAGAGTCTTGCATTTCTTGAATTTTTTCTCGAGAACTCCACTTGAGCTGACTATTGGGAAGAACTGTTCTCATGTTTTGTGGAGGACAATGAAAGACGAAAAAAGCACTATTGTGGAATATACAGGATGATAAGAGAATAGGACAAAATCTCATTTTAAATATATTTTAAATGAAGACAGCGTATTCTAAAATATAAGCATGCGCATTTTCATAGATTTCTCCCGACTAATTCGGTATATAAAGATAGTGTAAGCTCGTCGTGATATACCCTGTATATTTCAATTTATCGGGCACAATTTTGTCCAGCATCAAGTAGGAGGATGTTTTCAGAACTTCATAAATTCGTGGTTATGATCCAAATGATATCAGTTATCCTTAGAACATTTTTGAATGCTATCATTGATTTTTCTATTTAAAAACATGTGATGATAATGTAGTTTTTGTAGAATCAATTGGCTTTCAATATTATGTATCCATTCTATTTTATCAATAGAAATAAGAATTTAATGAATACAATGTCACTCACTCTGCATTTTTGCAGACATTCAATATCTGAACATGGATTTTAGTTTTAAGTCTAATGTTGAAATACTATAATAATGTAATGTTAGTGCCATAAACAGTGTTTTTTTTGTCTTTCAAGTTTAAGTATAGAAAATATAGATATATGTATTTCAACATGTAACACTAAGATTTATTTGCAACAAAATATGTTGAACTGTATGTACTATGATGTAAGTTTATTATTGCTATTGTTGAAATGAATCATAGGGATACATGAACATATACATAAAAAATGAATTCCACCCTGTGGAAAAAAAATTTCTTTCAAGATGAAAGTCATTAAATTTCAATTCTGAGTAATCAAAGCATGCCAAATAATTTTCAATCAGGTTCTCCTGACAGGTTTTGTTTAAGATTATTGATTTTGAATCTGCTTGCATCATAATTATGTATATTCTTCAATAATTTATTTGGTAATTGGAATGTTATGAAATTTTTCCATTGTGGAAAACAGATTGTTAGCCATTATTTGACTTGAATGTATTTGCTATAAAGAGTAACTCTACTATCAAATAATTCATTTGTCTGGTCACATAATAATTAGAGGAGAGGTGGCTAACCTACCATTCTTTGGTATTGACTTCATTAAAAACAATGTATGTTGTTTTCAATGAATTCCTGGCAGATTGAATAAAGTATCATATTTAGAAAATATCTAGGTTTGTATAGATTTATTACTGTTGGTTCTAGAAAAAGCACTTTATTGATATGCTTTGTAACCACATTAGTGGTTTTAGGCGTGAAATATTTGTAGAAAATAAAATACCATGTGTCATCTGAGCTTCATGTGAACAAGGAATGAACAGAGAATCATCCTCTTTATCATCCTCACTATCATCATCACTTATTTTACTTTCAGCTTTTGTTGTTTCCTTATTGCTACCACCCAAATCTTGGGGTAATGGTGGACCAATAAACTCATCACTATCATCAGAGTCTTCACTATCTGCAGGTACATCTTCTACTGGTTTTTTAGTCACTTCTTTTGCAGTTGCTTTGACTTGGGCAATCATTTCTTTGATGTCAAAGACTTTTGCTTTCTTGCCGAACGTCGAGATACCCATAACATCTTTCATTTGCTGCGATTCATTGTCGTCGTCTAGAACTTCTATGGCTTTCGGGGGCCCGAAAGTGCCTATGGTTCCTGTTGCTTCTATTTTCTCGGAGTTTTGCCGAAAGTTCGTACTTATCTTGCCAAAGCTGATTTTCTTCATATTTTATAATACAAGATAGTGAAAACATTAGAGGAACAACTTCTAGTTTAAATCGTTTAGGATATCAGCATATCAATATTTTGAAATTTTTTTGAAACGTCAACTTGGTTTTTTAGGTTAATGTCGGAAGTTCTCTTCTTCTTCTTGATCCCTAGCCATTGACTAGAACTGCTAAAAAAGTACTGAATCATCAAATCTGTTTGAACTAATATTGTACAAATGAACTACTTACAAGCGAGGCACTCTTATAAGAATTTGTAGGTTATGGTAGAAAAGTAAATAATAATAATAATACATAAACATTGTGGTGAAAAAGTGCGGTTTATTGTTTTTTTATTCTTGCCTCTGGTAACAAATATACCAGCAAAATGGCTATAAGTTTAGACATAAGACTAAAACGAGCTGACAAAATATACTGTGAAGAGGTGCAAGGAATAAATAAATTCTAAAATAAATAGGCTTATCTTCCATAGTTTTCAGGATAATGTAACAGGAGTGATAGTTATCTCATCCAACTCCGATTTCAAACATGAAGGCATTACTTTAATTATGGAAGGATCAGTAAACATACAAGTCAGCACAAAAAATGTTGGAATTATAGAAGCATTTTACAATTCAGTCAAGGTATTGAACTGGTTTCCCATAAAATAAAGGTAGTTCTAGATGACCAAATATTTCTAGCCCATTCAATTGATAAACTTGACATGTGAAGTAAGTGGTGCAGGAAGATTACCCTCAGGTACAACAGAGATACCATTTGAAATCCCACTAAAGTCCAAAGCTAACAGAGTTTTATATGAAACATACCATGGGGTTTATGTCAACATAGGATATGGCTTGAGATGTGATATCAAGAGGTCCTTCTTGTCAAAGGATTTACAAAAAAGCCAACAATTCTTGATACAATACAGGCCAGGCTATAATGCCTGTCCACAGTTGCCTCTAAGAGACAAGAGAACACCTGTTAATTTTGAACTAAGCCCTTCCACTCTTTCATCAGGAAGGACAGGTAGGATTTGACTCTTCTTGGGACAAAATTATGATTTTTCCTTTGTAGGTGCCCCAGATTTTCTTCTAAAGGGAGTAATAGACACTGTCTGTTGCAACATAAGTAAACCATTCAAAGGTAAATTAGTGTTGGTTAAGTGTGCTGTTCCTGTTAGGTCTATAGAGCTACAACTTGTCAGAGTTGAGACATGTGGATGTGCTGAAGGATATGCTAGAGAAGGTAAAAACTATACCTAGAAATGATTTCTTCCCAATTAGGTTGCAATTCATTTCAGCTACTGAAATCCAAAATATTCAAATTGGTGATGGAGATGCACCCCAGAATATTCCTATACCAATTTACATGGTTTTTCCAAGACTTTTCACTTGTCCAACATTAATAACAACAAATTTTAAACTAGGTAATTCCAGTGCTATAAGTTTTGGATTCTCAGTAAATGTTATTTTTTATTTCCAGAGTTTGAGGTGAATATTGTTGTAATATTCCAGGATGACCACTTGATAACCAATAACTTCCCAATAGTACTAGTGAGAGAATGAATCTAGAGCATCTAGCACATAAATATTATTTACAAGTTTTTATAATTATTATATAAATATATTCTTACAAATTATTATCAAATACTTGGGTATAAATCTTGATCTATGCTTCTCCTACCACCAATGCCAGTTGTTCAATTATGGGATCCAGCTGGCTCTCCAAAGCCAGTATGTGTCCAGTAGTGCAAGAATCACTTGCTACAAAGGACACAATCAATGGCAACTTGTTCATCTGCACTACTTGGTACTGGGAGTAACAGCAAATCAGAGTATTCGTTTTGCCCAGCCCCAATTTACTTCCCTGGTCTATGGCCAGTCTGAAAGTTGATATGAAGTTGGGTCTTGTTGCATGTTCTGGCGTTTTATCTGAGCTGACTTTGACTAGGGGAACGCCGTCTATGTCTGTGATGAGGATGCAATAGAGGCCGTTCACTTGGGCCATGATGTCCTGTAGGTATTTCCTTGCCTCCTCTACCATGTTAATTTTCAAACAACACCTTGGATTATTTACTTATTTTTCTCTTTCAACCAACTTCACTTCTGACAATTTAACATTTCAACCTTAGATCATACAGGATCTATGATCTAAGATTTCAACATGATACTTCTTCTTATTCTTCTTTATTATTGGCCTCTTGTCCATATGGACATCTAGCCATTCAACTTAATAACTTCTTCCGTTTCTTTTGGCCTTTTGTCCAGAGGTGGACATCCAGCAGGCTGTTCTTCCTTTTTATCACTTGTGAATCCATAACTATGCTATTACTCATATATGAATCATCGCTGTCCTCAGAGCGGGACCAACTTCTGTCTCGAAATCGACCAATAGGCGTTGATGCCGAAGTAGGGAAAAAATAATACGACAAATTGGCTACTAATTTAAAATTTTCCATCCTTCACTTTCCGTCTTTATAGATTCAGAAAGTACCTCTCATTTTGGTCCCATTTTCGTTGAGATATCATATAGGCGATGAGCCATATATAGAAATAGTACATATATGTGTGAATCACAAGGATGACGCTGGGCTATCCGGTAATCTTCTTCTTTTTAGTTGAAATGGCCTTAGCTGCCTGGACTTAATGATGAAAGTAAGATATGGTGTAATTACTGATGCGCTTTTGTTTCAGAAATTTTACTCGACTCTCAAGAACAGTGAGAGCAATGGTTCCGTTGATCTTCTAATAGATGGCGACATTGCACAATCATGATATCTGTCAGTTTTGAAATTGTCGCAGATTTTTCGAATTCAGAGTTGAATGATCCTACTGTTACATATGTTCCGCCACGTTCCGCGTACCTAAAATGCCATTTGCTATTTTATTTCTACTCGACAGTAGCAATAGCAGCTTCACCTTCTAGCGGGAAAATGTAGAATCAACGTCTCGTTCGTTGTGACGTAGAGAAATCATAGTAGGCGGTCGAGTGATTTTTCTGAAATTTTCAATACGTAATAATGGCCGAATACGCGCACCATATCTTAATTCCATCATTTTGGACTTATAGCAAGGACTTGCAATTCTTTCTCGGAGACTGTGTTATTGGCTTATTTTTCGTAAATAGCACAACAAAACCTGTCAACAGTGTATATATACAGGGTGGCATTGAAATAAGTGCAAGTATTTCAAGCCTTGAGTAAGCTCCATGTACACTATCGAGTGGTACCGATAAAAAATCATAGGGATCAAAATTAAATTTGAGGTTAGACCCCTTTTTCCACCCAAAGTTCCACACTATAGCAATTCTGACGTCACCTCTGATTGAATTTTTCGTGCATTTTCGTCCGTTACCATCGATAGTCTCGATCAATGATGGTAACGATAAGACAGAATCACGCTGATTTCAATCATTCAAATTGTTTCAAAGTGGTGAACTTGATTTTTTCTCGTTTTTTGTTCAATCTTCGGGATGAAATTTCTTATTAATTAGAAGAATTAGGAAAAATCTGATATTATTAGAATATTCCTTAGACTGTTTCATATCGATGTGCTGCGATCATATGTACTTATTTCAAATACACCCTGTATATATATCCTGAAAAAAGTACTTTTTTCCCCGCGGGAAAAAAGGAATTTATGAAAAGAAGGATATGAAAAGTTAGTTATGACCTGTCAACAGAGATGAAATGTCAAACTTTTTCCCATCATTGGAAAAATAGTTATTTACACTACAAGAGAGGCAAGTGATACTTACCAGTCGAGGACATTGTTTGCGCCCGAGCGATAGCGAGGGCTTGCAAAATAGTCCGAGACTGGTCAAGAACACTGCCTCCCGAGTTTTGTATTATATTTTTTCTACTCCAGTTCCCTTAGATTAAAAAAAATGTTTTTCAATTACTTATATAATTTGACTAATCTAACTGAAAAACCCTGTATGTATGACAGGTTTCCTAGTGTTACACGTTGATCGCTATGGAATTCATATTGTTTATAATCAAACAAATGTTCTGTCAGTGTCATTTTATTAAAAAAATCGAAATAATGGATATCGATGCAGTTGCGAATGCAGCTTGTGCTGCTCTATTACCTCAGAAATCGAAGGAACGGTACAATCGGTGTTACAAGGACTTCAAGGCTTGGTGCAGTAATATTGCAAATTGCAAGTGGTGAAAGCATTACCGAGAAAAAAAGAGTTCAATTTTTAGGTTAAATTATGAAGTTTATTTAACTTGCTTCCCTAGGGAGGTAAATATTTACTTACCTCCCTAGGGAGGTAGAACGTGTTTTCCTCCCTCAAATCAGTATCAAAATGAAGTACTTACCGAGTAAGGAGTAGAAAAACTATTTTTATCCTTTATAAATTTCCCTCATTGATTTCAATAGCTTTTCAGTAAGGGGTAAAACTTCAGCTTTAAAGGGATATATATATTATTTTAATGTGCTTTCAAATAAAAAATAAAAACTTTAAAAAACTAATAGATTAAAATTTGATTAACAAAAAATATATGACTAGCAAAAATATTAAAACTATAACTATAACCTCTAAACCAGTTCCCAATCACTTGAATTATCAGAGGACACACTAACAGGCCTTTTGTTCAGCTCTATATTACTCAACTTCCATTCCTTTGGAATACTTATACAATCTGAAAGAATCAAAATGAATTAAATATATTGTAATGTGAAATATCTTTAGTACCTATATTGCAAAATACCTACCTGGAGTATATCCTGATGTTTTCATTCCAATTGAAGATTCGAAAAAAGAATTTTTCTTAACCGGAATTGGTTTGCTTCTTTTTAATGGAGTAATTTTTTCGACATGGTCACCAAATTCTTCAGATTCAATATCATTTTTTCCTAAATAGTTATCACAGTCAGGTTGAGAATTACTCAGAGGTGACATAACACTGTTTTCTTCATTAATTTTCACTTTGTCCAGACTCAATATATCTGCCAGTATTTTTTCCTTATACTCAATATCATTCTTTATCGACTCAGGACTCCTGAGATCAGGTAGAACTCCCACAGCACTGAGATTCATGATGGTAGGTCTGGTGTAGCTCAGATCCTTCTCGTCTGAGCTGTTTGAGCTGAGACTGATGGTGCTGTTGTCCATGCTTGACCGCTTTTTTCGGTGTTTGCTCTTTTTGAACAGTATTTTATCCTCGAAATCTTTCTTGCCGATTTCATCGAATTTTTTTTGGATGTCTGGATTGTAAGTGCGGGTTCTCACGGGTGATTCCCGAGCTTCTTCTGCTTTTACCACCATGTTTTCGTCAGTATGGACGTTTACTTCGTAGGTGAAAGCATGCTCTAGTATTGGAGGAATGGCAGATATGATATTTGAGGATTGTAGCTTAGTTGTCAGGTCTTTTAATGAAGTACTTAATGGAAGAAATGTGGAATCGTTCATTGATGAAAATGTGGCTGTGGAAAATTGAAATTATAAAAGGAAGTTTGTGTGAGAAAAGTGGATAGTACCTGAGGAAGAAGCACTAGTGATGAAATGCTCTGGTTTATAAGAGACTCTGATTAAACTTCTATCTTCTTCCAAAACGAAAATTTCATCTTTGTGTGTAGCTACATTCAATACACTGAAAAAAATGGTGTAGTACCTTATAGAACATATTTTATTATGTTTCTTGGAATCAGAGGGTCAATGTATTCAATATAAGTAATAATGAAATAATAGGAGAGTTATTTAGAGAAAAATGTTGAGTAATGAGGGAAATACCACATTTAGAAATAGCAAAATTTCACTTTTATGTTGAAAAAATCTAATCTGGAGAAAAATGTTTTTATCTCTGATGATAATTCCCAATTTCCTAAATTGTTTTCACTGTTTCAACATCTGTATATTCAGGAATCAAGAAAAAGCAGAAAGCATATTTTTCAGCTATGTTCCATACACTGAAAAAAATGTTGTAGTACCCTTTCAACATATTTTATGTTTCTTGGAATCATGGTAAATGTATTCAATATAAGTAATAATGAAATAGTAGGAGTCTGTGATGAGTGATTTAGAGAAACATGTTGAAAAAATCTGATCTGGAGAAAAATGTTTTTATCTCTGATGATAATTCCCAATTTCCTAAATTTTTTTCACTGTTTCAACATCTGTATATTCAGGAATCAAGAAAAAGCAGAAATCATATTTTTAGCTGTTCCACACATTGAAAAAAATGTTGTAGTACCCTTTCAACATATTTTATGTTTCTTGGAATCATGGTAAATATATGTATTCAATATAAGTAATAATGAAATAGTAGGAGTCTGTGATGAGTTATTTAGAGAAACATGTTGAATAATGAGTGAAATACCACATTGTGTAATAGCCAAATTTCACTTTTATGTTGAAAAAATCTAATCTGGAGAAAAATGTTTTTATCTCTGATGATAATTCCCGATTTTCAAAATTTTTTTCACTGTTTCAACATGTGTATATTCAGGAATCAAGAAAAAGCAGAAATCATATTTTTTAGCTATGTTCCATACACTGAAAAAAATGTTGTAGTACCCTTTCAACATATTTTATGTTTCTTGGAATCATGGTAAATGTATTCAATATAAGTAATAATGAAATAGTAGGAGTCTGTGATGAGTTATTTAGAGAAACATGTTGAATAATGAGTGAAATACCACATTGAGTAATAGCCAAATTTCACTTTTATGTTGAAAAAATCTAATCTGGAGAAAAATGTTTTTATCTCTGATGATAATTCCCAATTTCCTAAATTTTTTTCACTGTTTCAACATCTGTATATTCAGGAATCAAGAAAAAGCAGAAAGCATATTTTTTAGCTACGTTCAATACACTGAAAAAAATGGTGTAGTACCTTTTGAACATATTTTATGTTGCTTGGAATCATGGTAAATGTATTCAATATAAGTAATAATGAAATAGTAGGAACTGTGATGAGTTATTTAGAGAAACATGTTGAATAATGAGTGAAATACCACATTGAGTAATAGCCAAATTTCACTTTTATCACAGATTATACACTCCCCCTTTTATGTTGGAAAAATGAAAAATCTGATCTGGAGAAAAATTAATTTTTTTATCACTGATGATAATTTCTGATTTCCTAAATTTTTTTCACTGTTTCAACATCTGTATATTCAGGAATCAAGAAAAAGCAGAAAGCATATTTTTTAGCTATGTTCAATACACTGAAAAAAATGGTGTAGTACCTTTTGAACATATTTTATGTTACTTGGAATCATGGTGAATCAAGAAAAAGCAGAAAGCATATTTTTTCTTGAAACTGTTGGACAATTATTTCCAAATTTGAAAATATACCTGCTACTTTCTGCTACTTTAGATGGTCAGTACAAACCTGTTTTTTTTTTGTTTTCTAAACTTCTTGTATATGCTCATAAACCTGAGTTATTAATCTATTGAACATTACCATGCATTTCAGTTTTGATCATCCTTTAAGACTAATATAATGTCACTTTTTGGAAAAAAAGGTTTTGACAAACTTTCATATAAACATCAGATTGTCTGAATCTTTTCCAAGGGAAAATGAATTTTCTGACTGTTTCTGCACATTTAGGTCAATACAAAATGTGGTTTTACCTTCTAAGATGACTTATAGTAGACAAGACAGTCATTTCCTGTGGATCCAAAATGTAAACAACATCATTATTATAAGTCACAAGTAGTTTTTCATTAAATGGTAAGAGTATCCCAAAAGCTGGTTCTCTCTGTGGCTTAAAGTAATGTAAGTTGTGTGCAATTGGGTTTATTATGGGTACTTCTGAGCATTCCTTTGTAAGGAGTTCCTGGAATCAATCAATCATGAATTTATGGGCTGAATAAGAATTCCCCTTGCATTTACTTTGAAAAGTAATGTTTTCTGTACATTTCCTTCCACATCAGATATCCATATTCTGAGACCAGGTCTTGAACAATAAAGACAAGTGTCTGATGGCTTGTAGCTATTCTGACAGATTATACCCCCATATGAACCAAGTCTAAAATTATAATATTTCTCTTCCAGCATTTATAACCCCTATATGCACTCACACTTTTCTATCCTTTTTTCCAACTTGACAGACAATCCATTTGTCTTTTTTCTCACAGATTATACTCCTATATGTGGTAGACACTAAAAGCCTTTGTTGGTTATAGCTCAACTGAACAACTTCATAGCTTTCATTCAAAATTTCCATTGATTTACAAATATGCTGCAAATAAAATGTTCAGCTCAGTTTGAAAAAACTCTCAGTACACATACCATGTAAAAATCTATTTCTGTTAGTACTATACACCCATTTTTATCACCAGAAAACAGTTTCATCCCATTTTTGGACCATTCCATGGCACTTATAGGAGCTTTATGAAGCTCCATCACAGTGTATCTTTCTACTTGTTTGTTTTGTGGTTTCAGGCTCTCTGGTATGGATTCAGGATGTGACTTGGGAATTTGAAATATGCTGATGTTGCCAGAGCGGTTGCCACAAGCAATCATATAATCTACTGTGGAAATTACTTTCAAGGCAGTTATAGGAATGTTAGTCTGAAATTTTGTTGAAATGAGTTTGTCACTTCAGGAATTCATGGAAAATGTTTTACCTCACACCGCAGTCTCTGCATATCCCTCTTTTTTCTATCATACCAGTAAACAACCCCAACATTTGTGCCTAGAGCTAGAAATTCGGGCAAAACATCCACACAAGTCAGTTTAATGTCTTGGAAAAAAATCCCGGTTTGGGTTTTTGCTGGCAATTTGGAAAACAACTCTGTTAAAGGAGCCCATTCTCGTAACATAGGTGGTATACCGTTCTGAGAAGATGCCATATTCAACAATTGAGTACCACTTATTGAAAATTGAAAAATATAATAATATTTTGTTCAAACCTTTGACTAACTTCAAATGACATTGACATAGTACGGAAGCTTGTTGCTTGCATGACATGAAAAAAGAAGAAGAAGAGAAATTGTGTACAAAGCTAATGGTACACATAACAAAGTGGTAAAAGGGTTCAACAAAGTAGAAGATTAAGTTAGGTTGACTCAAAATTAAAATTGGGTTAGTTTGGTTGGCCAAAAATGGTTTTGTTGAAAAGAAACAGTAACGAATTACTAATTGCTGCTGCTGATAGCATTATTCAATGCAATTTCGACAAGTCAACGGACCACCATATCAAAATTCCTGACCCGATTTTGCCCGACAACTTGACTAAGGGCCAAATTGAGGTACTCAAAAGCGAAGTGCGTACCATAACGTCCCTAGAATTTTCGACAAACGGCCAATACACAGTAGTATCAACGGAAAACAAACAAGTCGTAGTGTACGACCAACATTTCAATGTAGTTAAAAACTTTATAGTGACTCGTGCAGCCAGTAAAGTATGTTTCACCCCAGAAAATGATATTTTGGTTGCCGACAAAACCGGCGATGTGTATTTATACAAACTTTCCAGCGATGTTGACCAACCGGTGCTCTTACTGGGGCACCTCAGTGTCATCTTGGACATGTTGCTCAGCAAATGTGGCAAATACATCATCACTTGTGACAGGGATGAAAAAATAAGAGTATCCCATTTTCCCAATTGTTACAACATCGCCAGTTACTGTTTAGGCCATACAGAGTTTGTAACAAGCATCAAACTGTTTGATGAAGTGTTGGTATCAGCATCTGGGGATGGGACTGTTAGGTTTTGGGATTTTATTACAGGAAATCAACTTGGATTGGTCAATGTGAATGAACATATTGACCCAAAAGAGTTGTCTGATTTTAGCCAAGAAATGGACAAAGAAAAAGTTGAAGTGTCTGCATTGCCAATAATAGATCTGCAGGTTCATTATGATGATAATAGTAGTAGGTTGTATTTTGCTGTATCAGTTTATCATTGTAAATCTATTCAATTGTACAGTACAGATTTGAAAAAGATGGTTTCTTGTTTTGTTACAAAGTTATCAGTTGATATGCTTCTTGGCTTTAGTTTTACAAGTGAGTTGTATGTTCTCAGCAATCAACTATTATGTTTTCAGTTAATTAAAGATGATTTTGTGGAGAAAGATTTGCCTTTATTACAGCCCTTGCACCATAAGTACAAGGTTATTTTGTCACAAGCTAGTGATGATTTTGTGACTGGATTGTATAAGAGAAAATATGACAATGTTCAGGAATATTTGGAGAGAAAAAAGCAAAGGCTTGAAGGAAATAATAAATGTTAACACCTGGAGCTATTTTGTTTATTTTTATTCATGAAAGGTAGTCTTGTAGTAAAAATGCGGCGCTAATTCTAGCAACCATTCATTGTCAATGACCGTCAAATCCCTCATGAAAAGTTTAGTTGTGTGCACTACTTCACAAAAGATCACCCTAGAAATGAAAATTGATGTAAAAAATCCCTTTAATTTTGTAACAATAAGGGCAAATAACTATCTATTATAGTCAAGCCTGCAAATTGATAGCCGAGGCGCAGCCGGGGCTAGCAAGCAACCGAGACAATGGAGTTTTTCGCCTCGCCGAGGTGCATATACAATTTTTTCGTAGATAAATACAAAAAATACCAAATTCTCAATGAAAAACCAACTATTCTTGAAGGCAAGTATTTTTTGTCTTCAAACTCTTTTTCTGTCTTGGTCACGACGAAAATTGTCTGTGGACGAAAAATAGTCGATTTTCCATTCGGAAATCAGTATGTAAAATGTAATTTTTTATTGAGGTCCACGAAAAAATATACAGGGTGTTAGTGAGTAAGTGTGACACATTCAGGAGGCAATTCCCTGTGATATTTCAGGAAATAAAGTTCACATGACCATCTGTCCTAACTTGCTTCATTTTCGAGGGTATTAATAATAATATTTCCATAAAAAATCGATTTTTTTATATCATTACTCAAATGTCGTTTTATCAATTTCAATAACGCTTGGTCGTTTTGTTCATAGTAACATGGAGCTTGTTTTGGTATAATTATATATATTAACCCATTAGCGCCGTGCGTTGCCATATGGCAACGTTAGGCAGATATGTAGAGTCAAATAATTCCCTGACAGTCAAATTTTTAGCTATTATAGGGTGAGAGACAGCCCACATGATTCGCAAAAGAACCGGTTAAGCACATGCCGCCATTTCTTTGTTGTGAGTAAGCTGTTTCGGCCACGTGAATTTGTGAAACTTTTAGTTTAATTGAACTGACGTAGAACATGGACGTCACGTTCGTGTACGTATCATCCTGTTGTCACGCATTTGCTTTAGCAATTTTTGTTTTCATAATTATGTTGCACATGCTTCAAGTTATATATGTGACATATTGAAAAAAATTACAGGAATGTTTTTCGTGTAAAAAATTTGCATCAAATATTCGTGTTGTCATTTGGCAACGCTAGGCGCTTATACTCAGCGAATGTGGTCACTCTCCGGCCGAGTGAATGGATGTTGAACCATTGACCGGACAATCAGCTCTTCGAAATTCAGCTAATATTTCTATTCCGATATGAGATGGGTCAAATAATTAAATGACTTAGCGGGAAACGACGGAGTTATTCAGCACTTGTTAGAAGAAACCAGGTGGTATGCGTTGTTTTCGAAAGTAATCAAGTGGTACTATTTGTATCTGGGTGAAACTGATCAGATGGGTCAAAATATTAGTTATTACCGCATATAGGAATTTTGTTCTGGCCCCTAATCACTTGGGTATTAGACGTAGCCATGCAAAATAGCTGGATTTTGACAAAGACTGTGTTTGAAATGTGATATGGTGGTATTCGTGTTAATATTCCAAAACATGTATCACAAGCGCCTAGTGTTGCCATATGGCAACAGCAGATTTTTGGAAAACCTGAATTCCATTTATGATTCTGTAAACTTTTCTCGTCTTCCGAAAGCATTTCACACTATAGTTAATGGCCATAAAATTTCAGAAAAGAAGGAAAAAATAATTCCGGCGCTAATGGGTTAATGTATGTACGTCACTGGTTTTTCAGAGTTCCATATTTTTATTAGATTGAATAATTGATATAACAACATTCTCGCTTTTATTCCTCTTATTAGTTTTTGAGAAATTAATAAAAAATCGATAAGACTCCAAATTTCAATGTAGGAGCAGCTCTCAAAATAAGACACCATTATAAATAAAAACAATTGATACTTCCAACATCAACATCCTGTATCACAAAAACGAAGCAAGTCAGGAGTCACAAGTTCATATGGACTTTATTTCTTAAAATATCACAAAGAATCAACCTCCTCTTAATTTTGCCGCAATTCATTAACACCCTGTATTTAAATAAGCTGTACGCATTTCCTTTTATTTTCCCTGAATCAAATATAGAAATTGATAAGTAAAGTTCTCACATATTTTGTATATTTGACCTTGAAAATGTTGTAAATATACAGGGTGTTAATTGATATTGAGTGCCGATAATACAAGGGCGAATCCTCGGGTGTTTTCAAGGAGAAAAGTTCGATAGTTTTAAGGAAAATGTGAGTTTTTCATCATAATTTTGTATTACTCTTAGATATTTTCATGAAATTTCGTACACACCTTTTCATCAGGAGCATTTTTTGACGTAAAAGATTTTCAAAAACTTTCACCAGTGACGTCGATACGGGGTTTGAACTGAAAATGTTTGAAGAAGAAAAAGGTACGTCACTGCTTTTTTCAAAAACCAAAATCATTTTCAAAGTCCCCAATTATTTTGGAGCAAATTTGGTTCCTATACTTACTTTCATACGACATACCCTTTTCTCGTAAAAAAATAAAAACCAAAAAAATTTTTTTTCTCCAGTTCATTGAGATTGTTTCTGGTATTGTTGGAATTTATATTAGGCACCCACTATGAGTGGAAATACATTTTGTTTCGGGGCGAAAATCAATTTTTTACTTTTACTGATTTAAATATTTTGATTGAAAAAAACTGTACGCCTCTGATTTCAACACCCTGTAGCTCAAAAGCTAAGAGGTTCAGGACATATGTTGATATAAACTTTTTTCCTTGAAATCACCCGAGGCATTTTTTGACGTGAAAGATTATTGAAAATTTTCACCAGTGACGTTCATACGGGGTTTGAACTGAAAATGTTCGGAGAAAAAAATGATACGCCACTGCTGTTTTTCAAAAAGCAAAAATTATTTTCGAAGTCCCCATTTATTTTGGAGCAAATTTGGTTCCTATACTTACTTTCATACGACATACCGTTTTCTCGTAAAAAAATAAAAACCGAAAAAATGCTTTTTCTCCAGTTCATTGAGATTGTTTTTGGTATTGTTGAAATTTATATTAGGCACCCACTATAAGTAGAAACACATTTTGTTTCGGGACGAAAATCAATTTTTTACTTTTACTGATTTGAATATTTTGATTAAAAAAAAAAACTGCACGCCTCTGATTTCAACACCCTCTGTAGCTCAGAAGCTAAGAGGCTCAGGACATATGTTGATATAAACTTTTTTCCTTAAAATCACCGGAGGCATTTTTTGAAGTGAAAGATTATTGAAAATTTTCACCAGTGACGTTCATACGGGGTTTGAACTGAAAATGTTTGGAGAAAAAAATGATACGCCACTGCTTTTTTTTCAAAAACCAAAAATTATTCTTGAAGTCTTCATTTATTTTGGAGCAAACTTGGTTCCTATACTTACTTTCATACAATATATACCGTTTTCTGGTAAAAAAATAAAAACAAAAAAAATGTTTTTTCTTCAGTTCATTATTGAGATTGTTTTTGGGATTGTTGAAATTTATATTAGGCACTCACTATGAGTGGAAAAACATTTTGTTTCGGGACGAAAATCAATTTTCTACTTTTACTGATTTGAATATTTTGATTAAAAAAAAAACTGTACGCCTCTGATTTCAACACCCTGTAGCTCAAAAACTAAGAACTAAGAGCTTCAGGACATATGTTGATATCGGTTGATATCAACTATTCCCCTTAAAATCACCCGAGGATTCAAACTTTGAATTATCGGCACTCAATTAATCAACACCCTGTATGTATTATTTTGAAACTTTGGCTATGACAACATCGTCTCGCGTAATTTTCACCTGATTTTTGAAAAATTAAATCTTACCACTGAGGCTGGGGTATGGTATAAATAACACTATCCGGGTGAACATACAGCTCTATGTCACCTCTTATGGTTTTGTAAACACCACTGTGATGAAGATAAGCAGCATTGGGGAACAATCCCTTCACCAAACATTTGCGAATAGCTTCTGTGGACCCTAAATAATTATTCAAAACATGTTAACATTCCAGCACACGTCCACCCCTTGATTATTAACACTAATGAGATGAGCCATCCTCATGACCATGAGTGAGATAGATGGTGTGCTTGCTCCCTATTGAAGGGGTGCGTTTTTCATTCCAACATTTTATCATGCGCATGAATCGAAGAAACCATCAAACTGTTGCAAAATTCCGCTGGAATGTTGATGGACATCCATCAAACTGTTGTAATAAAATGCGCACTTTTAAATCGCTTTTCGAGAATCCAGCAGTTTGGAGGAGATTGTCATGACAGTTGACACGTTTTAGTGTTATTTTTTGTTTCGATTTGATAGAAAACAATTAATATTGAGGATTTTTGAGATTCTTGAGAGATTTTAGAAGAAAGAGTCAGTGTTAATCAATAAAATCTAATTAGCCTCTTCTGATTCTCAAGATACATGATGACTGACACACAACAAAATCCGTGTTTCCATCAATGTGTTGTATAAACCATTGTTCAATGTTCAATCCTTCCAGCATAAATTCCAACAGAACAATTGGTGACGTCACGACAAAAAACCGCATCTATCAGTGCGCACTTTCTTCGATGGAATGAAAAACACGCCCAAGGTCGTTTGCAAGTTTCTCGATGGCGCCTACTCTGATAAACCTTTGATAAACATACTTGACGTGGGTAAATCTTGCTAAGCTCATCCTGGTTACAATCCATATTTACTTATTTACAGTGAACTTATTCCTGATCAAAGGATCGAAACGTCAATATGTCAAAAATATTCTTGAGCTGAAAAAATGGTTATTTCTGAGATTGGGGTCAAGTGTTCGTTAGGGACGTGTTCTGTAGTTTCTATATTTTGTGTATAATACGTAATCCACCATAGAAAAAAGAAAATCTCTGTTCTACAACAGTATTATTTCAGTGATTTGAAATATTAGCGTGAACTGGTGTGAATAAATTCTAAGGTGAGTACCAGTTACCATATCTGCCTATTGATTTTCGATATTGGTCTATTTCAATAGTTGATACATTCTTTGTTCTGGTTCTTCAAAGAGGAAATCAGATCATCAGATTTCATGCTTTAAATAGGTTCATGTAATGAAAGAAGTGAAGCTTATTAAAATCGGCTACAAAAAAGATTTCTTGCTTCTATTTCAAATTGAAATTTGAATGAAAATGTTGAGCAAAGTATTTATTCGACCACAGAACAATGATGGAAATAGATTCATCCCTCACAGAACCAAGGTTTTGAACGATTTTACGATTATGGCGCCTCTATCGCGAATACCTGAACCCCACGTCCAAAACTCGCCTGCAATTGTTCCATATCGAGAGTTAGTCTGACGAAACAATTGAAGAGTGAGCCCACCATAATGAGATGTTTATAATTCCTCTGGTGTACCCACTGTTCAATTGTTCGTCAGACTAGCTCTCGATATGAACAATATCGAATGCGACTTCGGAACGTAAAGTTCTCATATTCGATGATAGATGGCGTGAACGACGGACAATTGCTTGAAAACTGCGTTTCGAATCTTGTTATGAAGTTGAACTAGACTTTCAGTGATGCGTTTTCCTTCTTTCTGGACTTGAAGTTTCCTTTGATGATGTACGAATTCAATAATCTAGAGACAGGGCGCAACAAATAATCCGTGTGGAAACATCTTGTTCTTGACATATCTGTCACGAGTGTCATGTTTCCAGCATAATATTCAAAATTTTGTTCTAATTTGAAATAGAAAATTATAAAATAATAGCATTAGTAGTTTATTAAGAAGGTATTGATATTATATTATTAGTTGAGTGAGTGTACTCTGTTAGGATTATTTGAAAATCCGAACATTCGATTTATTTTATGTACCAAAAGTGAGTAAATGAACTATCATCACAGGATTTTCTTGAGTTATAATAGGACTTCCTGTCGTTCATGAATTCACCATTGAAAGTCGAGAATATAACGCACCGTTTCTATTTACATAAAAAATTGTGAAAATGAAAATGTGAACTCAAATGAATGTGTCACGATGCCTGTAAATTTGGTTTGAAACTTCGGAAATTTAGCAAGATTCTCCCACGCCTCGCTATTTTTACAAAGTAGGCGATATCGAGAGATTTCGAAACTCCTTTTGATAGGAAGTGATGACACCATACGACTTTCTATACATCTATCTTATGAGAGTAATGAAGCCAGAAATTATTTTCAGTAGAGGGACGACAACCCAGCGAGCACAGAAACATCTCAGAGATGTTAAAAGTACGAGATTTCGAGACATTGAACCTCCACTGCGATGTTCTGTTCACACATGAATAGAACTATTATAGAACAGCCAATGTCCTCCGCAGGCGGCAATTATCGAGATGTCCTTGATATGTCACAAAACTACCTTCTCCCTAGTTCTTTTTAAAGCCTTTTCATGGACACAACAAAACATTTTCAACGCGTCTTGCGCACATTAAATCGCTGTAAAAAACCATTTTCGAAGTACTTTTCTGAAGCCTTTTGTCAAAATGAACTTTTGCCTTAGGATTCCATTTCCCTTGAATGAAAAAATGCATTAAAAATAGATTGAACATAAAAATATTTTCTTGATATGAAATTACCTTCTTAATCGGTTTCTGAGTAGTGCTTACTATACACACAGACATATAATTGGAAATAGGTTTCCCAATTTTTGGAATGTTCTCCACAATGCATAATTTTGCAACTGCGGAGAAGCTGTGTATTGATGAATTCGTACTTTTATATATTGATTACACTGAGGCACCGAACAACACATCTTGCATCTGATGGTCATTATTACAAACTAAATAAGTCTTCTAACACAATAAACTTCACCAAATTCCTTTCTGTTCGTTAGCAGCGTGATGTAAGCGTGACACGCTGCAAACGCGAATGCCAATTGCGAACAAGAAGAACAAACCCGAAAACAAATCAGAATCCATCGTATTGTGACGTAAGCATGAGACGTTGTGGTGGGGCAAACAAAGAAAGGGCACAAAAGAACAAAAACAATACTTTCAATATCCTTCTAAGACCTCTTTGGGAAGTGCATATTACGCCTCAAAAAAACATCCTCATGCCTACATTTCTAAAACATCCTAAAACATCCCGAGATACCTCTCAGTAGGCAAACAAAGAAATGCCACAGAAGAACAAAAACAATACTTCAATATCCTTCAAAGACCTCTTTGGTCAGTGCATATTACGTCTCAAAATAACATCTTCATGCCAACATTTTCAAAACATCCCAAAACATCCCAGGGATGTTTGTGCTCGCTGGGAAAATGAACTACTTTTCCACAAAGAGAGAAACTCAAATTCATTACCACAATACAGGGCGTTGAGAAGTTAAGGGTGATAAACTGACTTTTGTTTTTCCCTGTATAATGATCAAGCATCAGCTTTTCTCTGGAACCAATATTCTGGATAACGTTCCGACACATGAATATACGATTTGATCGAAATTTCACCAAGATCGGATGAAAATCAAAAAAGTTACAGGACGAAAAATTTGTCAACATTTTTTGGTGGCCGTTTTTTTTGTCGGTGAGTGTATCTATCTATCTAAGCTGTTTTCGAGATATTCCGGTTTTCAGTGTTCGACGTCGCACCGGAATTTTTGAATTATTTTGTATAAAGTATGTTTTGCTGTTATCTTCATGGTCGGGTAATTTGGCCAGTGAACAAGCAGTGCAAAAATGGATTGTGTACTTGACATTTCCTATTTTCAACTTTCCAACCAAAAAGTAAATTGCTTCAGTTGCCTTAAATCGTCAAATTTTCACCTCAGTAATATGTGCTCAGATGTAATTGTACAGACCTTTTAGCGACCCACCCTGTACAATCAAAGACCCAACTTACTTATAGAAGATACAATCGGTACGTCGTAGTTTTTCAGCATTTTTTCGAGCCTGTTTCGTATCTCGACCACCCTCTTCAGACTCTTGTAGTTCAGGAAGTTTTTGTGACAGTAACCTTGAGACATCTCGCTTTGAACGAAACCGTTGAACACGTTCAAGTAGGTTATCAGATCGCCTTCTTCCACTTCAAAGAGCCGTTTTTGAATTTTCGCTTTGATTATCGACGCCCCCGTAGATGGTTTCGTGAATACCGTCTCTACTTGGAGCATCGATATAATCGTCAGGATTTCTTCGGAACAATCGAAATCACCTAGAAGTATCGAAAATTTCTATCATTGAGAGAAATAGTGATTTATCTCTCTATCTCTATCGTTATCGCTCTCTACCGTTCTCTTTCTCTATCGTTCTTTATCTCTATCTCTTTCTATCGTTCTCCCTCTATCATCCTGTCTCTTCCCATCGTCCTATCTCTCTATCGTTCTCTCTCTCTCTCTAGTGTTCTCTTTTCTCCATCGGTCTTTCTCTCTATCATTCGCTCTCACTATTGTTCTCGCTCTATACAGTGTGTCCCACTTACCATGCTCACCATGGGTATCTTTTTAACGGTGAGAGATACGAGGTCGGTTAAATGACACCAAATGTGGAGTTTGTCAAGGCCAACTATAATGTGAAAAAATATTTTGATAAAATCTATTCGTTTTTGTTTTATACGCAAAAAACAGATTTTGATCATTGTCATGTCTCCTCCGTAACTTCTTTATTTATGAAAATATTCGAATAGGAATTTCACATTCTCATGGCAGTTTTTCAAAGTGATTTCGAAAAAAATATGAAATTTATACCAACTCTTCTAGAATTTGAGATATCAGCACCAACTTCAGTTTTTCAAATGTAGGTCATAGCTCACTTTGACTTAGTTACAAATAACTTTTTCTTCTCTTACAGATGATATGTCGCAGTAATAGCTTTGTGTTGAGTTATCGTCATTTGAACAACAACAACAAAATATTTGGAAGCCGCCATCTTGAATTTAGAAATTTCAACAAAGAAATCATGATCTCCGACCTCAAAAACCCCCACTCACCAATTTCGAATGGAATCGGACCAAATCTTGTCCGCCATCTTGGAGCAGCCATTTTTTTTTATTTCAACAAAAATTTCATAATGTATTGTCACCGAAATTATGAACACCTGCCGAATTTCAAGTTAATCGGAGTTATGGAATTTTTGTTGAAATTGAAAAAAATGGCTGCTCCAAGATGGCAGACAAGATTTGGTCCGATTCCATTTAAAATTGGTGAGTAGGGGTTTTTGAGATCGGAGATCATGATTTTTTTGTTAAAATTGATGAATTCAAGATGGCGGCTTCCAAATAATTATTTGTTTTTGTATAAATGACGATAACTCCGTTGTTATCAACACAAAACTATTACTGCGACATATCATCTGTAAGAGAAAAAAGAGTTATTTGTAACTAAGTCATAGTGAGCTATGACCTACATTTGAAAAACTTGATCAGGTGCTGATATCTCAAATTCTAGAAGAGTTGGTATAAATTTCATATTTTTTTTGAAATCACTTTGAAAAACTGCCATGAGAATGTGAAATTCCTATTCGAATATTTTCATAAATAAAGAAGTTACGGAGGAGACATGGAAATGATCAAAATCTGTTTTTTGCGTATAAAAACAAAAACGAATAGATTTTATCAAAATATTTTTTCACATTATAGTTGGCCTTGACAAACTCTACATTTGGTGTCATTTAACCGACCTCGTATCTCTCACCGTTAAAAAGATGAGTGGTGAGCATGGTAACTGGGACACACGGTATATAGAGAAAGAGAGAAAAATACGGTGTTCAAATCACCCCATCAATGAGAAGAACGCCTAAGGAATGAATGCCTCATCACAAGCGGCCTCGACTACTCATCAGTATTCGTAATCCTCGTGTGATCGGAGATTGAAGCAGGTTCAGCCACTAGCATCATAGCATCAGAACGAATCACTTGTCGATGTTGTATTTTTATAAACGGTCATCTTTGTACAAGCCGTCCTGAGTGAATAATGCTGTGTTTGAGTGTTCAAATTGTGTCTATCTACGATGCCTCCATTTAGAATCTTATATCAGAAGTGGGATTCACCGTTACCACCGATAAAACAAGGCCTGCATGCTCCGTGGGTGACGTCACTTAGTCAGGCCTAACCAGCGGCTCGAAACGACAAGCGCTTATAGCGCTATAAGGCGACCGCGTATTTCGATTTTAGTTTTAGATCATTATTGAGCCGATTTTGCTTTTTTTTTTGAAGGGCTTCCGGTTGAAAGAGGATGCCAGCCGTCAACTGAGCCCTTCTTCGCATCCCATTCGATTTTATTATGGAAAAACGAAGTTTCAAAGCAAAAACCAGAATAAAACACAAATACCCACCTACAGCAACCCATTCGAATTAAATATATTATTGGCAAAAATTGTAGTGATTCAATCTCATTAGAGGTAAACTTCACACCTACTTATACAGGGCCCGCAGAACATAAACTTATCATGAGATTGATCGAAAGAAAATTGGGGAAAGTGTATTTTAGTTTGATAGACATGCCGTTTGTTATACCTAATTACCTATATTTATCTTGGAGAATTCCTATTACCTAAAAAATTAGCCAGTGAGTGTTTTCAATTTCCTGTTGTTGGATTTTTTACCCAATTGGTCGTTAGACTTGAAACAGTAATTTTTAAGTAGAGTGTTTGTAGTACATGTTAATATAATAGTTGCAATTTGATCATTGGAATGAATTTTGCATTCATTGCCACGAGGCAAATGACCGTTTTCAGAAAGAAATTTGAGAATGTATTGAGTCAGAAACCAAAGAGTCCAATGCATTCGAAATATGTTTCAAAACCCTCTTTTTCTGATTATCAAGACATTTTCCCGAATTATGTATCTCGTTTTTATCTATTTCAATTAGTAATTCCTTGATTTGATTGATATTATTAGAGATAAAAGGTGTTTTCAGATTGGCTTTTAGAGATGTTTGTATCGCTAGGTCATACAAAAATGATTCCACATTCAAAACAAAATCAATCACAACCGAATATGTAATTACGGGCCCTGGAGAATAAGACAATTTGAATAATGTGACTTTTTGCAAATCGATAATTTTGAACCACTTTTCGGGCAACTGAAAAGACTCTAATACAACTAGAAATTCTTGAAATTCTGTGTAGCAAAATGATTTTTGGTAATTTTCGAATTCAGTTTTACTTTTGGTAAGTGCTTGTGCCAAATTTTTAGTCTCTAGTATCTCAAGTTTTTCATCACGACTTGTGCGTAATTTTACATCTTTCGATAAATAAGATGGACAGTTGGGAAATTGAGTGGGAATAACATCTCGTTTGAGCCTGGAATTTTCAAATCTATTGTTACAGTTTTGCCAGTTTTTGAATCGGTTGCAGTAGATGAAGTAATAATATCATCTTTAGTAAAATGTAATTCACATACTTTACTGTACTTAGATGGAGTCGTAAAATCCTTGCGGTGAATTGCATGTACCCACTTTTTCGATAGTTCCTTGTCCAACGGGAAACTAAAAGCACGAACTTTTGGACCACCCACATAATTCCCCCGACAAAAGGGAACACAACACTTGTAAGGCATTGATATTTCGCCTATCACAACACGAAATATTTCACAAAACAGTAATTTCTCCGCCATTTATTTTGATGAATAAACAACAAGAGAATTCGAGCACACACGCGATTTACCTACGCCACCGTTCTTAAACAAAAACAAACTGACGATCGATCGACGCGAATGCCTTGGAAGATGGCCTGAGTATGCGACGTCACGAGCTGTTTACGTTAGAGTCTGCTGGCCTTGTTTTATCGGTGGTAACGCATTTCTACATTACGCCACGTCAAATCCATCAAAAGGGTCATCGAACAATGCGATTTGCAGATTTTTGGTCCTAATCAGAATATTGCAAGGCCTTGGTTACGGCCGAAGTTACGGCATTCACTTGACAAAATAATATTCGAATAATATAGAAGTATCGGAAGTATCGGTAAGAGTGGAAAAATAACTATCCTATGAGTCATATACATATACACATGAGATACACATGATATCAGAATTCCTATGGAACGAATATGCAATTTCAGATTGAATTAGTTATGATGCATGTTACAATAATATATCCATCAGAATTTGTCGAAATAATAGCAGAGTAGTACTTCAATCTTCGATCACACGATGATTACGAGGCGTTCTTCTCAATTGCGGGGTGATTTGAACATCGTCGCTAACAATAGAATTTAGTGATCCACCATTCATAAGTAGAAAACTTGTCAAACAATTTTTTTACCTGAGGCGAGTAGAACTTTGGAGTAGAGCGGATCCAAAGCGAATTCGGCCATGTGGAAGCCCATGGGGGCGGTCAGTTCGCCCTGTATATCGATGGCGTCCAAGGCGTACAGAATTTCCAGGGCGCTTTTCAGATTCTGGACGGGCGGCGGACTGGGGAAATTGAATTTCAGGATGTTGTTGATGCCCAAAGCTTTTATCTGGAGCACCGGAAAAGTGAGGTTACTTCTCACCATCTCCGGAGGGGTGCTGAGCGCCAGTTTAGCAGCAAATTCTTCGGTATATAGCCTAGATTTAATAGTTAGTAAGAATGAAACAAAGCTGAATATTAAACTACTCAACACTAATTTCGTCGCACACCAAAATGTCGCCCCTGTTATAATGTGAATAACTTTTTTCAGTTTAGAACAATTTGAATTTGGTTCACACTGTTCGATAGCCCAGTCCTTCAGCTATAATCTGGTACTTCATTGAAACATGAGGGTATTCACATAAAATCTCTACATGGTGTTTTCCGACACTGTGCAAAATTTCGGAATATTCAAAAGGCTCTCAAATGGTGAAAAAAATGTTTTTCTCAACTTCGACAACAGAGGCATGAAGATGATCTCATTACCTTGAGATATTTCGCGAATCAACTTCCTATCTCTCTTATTTACAGAGTGATCTCAAAAAATCAACTTTTTGGTTTTGCAGCCATAACTTTTTTCCACATAAACCGATTTTGGAAATCTTAGGTTCATTTTGAAGATAAAACTTCAGATGAAGAGATCTGAATATCAAAATTGACTCAAGATGGCTATCAAAGATCTAGAGTTTTCTTTAAAGTAACCCAAATCTGGAACGCCCTCCGAATTTCGATTGGGAGGAGAATTGAATGAAAATCAACTTGTTCTCGGAAAAACAATTCATTCTGGATGCGTCCATATTTTCCTCGCTCTCAGTAGTCAAGAATGTGCGTGAGAAAACACAATTGAAACATGTTCTTGCAAAAACATCAGACCATTTCTCCTCTGTAATGCATGGCCCGTAACCAACGTTACAAGAATCAGAGTAAGTGACTGACAAGTCAGGTTAGACGTCGTTTTCGAATCATAAACAGATTTTGATAGTTTCGATGCCGCATCTAACGCCCGACCAGTTGGAACTGATTCCACAAATGAGGGAACAAGGGTTATCTTCCCTCCAAATCGCGGATCTGCTAAACACGACAGTCCGATCCATTCAGAGGGCTTATTTTCGACACGAATTGTTTGGTTATTACTGTCGATTCGTTCGGCGCATTATTGCGACTGAAAACTTTACGTAATTTGCAAACTTTTTTCGTGAAACTTTCACCATTTTTGAATTGCGTTTTAACAATAAATGAACGTTGTTTGCTTGAATATTTCTCCATATTCTTAAATCGCATGTTATGTACGTGACAACATTAAAAAAAATCACTTTATTGAAAAAATCAAAATCCGTTGCTCTTGTTGGTACACCATTTATGATAAGCCTCAGCTGGTCGGGTTTGTCAGTCACTAATTGTGATTCTTGTAACGTTAGTTACGGCGGGCCATGGATTACAGAGGAGAAATGATCTAATGTTTTTGCAAGAACATGTTTCAATTGTGTTTTCTCACGCACAATTCTTGAATACTGGAAGCGAGGAGAATATGAACGCATCCAGAATGAATTGTTTTTCCGAGAACAAGTTGATTTTCATTTAATTCTCCCAACCAACCAAGATACGAAGGGCGTTCCAGATATGGGACACTTTCAAGAAAACTCTAGATCTTTGATAGCCATCTTGAGTCAATTATGATATCCAGATCTCTTCATCTGTAGTTTTATCTTCAAAATGAGTCTAAGATTTCCAGAATCGGTTGAAGTGAAAAAAAGTTATGGCTGCAAAACCAAAAAGTTGATTTTTTGAGATCACTCTGTGAATAAGAGAGATAGGAAGTTAATTCGCGAAATATCTTGAGGTAATGAGATCATCTTCATGCCTCTGTTGTCGAAGTTGAGGAAAAAAATGTTTTCACCATTTGAGAGCCTTTTGAATATTCCGAAATTTTGCACAGTGTCGGAAACACCATGTAGAGATTTTATGTGAATACCCTTATGTCTCAATGAAGTACGAGATTATAGCTGAAGGACTGGGCTAATGAACAGTGTGAACCAAATTCAAATTGTTCTAAACTGAAGAAAGTTATTCACATTATATTATTATTATTATTATTTGTTGAATAAATAAATAAATAAATAAATCATAAAGAAAAAAAACTACTAATGTTGATAAATGAAAATATGCATTCAAGAATGGGGAAGATTCCTATATTGAGGTTCTTATTGTCAAAAATTAATATATACTTATTTTTTCCTTTTTTCGTAAGATCAAATATCACTTCAGAAAAGAATAAATAAAAGAGGAACTTAAATAAAAATAATAAATCTCTCATTGACTGAATGAAGTTGATTACTAATAAAGATGGATAATGATATTTTGCGATAGTATCTACAATTTTTGAATATCGTTATATCACAATATGTTATTCATAACTTGTCAGTCCTTTTTGCTGATGAATTCGTTCCTTAATAAAAAGGATCTATTTTCTAGGAAAGTTGCAGATTATATCTTGCAACAGCGCCTAATACTTCGAGTCCGTCCACACCACTCAAAATACTGACAGGCACAACAAGAGGAAGGAGCCATGGGTGTCGGCTTCATTCTGTTCTGACCAATGACAGTAAATTAGGAAGGATAGTATCATTGAATGTAGCCGATAGTGATTCATTGATGCAATGATATGTTTGTTTAGGATCGAGCTCTATTCGAAATATTTCAATGCATAAATAACAAAACCCTAACCTGTCAGAATGGAGCCAACTACCCCCTGCTTTCGTGCTCAGAGTGCATTTGTGGTTATGTATGTCTTTGTTTACCAGTTTTACATATTTTTCTATGTATTCATTCGTTAGATATTCGTTAGCTATTCTCTAGCTATATTCTTCACCATCAGCTATTTTCAGACTATATTCAGAATGTACGTCACAGCTTGTCTCCCCGAAAATTAAATATTGCTTTAATTTGGCTTGGACGTTATCGGTCGCCATTCTGTACAGCGTCGACATAAAACTGGAGAGCTCCGAACTTATTTTATGAAAATTCATCGGAAGGAATCTTCCCCATTTCCCGAGACATGGAAAAATATTGAAAAAGTAATCCGAGATGTGTTAAACTAGTGCAAAGTTAGGAATGCTTTACCTGTAAACTTTTCCAGATCTGACTCTTCCAGCTCTACCAGCTCTTTGGTCGGCCGATGATTTACTGATTGGCAAGGTTACCAAGCTGTCTGTATGTGTCTCTGTGTTGTACCATTTCATCTTGACAAACCCGCAGTCAATAACTGAAAATAAGTATTTTATTAGGATCAAAAGTGTCACATTTGCGTTGACGAGGCGAAGAGATAGTTGAGCCAACCCGCATATTTTGTACAGAAAATCGCTTTCGGCTATTTTTCTGAAATTTTTCATCTTCTAGATATTGGTGTGGTCATTCTATTCGTGATTTTATTCATTCAACCGTGTTTAAAGTTTAGGATTGTTGGCATGGTTTTTTTATGTTCTGGTTCCCACGAAAAGGGATATCCTATAATGTTCAGAGAACATCATGAGAACCAAGCTAGGAAAATAAGGTAGGAATTGGTGTTCTTCTTAAATTTCTGGAGGTTATATGCCTCGGGGAACACTTCCCTTGGCAATGTGTTCCAGAGCCTCGCTGTTCGTTGGATGAACGAGTCTTTGGAAAGAGATGTTCTGCAGGTCTACAAAGTGACCACGAAGGCGTGCGAAGCCTCAACTCAATGTGTCAATCTCGCGGGGACTGTCAAGGGAGGAACAATTGTTGATATTTCAGAAGAGCATCGTCCATGAAAAAATCTAAAAATAGAGCAAGATCGCCAACTTTTCTACGGTGTTCCTGAGAAGTGAGTGAGTTTATGAGCGAGGCATCACCCACGAGACGAATTGCCCTTTTTTGGACAGAATCCAACAGTTTCAGGGTATGTTTGGATGCTGCACTCCAAATGTGCGAACAGTATTCTAGGACAGGTCGGATCTATGCCTTATAGATCATAAGCAGCTGACTGGAAGTGAAATAGCTCCTGGCCCGAAACAGAAATCCAAGTTTTTGGGATGCACTTTTAGCAATTGATCTCACGTGATTTTCCCAAGAAAGGTTATTGCTGATAGTTATACCAAGCATCGAAATGGATGGCATAAACTTTTCGATGATCGATGAACATATCGCGGTGTGTACATATTTTTATTTAGTCCGAGTTTCATACCGTGAACGATTCCTGATATTGTCACCGACGTCTCAGCCACATTCGTGGCCACCACCACCTTTCTGCACCCGTTGGGCGCCGGTTTGAACACCTTCATCTGGTCGTGGTAGGGCAGCGACCCGTACATGGGCAGCACCAGCAATTTCTCCTTCTTCTGGGCCTCTTCCAGCAGATGGGCGTGCTCGTTGAGCAGCCTCACCGCCCTTTCCACTTCTTCTTGGCCGGTGAGGAACACCAACACATCGCCCGGCTGTTTGGAGGAGTGTATCTTGAGGACGGCGTCTACGGACGCTTGGATGTAACATGGCACAGGCTCTGAACCAAAAATCGAGGTTCAAATAATTTTAAATTGAAACGACATTAAAAAAACATAAAAAATACCAATTTTGCAGAGCAAAACACAGAAACAAGAAGACAGCTACTTAAAACTCTTAAAAAGGCGAGAGGTTTGATATTATTATTAGCACCAGCAGCTTCTCCTTCATACATACATATTGAAATAAAAGAAAGACAATTCAATTTTCTGTTTTCCTATTCAGTTTTAATGAAGAAAATCTCCATGCTATACCTACTAACATCCCAGCGAGCACAAACATCCCTGGGATGTTTTGGGATGTTTTGAAAATGTTGGCATGAAGATGTTATTTTGAGACGTAATATGCACTGACCAAAGAGGTCTTTGAAGGATATTGAAGTATTGTTTTTGTTCTTCTGTGGCATTTCCTTGTTTGCCTACTGAGAGGTATCCCTGGGATGTTTTGGGATGTTTTAGAAATGTAGGCATGAGGATGTTTTTTTGAGGCGTAATATGCACTTCCCGAAGAGGTCTTAGAAGGATATTGAAAGTATTATTTTTGTTGTTTTGTGCCCTTTCTTTGTTTGCCCCACCACAACGTCTCATGCTTACGATGCTCATACGATGAATTCTGATTTGTTTTCGATTTTGTTCTTCTTGTTCGCAATTGGCATTCGCGTTTGCAGCGTGTCACGCTTACATCACGCTGCTAACGAACAGAAAGGAATTTGGTGAAGTTTATTGTGTTAGAAGACTTATTTAGTTTGTAATAATGACCATCAGATGCAAGATGTGTTGTTCGGTGCCTCAGTGTAATCAATATATAAAAGTACGAATTCATCAATACACAGCTTCTTCGCAGGTGCAAAATTATGCATTGTGAAGAACATTTCAAAAATTGGGAAACCTATTTCCAATTATATGTCTGTGTGTAGTAAGCACTACTCAGAAACCGATTAAGAAGGTAATTTCATATCAAGAAATATTTTTATGTTCAATCTATTTTTAATGCATTTTTTCATTCAAGGGAAATGGAATCCTAATGCAAAAGTTCATTTTGACAAAAGTCTTCAGAAAAGTACCTCGAAAATGGTTTTTTACAGCGATTTAATGTGCGCAAGACGCGTTGAAAATGTTCTGTTGTGTCCATGAAAAGGCTTTAAAAAGAACTAGGGAGAAGGTATAGTTTTGTGACATATCAAGGACATCTCGATTATTGCCGCCTGCGGCGGACATAGGCTGTTCTATAATAGTTCTATTCATGTGTGAGCAGAACATCGCAGTGGAGGTTCAATGTCTCGAAATCTCGTACATTTTAACATGTCTGAGATGTTTTTGTGCTCGCTGGGATAGTATTGAACTTTTCGACTTCATATTAGTTCGCTATGATATGGAGTTTTTTGTATGGGTTAAGAATTATTATTGAAACTGCATAATCTGACGCAACAAAATTTGATGATTTGATAATGTTTTAAGATTTGAGGGAATACCAAAAGTATTTTTTTATGAAATCTCGATTAGGCAAGTATATGCGTAATTTCCAGAAAACAGAAAAAAGATACTTTCTCTTTGAAATTAAAAAAGGAATGCACTTCCGGTTTGACGATATTTGGTCTGATACTACCAACATTATACACTCCTGAAATCAAACTGATGTATCAAATTTGAAACATACATACCGAATAGCAACGAATAAGATAGATACAGGCGGGTAAACTGGTTCCGGATCACCCTCACCCTGTATGATAGTTTCGAACTTGTATTACTCTATATACCTAGTATAAAAGCTTTTCATTTGTTATTCAAATCACGACTTTTTGTTGAAACATAAAATTCATCAATGAAATCAATTCGAATTGCAATTCTAATATCATACAAATACAGTCAGTCCACTATCTATCAAGCATCGAACTAATTGGTCCTTCGAGCCGGTTCTATTTTAATCAAACCTTCAAGACTGCCAAGTTCTCATAGATACACAGCGATGTTTCTCGAAAACCATTTGGAACAATTCCTCAGGGCCCAATGCACTAGCAGCTCGCAATAAATAAGGGCGACTTTATAAAAACTTTTAGCATTTAAGATTCAACATTTGAACATTCAAGACTTAAGAGACTTAAGTTAGTGTATTTTGAAGAACGGTTCAGTATTCATCAGAAAAAAACAAATATTCAGGAATAACAACCTAAAATATTTTGAATAATTTTTGAATGGCGGGAAATTGAGATGTCACTTTTAAATCTTGAATGAAAAATCAAAGGTCTTTAATGGTTTTATAACATAACCAATGATAATTCCATATTCCATCTGTCATGAGTGATAAGCCTTAAATGTTAGGTGATGAATCTTTAGCCTTGAAGTTTTTTATAAAGTGTCCCTAAGTGAGTTGTATGATTGAATAAAATACCCTTGCATCAGCTTATATCACCCCGTATTTTATTCAGAATATCGACGGGTGCTGGTTGTGACTAAGACATATTGAATGCATGATTAAGGGGTTACATAAGCTAGATAAGATAGGTGAGAGGAAGTAGAAAGAATGACCAGTACAGTTTAGACTTGAAAGCAGTGAGGGTGATATCGGAGCATAAAGTTGATATTTGAAAATGTGGATATTATTCTGAGAGGCTTATTCCCAGTGACCCTTCAACATATATGTGTACTTGGGTAGGAGGGTAGGTAGCAGTGAAAGTGACAGTGATTAAGTTGGAAGTTATGACAGTATATAAAGTGAAGTTGAAAGTGACATGCAGTGACAGTAATCAAATGAAAAGTGACAGAACTCATGTGGTGTGTTATGGAACATCAAGCGATGATCTGTCAGCTAGTATTTTATACTACTTTCGTAAGTTTATTATACAACTCTTCATATTTCTGAAAATTTATCAGTATCTATATACAGTGTCATTCATGAAGTCGGCATCATATGGGAAAAACTTTTATCAATGTCTTATTTTGGAATTCGAGTTGGACGTTGAGTTTTGCTTCAAAAAAGATAAAAAATGGCCTACTCAATCGGGGTCACGTGACTTTCGCAACATGTCAAAAGTGGCATTTTTTCAAATTGATCGCTGAAAGTAGGCTTATTTGTTCGAATATCGAAAAAGTTTACTTGAAAAAGTTGTTTCAATTTCAATTTTACACATGCTTCTCGAATTTGATTCTTCATTTTTTTTTTAGTTTTTCAAAATTTCGGTAATATTTGAAGAATTGTTAATTTCACGAAACTACTTCATACCAGTAGATTTTTAATGCTTCTCACTTTCAATTACTTATTATCACTGATTATGGACAGAAATATGATTTTCTTCAGAAAATGGTAATACCCGCTTCCAAATTCTGTTATGTTTGATGCAAAGTTGATATATCGTCAAGCATTTAGAAACGAAATTCATTTAAACTGATCTTTTCAGTACTGAAAAAATAAATTCAAATGAATTTCGTTTCTAAATGCTTGACTCAAACATAACAGAATTTTGAAGCGGAGATTATCATTTTCTGAAGAAAATCATATTTTTGTCGATAATTAGTGGTTATTAGTAATTGGAAGTTAGTAGCATGATGGAGCTACTGGTATGAAGTAGTTTTATCGAATTAACAAGTTTTCTAATATTACAGAAATTTCGAAAATTTTTAAAAAATATCTAAATCTAAAAAATGTAATAGAAAGATGAAATCCGAGTCACATAATTATGTAAAATTGAAATAGAAACAACTTTTTCAAGTAAACTTTTTCGATATTCGAACATAAGCCTACTTTCAGCGATTAATTTGAAAAAATGTAACTTTTTACATGTAGCGAAAGTCACGTGACCCCGATTGAGTAAGCCATTTTTCATCTTTTTTGAAGCAAAACTTGACGTCCAACTTGAATTTCAAAATAAGTCAATAATAAAAGTGTTTCGCATATGATGCTGACTTTATGAATGACACTGTATAACTGTGAAAATCATTTGTAATTCGCACGCTGGTTCTTAAAGCTATAGAATAGGAAATAGAATGAAGTGAACATACCGGCCACATAGAATATATCTACAGGGTACTGCCTTCCTTCCACTGACATTATCACTGCAGTGTCCTTTTTCTTTTCATTCGTTTGGTTGTTATTGAAGAAATCTTTAAGTTCCTTCGCATCCAAAGTTGCTGAGGCTACAATCAATCTCAGCTCTTTTCGTTTCTAGAAAAAAATTTGAAACACATTTTTCATTGAAAAATTTAAATTATTTTCGAATGACATGCACATGCTTACTCTTAAAATTTTTTTCATGAGACCCATGAGAATGTCAGTGTATAAAGATCGTTCGTGTACTTCGTCCATCATTATAGCTGAGTAGTTTTTCAAAAGGGGGTCAGCCATCATTTCCCTCAACAATATACCCTCTGTCATGTACTGAAATGAATTGTGGAATTCTGATCAATTTAGGACGAAATTGGAATTTTTGAAGATATTTCCATCACAGCCCATCAAAATAATAATTTATCTACGCCAATGGAAGAGTTGATCTCTGCTGAAAAATAGTTTTTCTATGACTGTTGAAAACTAGACCCTTTTAATGTAACATTTTTGTTGGGTAACTGGATGCATTACACAAAACAAGCCACGCCCCGTGTGTAAGAGCCTTTACACAACAGGCTATGGCCAATCAGCAACAAAGCAGATTCATTACCTACAAAACAGTTGACACCAGTTAAAATGATAATATGGGGCATGCAGTGAAACGTTTGAATCAGACTCGTCATGAAATGTCATAATTTGACAATAGCTATCTGGCGTGATTTAGAACTGACTTTTTGTACAAATATGGATTCAGAAAGCGAAAATGAATTCAACTGCTCTCCACCATCAGCAGTTTTGAAAGCTGCCAATGCAAGTACAATCAGCCTTTTGCCCGAGGAATATAAAAAAAGGTATGCAGTGGTTTGGCGAAAAGCAAAACTTGCAAATTCGTTTTCGGATAATGTACTGCTAGCCTATTTTGGCGAATTAGCAGCTAAACACAAAGCATCCTCCTTGTGGTCACAGTATTCCATGCATATACTAAGAAGCATAATTTCAATGAAAAATTATGTGAATATTGACAAATATTTGAAATTACGAGCATTTCTAAAAAGGAAATCTGATGGATATATGTCAAAGAAAGCGAAGATATTCACTGCTGATGAACTCAACCAGTTCATCACTCAGTCATAGAAAAAGTATAGTATTCTACTTGCGTGTAATGACTATTACTCATTCGAATGATTACGACGTTCGCCTGCGGCTCACGTCGCAAACTTCATTCTCATGAGTAATGGCCATCATTACACGCTCGTCGAATAATATACTATATTTATACCGTGAGCTAAAATCTAATAATTTTCCCGTGTATAATACACATTACATTACATTAAAATCAGAAAATTATGGACGTGAAAGGACCCCGCACGAAATCACGGTAAATTGGCTCTCGGTCGAATTGGCTGAAATTTGACTATGTTAATGTGGGATGGCTCATTAGAAAAATATGTGAGTTTGAAAAGTTTTGTATGTTTAGTTTCTGAGATATAAGCCTACAAAGTTCGTAAAAACGTCGTATCGGGGTAGGATTGACGAAGAAAAAAACTGTTTTTCAGTATAAATGAAATAAAATAAGCTAAAAAATGTATTGGTCGGAACTCATAAACATGTCTAGTTATAATCACATGAATTATAGTAAATCAGGGTGTATACGAGGCACGGTCAAAAAATTCATTTTTCGGAAAAAAAATTCGAGCACTATTCCAAAACCAACAAGTTATATTTTGATGAGACAATATAGTTTTAGTCTATTGTAGGCTTCGAAAACGTATTTTGATTCTTGAAAACTATCTCTGTTCAAAATATGAATTTTTAGAATTTTTTGTTATACCCCTTTTTGAAAACAATTGACAAACTTGTTTTTGATCACAAAGAAAGGAATTGATTGATATTGTTGATTGAATGAAAGCTGAGGTAACTCACTAGCGAATTCAGTTGATCAATATTGCCTTTCAATTAGATACAGGGTGTGTTAGATTTTGTTGAAGATTATTTAACATGTTTCAATTGAATATCTCGAAAACAGTTCCGTTAATTTGGATCTCATTTTACAAACACTATTTTGAATATGTTGACTATCATATGCAAAAAGTTTTTCAATTTTTTTTATGTTTCGTTTCTGAGATATCAATTTTTGAGTTTACATTATCACAGGTATTATATAGGGTAATAACCTCGGATATTACTATATATCGATTCAATAGAACTTTACGGAATCTTTCGAACATTCAATTACATTATGAAACTATTGAGAATCAATATTTTTTTACTATAAACAACACGAACCACATGAATAACAATATGGAACTCAACAGTATGGACTCAAAAAAATCGAGTGCTCGAAAAATGAATTTTTTGACCGTGCCTCGCATACACCATCCGTTCAATACATTTTTTGCCTTATTTATACTAAAAAAAAAAGTTTTTTTCTTTGTCATTCTACCCCCATACGACGTGTTTACGAACTTTGTCGGCTTATATATCAGAAACTAAACATACAAAACTTATCAAACTCACATATTTTTTTAATGAGCCATCCCACAACAATATAGTAAAATTTCAGCCAAGAGAGCCAATTTCCCGTGTTTTCGTGCGGGGTCCTTTCATCAAAAACGTTGTTTTGATATTTGGGACAACTTCACTGAGACAGGGCTCGTTCATAATTTTTTTGTGTCACATGTTAAGTGGTGCTAGTTTCTTGACATTATTGGAAAACCGTAGGAAAATCCTTAGTAGAACTTTCAACTCAAACCATGTTTATAATGATCCTTTTATACATAAATAAAGATTGACGACATAATTCGATCGAAAAATTAACTGGAATTTTTAATTTTTTGACATAAATAATAGTTAAAAGAAAATACCAAACGCCCGACGGAGACTGAGGCAACTGATATATTAATTTTTTCAACTGTGATCTCACGCTAATTCACTCTGTCAGAAATCATGTATCATTCATCTCTGTCTGGAATAGTCTTGTTTCAGTATTAGGGTTTTGACGTCCCATCATCGCCTCGTATTCAGAGGTCCGAAAAATCGGTGATTTCAATAATTTTTTATAAAACGGTTTGCGGTGGTGAGCTAGTTTGGGCGAGTTCTATCGAATTGTGAAATAAAAATTGTTTGTGATATAAGCCCATTCAAAGACAATTTTTTTGCGCACTGCATTAAAAAAAATGGAATCGTCTATTCTACTCCGGAATATTTACGAGAATGGTAACACATGAAGCGAGACACACTGTATCTGAATATATTCTCACTTCAGTGAATAATTTTGATAGCATTCATTGACATTGAAAGAACGATAAAATACGTATAGGCTACACATTCTAGATAAAATATCAATGTTCTATTGTGTTCGGTACATTTTTTATCAATTTTATATAACTGTCCACGTGTCCACTATAAACAAGAGAACCATATCAATAAGCTGTTCTACGTTTTGTGGCATTTCAAAAATAATTCAGCCACATATTTGTCACATTTATAAACAACCTCATAGCTAATTCAATGCTAATTGCAACTACTTTGAAAATTATACATGATTAGGTAGGTACTCATTATAATGTAATTAATGTGGGAATTATTTTAATGAAAATGGTTGATTATTAACAAGAAAAACTGCAAAGTAGGTACATATAGTCAAGAGTGCCTTGGACTATAAAATAATACAATGGTATTTCGAACAAGCTAATTTGTTCAAGGCAGAATTTAAAAAAATAAACATACATTCATACTTATAGTTATCGGTTTTTGGTAAGTAGGTAGGTATATTATTTATTCCAACATGTACTACCCAGAATGTTATTCCATATTAATTTTGGAGTTATCTTTATGAAAAATTAAATTACAAAAATATATAAAATGTAATGAGAACTGCAAAGATACCTAATATTATGACCTGAAAATTATTACATATGACTCATTGGACATAATGTATACCTACATCATTTTTTGGACGATATCTTTGCAGTCTATTACAAAAAGTATCGTTGAATTTTTAATAATATAATCCGCCTTAGCCAAATGTGAAATGAAATATACTGGGGTGTCCCACAGCTAGGGTTGGCATGAATTAATTCATATGAATTAAATCAGTGATTTAAAATATCACAGTAGTAGCAACTGTTATCAAGTGACGTATGGTTTCCATAGCTAACTTTTCAATTTTTGGCTTTCATTTTGCTTCCACGGCCTACTCGATGAATTTCAATAATAATTTTTTTCTGATCTAGTTTCTGGTTAGATACCAGGAATTGAATGCCGAATGAAGCGGAAAGAAAAAAAAAAAAAGGGTAAGAAAGTTGATGTTACTTCCGGCCAGACCGGAAGTTAACTTCGACATGTCAATATGCCCAAATTTTAGCTCTTATGTCATTATATCGACGCTCCAAATTTCACAAACCTACTTCATACAATAACTGAGATATTCCGTAGGCAATATACTTCGGTAGCCACCCGGTATACCGCCCCCCCCCCCCTACTGAATAGAATTTCTGGCTTCATTGCTCTCATAAGGATGGTTCATTCATTTTGTTAATGTAAATAACCAAGGACTCGGATGAAATTTTGAGGTTCAGATAGTAATCCTTGACATGACCTACCTTGATTTTCGGCTTGTTATGACAAGCATCGAACCTGACAGCGTATCCGACAGCGTCCTGTTGCACCAGACACCCCATCTCGTCCGCCACCCTGTTGGCCAAGGAAATGGCCGCTACCCTTCTAGGTTCACATACCCCTATTTGACCAGGCCATTCCGCTTCGATCATATACTGTAGAGAAAAAATATCGGAGGGAATTCGGGTATAATGCGGTAATGGTAAGGTAGTTTAGTCATAGCTGGAATACGAAAGAGTAAAAGCGCCATCCCAGTCAACACATCTGTGACATGGAATCTCTGAGATGTCGCATTCAGGTAATATTGCGATATCACAATCGTTCCATCGCTGCGATGTACAGAAGCAAGCACATCTGCGACATGACATCTCTGATGTGAGTTTGAGATACAATAGCACTTGTCAACATTGAGTGACATTAGATTGCTTTTTGTTCAAATCAGATTGAAGGTTCACACAATTTTTGTCGGTGGAGATTGGCATATAGATTTTGAGGTCATCAGGGAATAGAAGGTATTTACAGTAGAAAAAATCAAAAGCGCAATATCATTGATGAAAATATTGAAGAGGAGTGGACCCAGATGTGATCCCTGCGGGACTCCGGATGTAACATGAATATCACTGGAAATGGTATAAATTTTATCGATTTGAATACCTTCTTCTAGGATCACGACAATTTTATTTGTTCATATACTAATAGATTTCATTTTGATGATCTACCTGTGGCAAATCGATGTTGATTTTCAATAGGCAAATGTTTGCATTGCCACGAAAAAGATAGTAAACAAGTGAAAATTCGAGAAGTTTTGTAATGGCTGAAAGTTTACTAATTGGTCGATCGTTTTTGATGTCGCCTTTTAACAATTCTTGAAAATAGGGGTGACATAACTATTCTTCCATTGGCAAGGAAATATTGCAAGTTTCAAAGATGAATCGAATATTGTACACAGTGGCGAAGTTAGTGAATAAACACATTTTTTCTTCAATACTGAATTTATAAATGGAATATCCACTGCTGATGCTACTGGTAAATTCGTACGATCATCTAAATGTGATCCTTCCCTAGTATAGACCTTTTGATGAAAATGTTTAGCAAAAAGAACAACAATATTTTTCCTTGTGTCAGCTACTCGATCATCAAGATGCATATCATTTGGAAACTCATGATTTTTTCTCAATGAGTTTATCTAATTCTAGAAATATTTCGAATTTCTGATTATTTGGTGATCAATATTTGCTGTGTATGTGCCATGACAAAATTTCATCAGATCTTTGCATTCAGATCTCAGATTGAAAAATAGTAGTAATCTTGATCTGATCGAGTCCAGCATGAGCTTCCTTTTTTCAGTTATGAGTACTTTCAGTTCGTTGGTATACCATTTAGGAAAAGTTGTTGGTTTACTTCTCTTCCTAGGTATGAAGTTTGCAAACGAGTTCCCAATAATTTGGTAAAATTTTCCAACGATCGTATGAATATCTATAGGTTATTGAATAGTCCCCAGTTTATTGCTGCAAAATAATTATCTAAACCCACATAGTGTGCATTCTTAAAATTGACTGATAGTTCTAATTCAGCGGTTATGGCCTTATGATGATAATTATTAGATAACAGTAGGCTTCCTGAATCCATAGATGGGGTGTGTTTAATCTATGCTGAATCTGAACAAGAGCATTTTGAGAAAAAACTATATCTAAATATGCATTATAATTATTAGGAATTAAATTGAGTTCTTTGAAATTAAGAAAAGAAAAATTATCACGTACAACATGGGCTGGATATCATTATTCACCAAAAATAGATATCATCAAGATGTAATGAATTTTTCAGATATTTGTTCGACAGAAGTACAATGATCTATATAAATATCGGAGTTCAAACGTTACCACCGATACAACAAGGCCAGCAGACTCTGACGTAAACAGCTCGTGACGTCATTAAGAGAGGCCAGTGTTTTGTTTTATCGCTTGTCGACTAACGCGTCAGATCGTGTTAATTACGGTTCAAACCTGGCGGTATATAGGTAGGTAGCTCCAAAAAACACATTTGCACTGGTGCTATTCAAAAGAATGAATAAATGTTCGACATGTGGACTAACTCCATCTAGTATTTTCAGCTCTTTTTTGAAACACATCATTGTTCCACCACCTCGAGACTTTTTTCTTGTGTTCACATCTCGATCAAATCATTATAGCCTGACCATTTCTTTCATAATTCTCAACATGCTAAATTACTTATAAAATAATTGTCATCCATTGAACAGATGGGTGAAGGTCGACGAAATGTCGTCTTTACATCAGAATTAGAATATTTGGACTTTTTTACACCAGATTTGGGGTATAAGGAAATTAGGATGTAATCAAGAAAAGTTGACATAGAAAAGCAACTTTTATTAAGCTTTCAAAAAACATCATTCGAATAATTTTATAAACAACACTCGCACACTGACAATATAAAAATAACATCGTAGTTCGGAAGATGCTACTTTCCAAATATCTCTACCTACGTAAAATATACAATATATATCCCCACAGGGGGATAATAAAATAAAAAACCAATTGTCATAGTAGATAAAAAGATGAAATAAATAAAAAACAAGATGATAGTTGATGAAAATCTCTTACTCGATTATTTTGTAAAAGAATTTCAATATATTCACTAGTATACAAAAACTTTGAATGAACACAAGTTTTAAGTAAATATCCCTTCAAAAAACCAAAGCAATAAATGTAACAAAGAACATTTTTGGTATATATCAGTACATCAACAAACAATCCTGACTAAATCGGATTATTCTATAAAATGAGAAGAGTGTTGACGGAAATGACGAACAAACTACCAACCATTGTAGATAAACCATTTCCGTGAACAACCATCATACATTAATCTAAACTTTATACTTTATATCACCTGCATGATACAGAGTGAAATCGACTAGTTTTACGAATCCGTGAAAATCGACTAGTTTTACAAAAATATATGAATATGGAATACTATGTAAATCATCTGGAAAAGTAGATGTATCACTACAGTTTCGCCTTGAAAACGTTTTCGTTGAAAAACCTGGGCAAAACAACTCAAAAAAAAAAAGGGTAAGTACACAGAGAGTATTCAAAACATAAGTGAAAGATGATTTGGTGATATTCAAGATAAACCACATCTCACAACCTAAATAATTGTTATTCACAACATTTCTGAAAGTGAAAGTTAGTGAATTTTTCGAACATTTGGGAAATTTCTACTCATAGATATTGGGAGTGGTTGTTCAAATAAAAATGTTGCCGTCTCATATGGAATCATTATTTGAAGAGTTCATACTGAAAAATTTAAAGTGTACATACAATAATTTAAAGAGTTGTAAAGCCTCAGAATGAAGAGAAACACTACAGATTTCCGAAGTATTTAGGCTGACAAAATAAAAATTTCAAAATAATAGCTCCCATGAATGTCATAATACAAATATCGTAAATATCAATTATAAAATTTCTAGAAAATATTTGATATATGAAAAAGTATGGAAATTCGAGACTAAAAGTATTGTCTTGGATGCCAAAATTTGCTAGGAAAATATTTATTTGTCATTTAGATTCACTGGTAAATGTATGTTAATTTCATTATGACCTTCACGGTATTTTGGAGCCAATACCAAAATTAAGAATGTATTATGTCTACATGTTAATGTGGAGGTAGTAATTACAATATTTAGGCAAGGTACTCTTAGTACATCAAGAAACAATATTAAACTGAAATATCCCCAATAATTATCTGTATATTGACTACATTCATAAAACCAAATGAAATTATATGTCTCTAAAAAAATTATAGCTTTCAGCTAATCAATATTAAAATATTTAAAATCCCCTGATAAAGCAACACATCAATTTTAGAATATTTCTTGTTCGTTAAGGATAAGTAGTTTTCAACAGTTTCAATCTAACATAGCTGATATATAGGCACTAACGTCAGGGAGATCAAAAATACTAATAAAATCAATCAATAGTGTTTTATAAAGTCCTCCACCCACCCGCACCCACCTATGAAGATCTACATACAGGGTGTGTCAATAGTGTGTTCTCCTTCGATATTGGCCAAACCGTCAGATATATAGAAAATATGCAAATACAACAGTTATAGGGTTTCATGAGAACTATCACGTGAAATTATTTTCATATCTATAGGATGTTCAAATTCCAAGATATCGGCTGATGTTGATTTTTTTTAACGGGACACCTTGTATATCCTGAAGAGCTGATTTCATCAATACATCATACATGGGGTCTAGCAAGAATGATTACAGAGATATAGAGTGTTACATTGGTCCATTATTGGTCAAAACGACTTACATGTCCCTATCTTAACCTGTGGTTTATTATCTACTGACATTTAATTGGGACAAATACAAGGTGATCAGAATTCTGGAATCTTGAAACACCCTGTCTTTGAAGCTATTTTGACCAATAATGAAGATGAAAAATCTCGATTTTGATTATCCAAGTGTGATATTGATGAAATCAGCTCTTCAGGGATAACCTAAAAATGCAATAATATATAGGGTGTCCCATTTGAAAAAAACCATCATCAGCCGATATCTTGGAATTCGAACACCCTATAGATATGAAAATAATTTTAGGTGATAGTCCTCATGGAACTCTATAACTGTTGTATTCAAATTTGTTCTATATATCTGACGGTTTGGCAAATATCGAAGGAGAAGTCACTATTGACTCACCCTGTATAAGTGATATTGCATGGTTGTTGGAAATGAAAACCTAGTATAGGCGAGGTATAATGTTCGTTCACTGACTCAATTGTTTCAATAAAATATTTGCCAATATGGATAATTTTTGGTTGAAATTTGCATCTTCTATTTTTTTTAACTGTACATAGCTTATCAGAGATAGATTTTTTTTAAAATATTGAACAAACGGACTGACGACAAGCAGCGTACGATCTTTACTGGAGCTGTTCCAATTTAGAAACGTCTAGCTTTAACCAATGAAACTTTAAAACATCAAGGTCAAGTGACGTCACCCACGACATATGATATTTCTTCTTCCTCTATATTGAGAAACTACGACTACTACGAGTAAAGCGATATCTCAGTTGTTTGTGTATCTGACTTCCACGGTGGTGACTCGGGTTCAATCCCTGCGAGGCG